CTGAAATAAGTAGCTTTTTTCGACTTTGGGCAAGGTTTTCTTTTTGCTTGTCAACTTTTCCAGGTAAGTAAAAAAAAAATATTTCTCTGGCTGCCCCCCCCCCCACTTTTAAAGACGATGCTACGTGCCTGACTAATTCTTATCGCTATCTAGAAAGGGGGGGGGTAACAGATCCTTTATAAAATCGTTAATTATCTATTTTTTTTTCACAAACGTTTCCTTCTTTTAGATTTTTTTAATGTAGCGTGTAAGTTTATCACTATTTTGTTGGATTATCGTAATGCGTAGTCCGCGGAAGTTATGCCTGTGTAGAAGAGTTCCGATTTCGAGGGGAGATAACTCACTTTTGAAAATGGGGAATATATGATAGTGTCACTACCCACCCACCCCCCACCCCCGTTTTAAAGAAAAAAAAAATAATGAACACACATTACTACTGTTTACTTCAAAGGAGAAAATACACTCCAACAAAATGTGTATTTAATTATGTCCATCTTTTAAAATGTTTACAATGCATGATTTGATAACAGATTTTATTATGTACATGTATGTAGATGTTACAATGGAGCTTGAAATTTAGATCCAAGGGCAGATCACTCCACTAACAGACACACACCCCCACACCCCCGAATAAGAACTCTTTAGTATGCAGTGTAGAGATGATTCTTCAACAAGTTAAATAAAATCAAGATTTCAATTACACAAGGTTCTCAAATTAAATATAAAATTAGGGTATGTTTTAAACTCACAAAAGTATTATTGCTCAAAAGGTTTATCACTGTTCATGCAGATAAATTGATTGATTTAGTCAAGCAAGCTTTTTAAAAAGCTGTTACTTGTATCACCTTTTCAAGATGAATTAGTGAATAACCAATTCGAATAGGTAAAGGAAATGTTGGAACTTTGAAAAAACATGACCAAAATAAACAACATTAAAACTTACGACTTCTCAACTTTTTATACAACCATTCCCAATAAAGTTCAAGCTATTTGTATATCATTGACCCCCGTGGGGATCCGGGTTAGAATAGGTCCTCAGTACTCCCTTGCTTGTCGTAAAAGGCGTCTAAATGGCGCGGTCCTTCGGATGAGACCGTATAAACCGAGGCACCAAGTCACAGCAGGTGTGGCACAATAAAGATCCCTCCCTGCTCAAAGGCCGTAAGTGCCGAGCATAGGCCTAAATTTGCAGCCCTTCACCGGCAATGGTGACGTCTCCATATCAGTGAAATATTCTGGAGAGGGACGTTAAACAGTATACAATCAATCAATCTATATCATTGACAGCTGCTTTTTTAAATAAAAATGGAACTTGTAAATTTACCCTCGTCATTAGTCATTTGCAAAATTATTTTTATTTAAAAAATTCTGATTGTACACACAAGGACTCTAAAGTTGATATTAAAAAGATGCTTGAGTTTCTGACAACGATGAAATCCACAACGGGCAAATATCAAGGAGGGAAAGTCGGTCTTTTTACTCATGTGAGCTAAAAACGTATGCGGATAGATCTAAAAAGGGGGGCTAATTTTTCAATTTATTATAAAAATCTTTTAAAAACCTTAAGAAGACAAACAGGGCTAGGATAACTCAGGTGAGCATTATGGACCTCTTTTTTATTTTTATATATAGACCCTGGGTGCCGTGGGCTTAAATCAAACTCACGAAATGCTTGTATACAAAACAAGAGGCCCATGGGCCTTATAGGTCACCTGAGCATCATGTAACAACTGTTGACTATGTTACGGGAGAGGAGAAAATGCAGTGGACCAGACCGGGATTCAAACCCGGGCCCCCTGAACCTCCGGTCAGGTGCTCTAACAACTGAGCTTTCCATGCTGATATCCACAGCCCAAACATTCCTCCCTCCTTAAATGGTCTTTGCCATCGAAGACACAACCTAAGTTCTTATTATCCCCTGGCAGGACTTTCACCTGCAATTCCAGGGGTGGTCAATGGCACCTAATCTGTAACAGGAAGGAGAAAATGCAGCGGACCAGACCGGGTTCGATTCCCGGTCCAGCCATACATTTTCTTCCTTCCTGTTACAACTACCGGGTATATAATCAATACAGCCCCGCCCTAGCACAAGAATCCTTGTCCCTGGGGCCTCGAAATTTACAAATTTAGAAGAGGCACACTTCCCCATCATATCTTTACAATAAGATTTTATTTGTTTGTTTAATACCCAGGTTTAACACCCAGGAGCAGAGAAGAAGATTTTCAAAGAATTTTCACTATGTAATCTATAGCCATGAATTTCACAATTTTGGTAGAGAACTCAAATGCTTATTACAATCATGCTTTGACTGCTTGGTGTCCAGGAGTAAAGAAGATTTTTAAAGATCACATTAATTTTAGTGGTTTGGGCCCCACCCCTCTGGCTTCAAGGGGACAGGGACCATAATTCATAAATTTTAACAGTGATTTGTCTTTCGGATTGTTAAATGTAAAATAAATTAATAAATTTTGAAGCTACTTTAAATACATTTTAAATTTTTTAAAATAAAAGATTCTTACATTTTCAGTCAAGAAAAACAACATTTAAACAGGAGGCCCATGGGCCTTATAGGTCACCTGAGGATCATGCAACAACTTTCCAGTGATTGAAATTGACTCATGTTTTAAGCTAGATGCTATAGCATTCACAATTTTGAAAGAGGCACCATTGCTCATCATAACTATACACTTAGCAATTGCTTAGTTTGGTTACTTAATACCCATAGGCAGGGTAGGGGAACAAAAAATGCATTTCATCTAATCAGTAATAATCAGCAATAATCAGTAGTTCCCCTATCACACATGAACCCTTGAACCTAGGTCCACACATTGCACAATTTTTGAAAAGGCACCCTTGCTTATCAAAAATGTTTGATTAATACCAAGGAGCAGATTTCAAACAACTCATTCATTTTTACTATATAAGAGCCCCTCCCCCCTCCCCCCACTCTATGGTACCCCTGACCCTGGGGCCTTGAAATTCAAAATTCTGGAAGAAGGGCCCCTGCTCATCATAACTATATAGGTAGTTCATCTTCTTAATACCCAGGAGCAGAGAATAAATTTTTCAAAGATTTAACGTACATTTATTTCCACTATATAATCAATAGAGCCCCCCACCCAACACCAGAACTCCTAACCCTTGGGCAATGGAATTAACAATTTTGGAAGAGGCACTCTTGCTCATCGCAGATTATGTACTTAGTTAGTTTATTTAATATGCAGAAGCAGAGAAGAAAATTTTCAAATATAAAATGTATTTTCACCATATAATCATTATAGAGCCCCGCCAAAACAACAGAGCCCCTGACCCTGGGGCCATAAAATTCACAATTTTGGTAGAGGCATTTTTGCTCTTCATAACTATGTACATGTACTCATTCAGTTTATTTAATACCTAGGAGCAGAGAAGAAGATTTTCAAACGATTAATGCATTTTTACTATATAATCAATAGAGCCCCACCCTAACACCAGAACCCCTGACCCTGGGGCCATAAAATTCACAATTTTGGAAGAAGCAATCTTGGTCATCATAACTATGTACTTACTTAGTTTATTTAATACCTAGGAGCAGAGAAGATTTTCAAAGAATTAATGCATTTTCACTATATAATGAATAGAGCCCGGCCCTAACACCAGAACCCCTGACCCTGGGGCTGTGAAATTCAAAATTTTGGAAGAGGCACTCTTGCTCATAATAACTATGTACTTTGTTAGTTAATTTGATACCTAGAAGCAGAGAAGAAGAATTTCAAAGAATTAATGTATTTTCACTATATAATCAATAGAGCCCGGCCCTAACACCAGAACCCCTGACCCTGGGGCCATAAAATTCACAATTTTGGAAGAGGCATTCTTATACTCATCATAACTATGTACTTACTTAGTTTATTTAATACCTAGGAGCAGAGAAGAAGATTGAAGAAGATGATGAGCGACTCAAGTGACCTAAAAAGATGTATCACACGTGTTTAGGAGACAAGCCCCTACAGATTTTACGGGGTCTCTGATTCCACATACTAAGGGAATAAATAAGGATCAATATTGCTGACATGGCCTTGCATTTAAATGGTGAAGAAAAAATATTTTCCTGGATATATAGATTGTGTAAGAGTTGTCTATCCAACACTCTAACCATGGATCCATAAATGAAAATCCAAAATATGGGAATGTAAGCAAATCAATGGTTCTTCTGTTTTGGGGTTTTTTCCCCGAGATTTTCCTCCCAAAAAAAATATACATAGATCCATGCAAAACTTTTATGCCCCCTTAGGTGCCCCATGCATCATAGCCCCTTGGAGCCATGGATTTTAGAGTTCAGCATCTACCTCATGAAGCTTACATTATTCCCTTGCAATGGATTTGGATGGGAAATGGTGATGGAAATGGCTTTTTTGTGTGAGGCCACTGGGTCTGTGGGTGTGTGGGGGTTAGTTTGTCCTTGCGTGTATAACGAAAGTGACATAATTTATATCAGGATCAATGTCAAATGCTACCTTGCATTAAAGACACACTCTTTTGTAAGGGGATGCTATGCTTTGTGGTGCTCTTGTTAATCTTTTCTGGTCCAGTAATTCTCGAGATTTGTAAAACATCTTTCTTTTATTTTTCTACATAAAATCTTTAAGTAACAATCATATAACAGAACCATGATTAAAAACTGTACATCTTCTCACACAATGATCGTTCTTCCTTGATATTTATCATTTCAGGAACACTTTACTCCTGACCTTATTAGGCTTAATCAAGCCATGATCTGGAGTTCTCACCGAGCTTTCCCAGAACAGAAGATGGTGGGAACTGTAAATTTTTACTGTTTGTTAGACTGCATATATCCTGAACACATAATCACTTGTATAACTGTGGGCATTGGTAAAGTGCTAGGTCAATATTTCATTTGATGCCCCTAAAAATTTCTTTGGTCACACTAAAAGTTCTAATTTTTTTTAATGAAACAATTTAATTTTAATCAAAATATGGTGAAAAACAAAACAGTGTACACAGATTTATGTTTTATTTTCAAAGATTAGATTTTCAGATGAACATGTATGTTTTTTATCTTTATACAATTATAAAGAAAAATAACCTCTCTTATATTTCTATTGATTTCCTGATTGAAGTCATGGACAGAATTTATATTCTATTGCATGCTTTCCTGTTAACAAGCAACTTTTACACATAATAAAATACAAAATTTTGATTAAATGTACTTTTAAGGAATAGTTTGAAGCACTTACAACAGTTCATATATAGGAATCAGGAAATAAAACTATTTATACTTCAACTCGAGTTTCATTTAGATAAATAAGAAAGGTTTAATAGCCTTAGGTCTTTGAAATATGTTCAATTGCTAACTTAAAGATAAATATTTTAAAACTGGCATTACAAATGATTCTGAAACATATCAGCACCAGTATACAAGTCTTCTTGGTCTTTTCCCTGACATACAAAACAAACACTATATATAAATTCCCTTTTTACGCCAGCAATTCAGACAGAGAAAACAGCTGGTGTTAACTTGCTGTAGATACATATAATAATCAAAGGCTGTTCACTCCTAAATGCCGATAAATAATCAAAGTCTGTCCACCCCTAGACGCCGTTATTGTTAGATCCACCACTCAGTCCTCACCCCCCTCCTCCCCCTCCTCTGGCTCCTCCCCGTCTATCTCCCCCATCCCCTCCACGTCATCCTCCTCGTCCGAGTCGCCTGCCACCTCGCGGTTCTGATCCTCCAACTGCTTCAGCTGTTTCTCTAGCTCAATCTCGTCAATGTCCGAGACCACACGCGGCTGAAAACATCAAAATGGATTCCTGATCTAGTGTATAAATTGACTTTAATACTACAGGTAAATATTTGTTGTTGGATGTTGTATAAAGTGACTGGTTTATACTAAAGGTGTATGATGCCATTTTTATTCCCCACTGATCAAAGATTCAAGTACACAATTTTGGTTTGTCTGCCCATCTGTCTGTTTGTCTGCTAATCTGTTTTCTGCAAATTCTTTAGCCTTGTCCAAAACTTTTGAATGGTTGTTGGTCCGGCTTTCATATTTCATATGTGTATATCTTGTGACAATACCTTTGTTTTGGTGACCAACACATTTGACCTTTTGACCTTAAAGTTTTTTTTTACTTTTGCAAAAAATTAGCATACTTTAACCTAGCCCATAATTTTTAATAGTTGAGAGCTAGGACTTTTCCACATGTTCATTCCAAACACTCAGACCTTTTTTGGGAAGCAGGAGACATAAACTACCTTTGACCTGAACTTTGGGTTTGACCTACTTTTGTAAAACTTTTACCTTGGCCATAAGTTTAGAATGGTGGGTGATTGGACTGTCATGAACAATTATTTCTTGTGACAATACCTTTAATTTGGTACCAACATCTTTCACCTTATGACCTTGGAGTTTGACCTGCTCTTAAAAAACTATAACCTTGGCTATAGGGGTTTCCATATTTCCTTTATGCATCCCCAATATTTTTGGACTTCCCAAATTTATCTTGTTGATTTTCTTTTTGAAAAGCTTTAACATCAGTCATATTCTGAAAGTTTGGTACTAGGGCTAGTATGTTAGGATTGTAAACTTAAGAGTGTCTGTGTTCTATCACTGCCTACCTGTTTGTGGATGTTGAATATCCCCCCTGCTTCCTCTATCATGAGTTTAATGCTAGCAATGGCCTTGACCTACCTGTTTGTGGATGTTGAATATCCCCCCTGCCTCCTCTATCGTGAGTTTAATGCTAGCGATGGCCTTGACCTACCTGTTTGTGGATGTTGAATATCCCCCCTGCCTCCTCTATCGTGAGTTTAATGCTAGCGATGGCCTTGTTGAGTGTGGCTAAACCCTCTGTTCTCTCCAGTGTGGATGTGGTCATAACGTACAAGGGTGGGGCAATTAGATTTATCTAGGATAAAAAAAGAATTTCATCAATACAAAGAATAATTCTAAATATATGTAATCAGCTATACTCTACTAGAAAAATAAACCTTTACAATTTGCGGTAAATCAGGTGTGTGTGCAATGCTAGTAGTTATTTATGGTAAGTCAAAATTTACTTATGTTCAAAGATATGAAAACAGCTACAACTAACATACAATGCTAAGAGAAACTATATTTTTCAACACTACTGATTACTATGGGACACATGCAAATCTTTGCATGGTACTAACAACTAAAACATTGTAGTAAACATATATTAGGTCTTAGGAGTTATGTACCTTGATTGGCATAGCTTCTGTGGATAATTCAAGACCTTTCTTTAGCGCTCTTTTCACTGCATCGACTCCTTCATAATTTGTACAAGCAACCTCAAGATCTGATTAAAGAAAAACAAAGCCATTGGTCTCATACTTCCCACAGAGATGATCCGACAGAGTAAACATGAAAACTCCCATCTCTTTTTACAAATCTTTACAATGAAGTTATACCTGCTCTTATTTTGACAGCCTGTGGTGTTAGTCTCCTTTTAATATTTTGTAGGAGTACATTTTTTGTCTCTTCGTCAATGTCCAACTCATCCAAAATTTCAGGGTTCCTTTTATAAACAATAAAAATGTATTAGTATTAAAGATTACTATTAAAGACCACACTTCTGTAATAGAAGAAATTACTAATAAGTCATTACTGTACTGATTCTCTATTTATCTGGTCAATGAAAAAGGTGTTAGAATTAATAATATTCTGATATATTTCCCAAAGTAACAAACCATCCTTACGTCACTGCGTGTTTAAAAGCTTCATACGATGCCCCAGGCTTCTTGTATTTATCATCAAAGAACCAGGCTGTCTTTGTGTATAATTCTTCCATCTGTTCGTCACTCGTGTATTTCATCAGCTCTCCTACGTGACGTAAAATACTGTTCACCTGAAAAATTACAAGTAACTTTGTGTTCAGTATAACTTTGTGGTTCTAAATAATGAGAATCTACTGAAAATTATTTAATTTTGTATAATTTTTCCTTTTGTGTACAGATATAGACTTACAGCCTTGGCTTTGGCGAACTTTTCTTCACATTTTGTGACCTCCTCTGGAGAGACTCTTCTCTTTGATAAATCAATGTATCCTGGGTAGACAAAATACATATTAAATGTTATAGAAACATGTAAAATAAAAAACAACATACATATACAAATACATTACTGCTATGTTAATACTTTAGTACTTTGCGTTCCATGCTATGATAAATAAGGTTAGCCCTTTTGGAATTCGTAAAAAATAAATGAGTCCATCATTAACCTCAAAGAAATTCAACATAAGAAGGAATGAGAAATAAAAGTTATGACTAGAGAAAATAATAAAACAACTTTCACATGAAATGAGGGAACTTGAATACCTTTATCTTTGTCTACTCTGATAACGACCACACATTCACTGCGTCCGATGCGGATAAGTTTGTTGATGGACCTGATACGACGTCGGGACAACTCTGACAGGAGAATCATGCCCTCGATGTTATTGTACTCCAGTAAATGGACATAGGCCCCCATCTCAGCGATGGAGCGGACATTAACCATGACGACATCCTCCACCTCCGGGTATTTGTTCTTGTAGAACCTACACGACAACACCATGATGACGCTCTGCTATGTATAACCTGGAAAAACAAAATGTAGTTATGACTAAAAAGGCTTAACACTGAGATTCAGCATCATACATATCAATTCGTTTTAGTCAGTTTAAGGTAAAAATTGGGAGGAAAAATCACATAATTGATTTAAAGCAATACGAGCTGCAAATTTGATGTCAGGATTCATAACAAATTTTTTACTGTTCTTCATCATCTTCCTTAACCAAGAGTTTAAGATCTGCACTCACCTCTCCAACTCTTCTGATTGGGATGCTGATCATTAACCCCACCCCAACCCCCCCAACCCCAAAAAATATTACCATTCTGATAATATCCTTTCAGTCATTCAAAATCTATATCGATACCTTCATTAACTTTTCTTTAAAAGGGGAAAAAAAATTCATAAATACATTGATTGGGAAGGGCTTGCGCTATGGGCTCTAGTTGCACTGAAGTGAAAAATGGTGCATTAAATCAATCAGTGGTGGCACCAAGGTGCACATTTCTAGCGATGTTACTTAAAAATATTTTAAATTTGCTGCATCGCATATGTTAAAAATTAGATTTGTTTAATTAAAAACATGTTTTCTTCCATATTTTATATTTGATTGTCATTTTGTCATTTCTTAAAATGACCAGATTAAATTGATGGCCCAATATTTACATTTCAAATGTCTTTGTCTGAGATAAAATTACAAATTGTAATTTATGTACTTTATTTCTCCATTAATGTTTTGGCACAATTAAAAAAATCACGTGCAGGGGGGGACAAATTGCTAGACAGAAGCAGGGCTTGGGGCACGTGGATTGGTGGAATCAAAGCATGTAAATATAAGGAATAACTGTCAGATTTTTCAATTTCATGACAATGATAAATCTATTGGCTTGCATGATAATTTTTCAGCATTTATTATCATGCAAGCCAATCGATTGATCACATCATGTGTAATCGAAAAATAAGACAGTTATTCCTTAATTCATTTTCAAAATGGCCCATTAAAAAATGTTGACAGTTCATGCCATAGTCCCATCGACCATTGTGACCCTCCCATTCACTATACAAAAATATAGAACAGTTTGACTTCGGAATCTTGAACACAGATATCTCAAACACAGTGAATGTGTTTAAGTAATTTGTAGGTCCCAACCACTAGTTCTAAGTTTTTCCCCTCTAATCTCGAATTCTTAGATATCTCGAAGAGTTTTCTAAATCCCTTCCAGTTTCAGATAACAAGACTTGACTGTATTTCAAAATTGTACGTCTCATATATTTCTGGAATATGTTCATTCCATTACAAGAAAATTAACAAGCCATTTAAAGTGTTTTCCAAAACATTGTGAATTGTGATGCATTAAAATCCTTGTATATCTTGGGAAATAAAAAAAAAGTTATTTCAAATATGCAAAAGCAATTCTTTAACAGCTCGAATTTTCTCTGTCTAGTTTCCTACTTTCTTCTTCATTTACGACCAAATCTAACTCTTAACTTAACAATGCATTCTTTCATTATGTCTCAGTATTTAACTGTGGCTCAAAGATCGGTCCTTTTTTAATTATGCGTATAAGAATGGACTAACAGCTGTCTATTCACGTGGGCACAAGTAAGATTTATCACCTGTTTTTTCCCCGTTTCAATGAGAATATGAACTTTCCCGTGGATATACCATTGTGAAATTTTTTTCGCTATTTAATAAACTTATGTTCATAACTTAATTTATGATAGAGTCTGGCTTTTTTACGATTTTCAACTTACTTCTTTGCTATCGATTCTGATGCAAGTACGAGTCTTCGTAAAAGATGATCCACTAAACTACCGAGCCGGCTCTAAAACGCGAAATCGAATGCCACTTCGCAGTTTTTTTAAAATAAAAATTTTATTGAAATAAAGCACTCGTGGTACGAAGTATGAATTCTTAAATCTTTATTTGATAATAAAAGTTACCAATTTCACCATGTTCACATATTCGATTTTACATTATTATCTAGGGAAAAACTAAGGAACTTAAGGTTAACTTTTCTCCGAAAAAAATGTAATAACCTTGAAATCATTTCCCTCATTTGATATCAGAAAATCAAATTGAATGTTCAATCGCTAATTCATAGTTAAATACCTTCAAAAATTTATTTTAGTAATCTAATATACTAAGGTCCCTATTTCTCCTCTCAATAATCACGGGTTTAGAATCGAATAATTAAATCTCCACCAAAAACCATTTTAATCAAAATGCACTCATATACATGTGATTGTGATTCCCTTTTGTGTATACTATATGGCCTCATACCACATGTACCATGCAAAGCGGTTTACTCTTGGAAACTCCTTTTACCCACATTCCATTAAATTTTAAGGTGAAAAATTTATCGAGTTAGCCTATATATTTTTTAAATTCAGTATTATTTTTTCACATAAAATTGATAAAAAGCAACAAAGAAATCGATCAGGATGCATATTATAAACAAATTATAGACCGGGATCTAAATGCGCACCATTAAAAGTCGGGATCAAGATGTCCATCATATTAAGCGGGTAAATTGTAAATATTGAGCTACAAGTACAACTGCAAGACAGAGAAGAAATGGATAATGGGGTGGGTCACGATTTATACAGGACATTTGAACATGTGTTCAGTGACTGCAAATCAGAAGTTAACCCTAAAACATACAAAGATGGTGACAACACTATTGAGAAAACCCAATTCGAGTACCTGACTGCTGCCACGTCTTCTGACTCGAGTCTAAATAAACCAATCAGTGAGCGTGTAGACATAAGGACACTGATCCAGGAATACGAAAAGAGTATAGAGGAGCTTCAACTGACCTTGTCAGCAACACGATCACAGCGAAAAGTCTTAGCGGCAGATTTATCAAAAGAGAAAGATGTGAAGGAGCAACTGAGCAAAGTCCGGACAGCTTTAGCCAACAAGCTCCAGGATCAAAGCACAAGGAAGGAACCCAAGGACAGCTACAGGCTACAACTGGAAGACAGAGTAAAGAATGCGAAGAAGCAGGGGAAGGAACTTAGAGGCAGTCTGGGGGCATTTATTAACAAGCACTTCCCAATGCCAACAAAGGAAGTTGTGAGTGAAGCCCGTAAAAAGCTGAGATCTTCCGACAGAAAATCAGAAGAAAACTTAGTCTCTCTTAAATCAATTTTGGAAGATTTAGTGAATAAATGCATGGAGGACCCTAATGATCCCTACATTGATGTTGATGACAGTATCTGGCCTCCGTATGTGGAGCTTTTATTGAGATGTCAGATTGTAACAAGACATCCAGACAATAACGCAAAAATCAAACTTGTTCCCTTTCATCTGTAGATAGGATTTTGTTATTAACTAGCACTGTATTTGTAATACATTGTCATTTTAAGTTATTCAAAATGAACTGATTGGCAAAAAACTACATTATTGTGGGAATTTATGCACTTTTTAAAAGATTGACTGGAAAAAAAGTTTCTTCTTCATACACTGCATTATTATGCCAACAGAATACGTAAATAAAAACTACTGGTAAATTTGCTTTGAAATGTTTGCACATTTGTTCTAAGAGTCCTCGTTAACACAAAATGTGGATGCTGCAAAATTATGTTGAACACAACTTCGTTATAAATTGCATCTGTGACCTGTTAGTGGATTCACTCTTGTTGTAAGGAAAACAAATACATGTATGAGCGTTTTGAAATTGGGAATTTTTTATGTCAGGATTTGTCTAAAACATATTGAAGCTGACATGTCCTGAAGTCATTGTGAATGTAAATAATACATGTACGAGGGGTTATCAAAAAGTTCGTGGACTAGCGCCATAAAATTAAAACCGCTTAAGGTACACCAATGAATTTTGAAATATCTAGGTAGCATCATCTTTTCTATCCAAAGAATCAACCACAAATCATGAATTTTATTTTTAAATAAATCAGTAATGTTTTTGTAAGCAATGGTATGTCCAGGCGGCGCAACCTCAAAAACGATGTTTTTTCGACCTATGTGTAACTGAGAAAAACTCTTTTGATATGATCATTTGACATCCAAAAAAACCTGTTAATTCAGTTATGTGTCGGGACACAATTGTTCTACAAAATATGAAATTTTCACTTCATTTTGAAAGTTCTATGAAATTTTATCGTAAATTTTACACGGAATGTCCAAACAAACGAGGCCTTGAAAATGACGTCAAAAGGGGGGAGGGGTTTCCGTTTCCAACATTCTATAAAGTTTTGCTCCTGAAAAAAACTGGTATAGACCTAAAATATGTTGAAACTGGCTACAGAGAAATAAAATGCATCCAGAGTACTTGTCTTTTAATGTCAAGATAGATTCAGAGAGTAAAGGGATACACAGTTAATGTCGATTTGCAGTCAATGTGTGCAAAATCAATCCCGTCAAAAATGACGTTGATCATGTGTTGTATATATTTTTTTAAAACTCCCAAAAGCAAAATATACCGGTACAATCATGCAAGGATCTCTTCCAATATATTAATCTATCTTGAATATTATAAATTCATTGAAAGCCACTGTTCATGACATTGTATAGTCATATAAACAAGGTGGGTGTAAGTCCTTACTCAGCTCCAGGGAATCTCATCAAAAAAGTATATGAGGTAGGAGAAGAGGACATGGAAAAACAATGACGTTATCGGACGTCATGAAAATAAACGACGACAGCGCCGGGTGATCATATAATGTCGTTTTCATTTTATGATAATTTGGCAAATATTGAACATACCAGGCTAAAATTTTCAACATTTCTTTATTTTGTGTTGTTTTATGTTCCAAATAAATTTTGAAAGCACAGACTACATAGTACTAATTTTATAGCCTCAGTCCATGAACTTTTTGATAACCCCTCGTACTAAATAGTTTAAAAGATATGAAACACTTTATACCTATTTCTTTTACAGGTATTTGATTGTGTGCATACTAAACTTTGATAACAGTTGTTTTCTACTGTGACTACACCTAAGAATCTTGTATTTTTGCATTCCCCCCAAAAAATACAGCATTTTATAGCAAATATTTTTCCATAGTGGATTCGGTGATTTTAAAATTGTCTGGAACTCAACCATCGACAAATTCTTGAGACCCAGGACTCAAATTAACAAGATCCTAGTCAGACCCTTTTGAATCAGAGATAAGCTAGTCCTTATGCAAATACAACAATACAAATTGATGTTTGTAAATATTTTAATGGGGGAAAAATGAGTCAAAATAAGCTTATCACAGAAGCAGGCCACTGAAATTGCCTTGGATGGAATTGCACACCTTAAAAACAACATTCATTGTTCAGTCTCTAAAACCCTGTATTTGCAGCATATTCAGTTCCAAATAATCCACGGCACTTTAGCGAAAACTCCTTGGATACTTCTCGTATTTTTCTTTTGTTGATTTTCTCCCTTCAAAAAAATGGTACAAAATGAAAATAATTTTCAATGATATCATTGAGTTTATTTTGGAAATTAGTACTCAACAGTTAAAAACATTGATTTAACTTGGAAACCATATTTCAAATGTACTTTGTTAAAATAGAACTGAAGCTAAGTTTATTTGGTCATCTGATTCTCATTTACCTGAGGATACCCTTGATAAAGGCGTCTTTGTCCTCTTGGTTAACTTTGGGGGAGGGGTATCCCTCCTGCTTCATGAGTTGGTTCATCCATACTGGCATGTTTTCAGGGTAATGTTTATTCAACATTAAGAAAACATCAGAAAGGTTTTCAACCAACCCCCTAGCAGCTTCGCCACCAACAGCCTGAAATGTTTATGTATATATACATGTATCATCCTGAAGCAGCAGCTCAATGTTTACTTAATAAATATTTAGCATTGAAATGAATTATCATTATTTGAGAAGCACATATATGTACATTTACTGTGAAGGATAAAAGCTATGTGCATGCATAGTAGTATAGCTAGCCATTGAAAATCTGTAGTCATTTCCCTTTACAGTTCTTCGGGAGATTATTAACACATGTATCTAAAGTGCAATATAAAATTCACTTGAATCTGCAGAACAATGAACAATATAACATACTCTCAGTATTTTATCTAGTAGAAGACTTCCTTCCTCCTGAACAAGGGCCTTTATAACAGGAGTGGTCTCCCCTGCTGACAAGAATTCTCCCTGCAATCAAATTAATACATGTATCAGTATGTCTTGGAAATTCATGTTATCAGTAAAAGTAAAGCTGTACAGAAGTGATATTCTATTCATGTTCAAGATTTTTTCCCTGTTAAAATTCAGACAAAAAAGTGTTTATTGTCACAATTCAATACCATAAGTTTGAAGTTCTAATCACAGTAATGTTAAATGAAAATCATTTGAGATACAGTCCTCTCACACAGTGATCTAAGTAAGAAGATGAAAGGATACAAGTTCATATGAATTAATTTTATATGATAAAAAAAATTGACTTGCCAGAAATGAGCAGGTGGCTTTGACTGTTTGGTGTTCTGGCAAGGACAAGGCCTGGAGAGCTGAAACCAAATACTGGGTGTTCATTGATGGTAAGACTGTAAAATTTCAGGAGTTTACTTTCGAAGATGGAGATCAAACTTTATTTTTAGAAAGCTTTACCTGAGTGAAAGAGGCTGGAGATTTGTAACACACATTGTTCTGTTGTCAGTACACTTTTACTTTTCTTCAGAACCTACAAAGTAAAACAATGGCTACACATAAAGAGAATGCATACACCTGTTCAACAAAGCGAACATTTGTACCTCCAGTAGAAATGTTCGCAAGCACTCGCTCTGTTAAACAGGCCTCAGATGTAATATTCCTTTTTACATTCTATAATTTTACAGTAAAATAGGCTACATGCCTAGACATATTATCTGGATTGTTCGATTTCATATGTTGAAAGAGTGTGGAACTTTATAAGTCTTCTTTACTTTAAAGACAGTCATGACACTTAAGCACTATTTCAATCACTTTAGAACTACTTTTGAAAAAAAAATTCTTTAAATAAAACATTGAGTATTCATGTATTATATTCAGGAGTGAATACATGTATTAATGTGTTTTTGCTGCCTGATTTTGCATCACTTTGTATGTGTGAAAGTATGTAACAGTGTGTAACTTACTTGAGATAAGAGATTCATGAAAGCTTCAATCACATCAGTGTAGTCCTGAGGGCCTGTAATGGAAACAAACAAATCAGCTGCAGAACCTCTGTTTACAAAAAGTTTATCCAAGTCGTAGTAAAATTAACACAGGATGACTTACCTTTAGTGAACAGCTCCAGTGTTACTGTACAGATATTCCCCAGCAGAGCTGTAACCACTGTATTTAACTGAGGATCTTCATGATGCATGATAATCAGCTGCCAACATCAAATCAATGAAAGTGTTCAATGGTACAGTAATGATTTTAGAAAGCTCTAATTTAACAAAGAGTAGTTTATTTTTAATCTTCTTTATAAGAATACACTTTAATATTGCCATCAAAATTGTGCTTATTGAACAGTACCTGTTTGGCTAAATCCAAGATGGCTGGACTGGGGTTGACTTGGTACATCTGTACTAACATCTCTGCTACGTCTTTAGACAGCAGAGCGAAATCATCCAGTAGTGTCCGCAGGGCGTGTTTAAACATATCACAGACTCCCTACAAAAAGTACTACAGTTAAAGCCTAGGAAGAACACTGTGTTTTATTATAAAAATAATTTTTTATTGTTTAAAAAGTCTTCCAGACTTTCTTTACATATTTTATTAGGTATTCATGTGATGCATTCAATTACAGCAAAATTTTTACAATGAAAGCATCTAATTTGGATGTAAATAATTTTTTTCACCTTTAGAAAAAATACAAAAAAATTCATATGAAATAATTAAGAGAATTTGGCCTTTCAATGCTGAAACCATTGTTTACACACATAAATCTTAAAATAAAAAATTGGTGTGGCATTCCACCTTAAAGCCTAAAAGAATCACTTATTACATTATAAAACACTTCTCGACTTTTTTTTTGTTTACAAGTTTTCGTTCTGTTACCTCTATGATTCCTGGGTCATTGATCCAGTTTGCCAGCAGACTCTGTATAATGGGGGCCAACTGCTGTAGGAGCACTGCCACCTGTAGACAGAGAATCAGAAAAATCAGAAAGTTTTACAGAATTCCCATCATAAATTATCACACACATAAATCTTGATGAGGCACATTTCTAAAGAATTACCGAATGTCCTTCACCACCAACACTTACTGGTTTTGGGGATGTTGATTTAGGTTTGGCCTTGACCTTCTGAGGGACTGTTCTGGAGCTGTTGTCCAGTGAGGAAAATAGGTCTGTGAGGTATTGACAATCTCCTCATACTTCATCCTTAACTGGTGTAGAGGGCTGACAGTGCAAAAACTAGATACTGTCCAGTCTAGGGACAAAATACAAGTATTTTACAGAGAATTCTATACAAAAATACTTTATGGTTCTCTGTATTTCTTTTCACAATTTACTTACAAAATTTAAAAGAGAAATATAATTGCAAGTTGCTTTCATGTTTCTTAGTTATGTGTATATATACACATTTTAGTGTGCAATATGAAACATCAAATTGATACATTGTATATTCCATTGTAACATTATTTTTTTATGAAATGTTGAAATGGCTCATTCATTTTTTCCAATTAGCAGTACATGTATTTACCTTCAACAATCCACTCTGAAAGGCATGCTGGAATCAAAAAAAAACAAACAATTTAGTTCTATGAATAATGTAAATGTATACATGTTACTGGCAAAATGCATGTACTGTCCACAGTTATGCATATAAAGATTTACCTGCACATTCTTCAGGATTTGTAACACTTTTTTTATATGGAATTTTTATCATGACCCCACATACATGTATTTTTAACCTTACAATTTTTAATTTCACATGCTGAATACTATCATTTGTGATGCATATGATTGAAAATTACTTGACATGACTTTATACTTGACACAAGCCCAGAACTTATAGTGATTTGGTTGACAATTACTTGACATGAGCCCAGAATTTATAGTGCATATGGTTGAAAATCACTTGACATGACCAAAGAATTTGTAGTTATTATTATGACAATTTTTTGACAGGACCATGAAGTCACATACATGTATATATTCATATTTTCTGTTACGGTATATCTCAGAATTTGTGGTGCACAATAATGGTGTTTGATTTATTTAGCCTTTGTTAAACAGTTCTTAATACATGTAATAAGAGATAAAGTCCGCCTCAACGAACCTGTTGTATACGCAATAACTCTCCTCATGCCCCTGGCTAAAAATAGCACACAATACTATCATACTAATAAAAAAACGGGGCGGGGCACTACATCCCAAAGAAAATATTTATGCAATTTTGATCCGATACTTTGGAATAGGATAAAAACTTCAAACTAGTTTTGAAAATGTATTAAAATCCATTGCATAAGCAAATTTCTTGAAAGTATTCATCCCTTGATGCATCATTTGTGCACAGTTTGGTTTATACAATGTTATATAAGCTTATATTTTTTGACCTCAAAATCAATAACTTTTAGGCCACAGGGAGTTGTTATATAAAATTTCATTGCAATAGCTCAAATGGTTCATTAGTGTGCATCCTGATGTATTGTCCATGCAAGTTTGGTCAACATACAGAATTTAGTTATTTATGACCTTGACCTTTGACCTGTTGACTCAAAATCAATAGGGGTCAGATTCAGCATCCACAGGGAGTTCCTATGCTAAATTTCATTGCAAAAGCTCAAAGGGTTCTCAAGGTATCTGTGGAAATGAAAACGTTACACCTAAAAAGACTTGTTCGGACGGACGAAAATGTAGGTCAGATTCAGCATTTGAAGCAACCATGGTGATGCATCCTAAGATGTATCAAACCTGCAAGTTTGGTCATTATAGTGCTCATAGTATCTTGGAATATTAGAGAGCCAAAACACTTTAATTGTTCATGAATGAATAGGTAAAGTCAGCATCTGGGACAAGCCTGGTAGGCATTCTAAGACATATCATCCATGCAAGTTTGGTCAACATATGGCTTATAGTTACTTGGAAATGAAACCTGCACCGCAAATTTCAACCTGTTCACTCAACTGGAAAATATAGGTCAGATTCATCACAGATAGCAAGCCTGGTAGTGTGCATCCTTAGTGTATCATCCATGCAAGTTTGGTCTACATAGGAAAAATAGAATTACTACAAATGAAACCTGTCCCAAAAACTTTAACCTGTTCACTCAACCGGAAAAATAGGTCAGATTCAAACACAGCACATTCTACACAGAATCAGTTAATCCTGTATGAGTTCTATTTCTTTTCTTTAAAAAGCTTCATAAGAGGATATTATCTTCAAACTTCTTTGATTATGAAATGTTGAAAAGCTAGCTCATTTTTTTTTCCAATTAACAGTATTTACCTTCAACAATCCACTCTGAAAGGCATGCTGAAATCAAGAAAGACAATCACAATTTAGTTCTATGAATAAACATTAAGATATTGTTGTTCATTTACAAAATGCAACCTCTACAGTTATTGATTTGCATTCCTGACACAACCCATAGGATTATGTTTGATACATTTTTTACTAACATAATCCCAGGATTTCTGAAGTGCATGATTGATAATTACTTGACACAAATCTTCAGAATTTGTAGTGCATTTAGTTGCCAAGAACTTGAAATGACCTTAGAATTTACAGTGATAATTACCTGACATGACCTTAGAATTTGTCGTGCATTTAGTGATAAAAACTTGATAACAGCACAGAATTTCTGGCACAAAAATGTTAACCTGCTCCAAAAACCTTACTTGACATTCCTTTGCAGAATTTGTGGCATCTGAAACTTTGACTGCTACAATGAAACACACTAGAGCAAATGGTTGTTAATTTCTTGACAATATAGGACATGAACTTTAAAAGAAAACTGGTTGACAAAACTTATTGACAGGAGCTTTGAATTGGTGGTGCATCTGGTTTCTAATTACCTGACATGACCTCAGGATTTGTGGAGCATATGTTGACCTAATTACCTGACATATTCCTAGGATTTGCAGAGTGTATTGATGATAATTACCTGACATGACCCTAGGATTTGTGGAGCATACGGTTGTATGTGGTCGAGATTCTCTGCGGTGACGTCTTTTAATGACATCGTGGCTGACTCGGCTATCTCCCCGTTCTGAAGCCCCTGTAGACCCTGGAGGATGAGGGGGATCACAGAGTTCAGGGACTCGGGGTGGCAGTTAATCCACTCACTGAAGGAACCTGTAACAGAACACGCTGTACAGTTAGTGGGTAACAATTCTTTTTAAAAATTTGTGTGTGTGAACATCTTTTTTGTGTGTGTGAATATAACATTTTATTCAGTGGTATAGGACAACTTCTGGATAAGAGATGCATACCATAAAGCATAACGGAGGAATGGAAGGGTTGACACCCAATCACTAAGCTCTCTCTGCCTTCCAGAGATATGGAATCTTATAAACTAATGTGTGCATACCTATCATTTTTAATGCTCCTGAGATGTACTTGATGTTGTTGAAGGGAAGTTTGGGGAGCACACTGAGCATGCTCGGGATATGAACTTCCTCCTCCAGATCCACATTTTCTGCCACCGAGGAGAACAGGAAAAATATGGCCTCTATCAACTACATATTAAAAGAAATTTAACTCGAACTCTAATTTTAAATCACATTTAATGTAAAATTAAGAATTAATCAATTTTTTCAAATAATTCAATGCTAAAATGCAGGTTCTAAATTGAATTATTACAAAAGGCCCATAGGTTACAATGCTCATCTACTTAACCAAATTTTAATGACAACTTGAGATTTTATACCGGTAATAACGACTTGACATTGGAGTGATTTAGCTAACCTGCCATTGTGCCTCCTTGGGGTTTTCAGCAGCACTGTTAAGTGTGTTACACATGAAGCCGAGTAATGGTTCTCTCAGGATACTGTAGGAATACATCTACAAACATAGAACACACACCCAATAAATAAATATATACCGGTATATAGACATACATCTAAAACGCAGAGCACTTTAAGTACATAGATACATGTACCGCTCTGACTACAAACATACTGAGTAAATAAAACTTTATAGAAACGCATCTAAAGTTTCCTACCATTGTATCCCCAATATCCTGCCTGTAGCACCTGAACTGTTCTTTTTCATCTAAAAAATAATTACTCTTGCTAAAATGGTCCATCAATAAAAAAAATTCTGAATTACATGATGTTAAATATTGGTAAGTTATAGGTAAAACATTGCCTCCACACTTAACATGGGTGTCACCTTTTGTCCATGAGTTGTACTCGTCTTCCTCGGGGTACTGGACTTTTACCAGGAGAGTCTGTATGAGGGACAGAAACACAGGACAAAACATCTGGTGAAGGACTTTATATCGCTCAGGGGGGGACTCCTGTATACCGTCCTACAAACAGAAGTCAGCCAGTTAACAACTTAACAACCAGAAGGCAGACTGTAATAGGGGACTTAATATTAAGGAGTCTACAACTAGGCAAAGGTGGAAGGCATTCAGTTAACAACCAGATGGCTGGCGGGCTGTTAAAGGGAATACTTAATGAGGAGTCTAAAACATTGGTGGAAAGCACTAAGTTTACATTTGGTACAAATAATTATATATTTTGGATATGCAGGTGTATTATGTTTGTGACTTAAATAGGTGTGTTATTATAAAATGTAAAAACCTGGACATGTTTATAGAACTTACTTGTAAGAGATACCAAAATGTGAAAAACATGTTGCTAAAATTCTCATCCACTGGGAAATGGCCAGGAATTGCAGTGCAAGTCTGTATAAAGAACATCAATTACTCTGTAATTCTATGTAATGCTATCATAACTGAACTACTGACGTCTTTTATAAACTCTAAGCATTTGACAAACCAATAACTAAACATTGATTTGCATTTGAAGGATTCATTTGAGTGTATAGGTATTACCAGGACTAGATTGATGAAGTTGGTGGTTGTCTCCCTTGTTTCGGGACTAATTGCCCAGTCCAGTAAAAGAGAGATGTTGTTTTCAGCATAGGAAATAATGATCTGGCCCACTCTCTGACAAACATCCTACAAATTTACAAAAAAATTCAAGTTACACTTCATACTTTGTACAATATAACAAAACACATTAATATGGCTACATTATACATTTCAGATGTCAGAGTACTGTTAAAAATCAAACAGTCAAATTCTTTGTAAAAAGTACCCTTCTATATCGGATTTTTTATTTACAGCTTAAAATTAAGACTACACTCATACATTTGTATTATCTATTAACAATGCAGTATAATATTGAAAAACCATACCATATCCAGAGAGTCTCGAGCCTTCATGAATGTGTCCTGTAGTCCCAAAACACACGACAGGTACTTCTTCATCGTGTTTTGAAACCTACAATAATATTCAATTGTCAAGTTATGCCTCCCTTTTTATAAGAGAAAAGTAGTAAATTGGAAAATACAGAATGGCATTCATATGCCTTAAACTTGTGGTAGATACCTTTCACAGCTGGGGTGAGTGAAGACATTTACGAGAGTCTCTACCGCTGTGTCAAACAGATCGGGGTTATGGAGACACTGGAATGTCTGTAGAATGATGCTCTCGGCCTCGCTGAACAAGGAACCAAGGTCTAGCCAGCTGGAGAAACACTGCAGGGCCGACTTCTGTATCTCCACCGGGGCACCGGGCAACAACAGGCTTTGTAGGAGGGGGATTACTGAATAATAAAAACAACGGAAAAGTCAGAGGCACCGGGCAATAACAGGCTTTGTAGGAGGGGGATTACTGAATAATATAAACAACCGAGAAGTAAGAAGCACCGGCCAACAACAGGCTTTGTAGGAGGGGGATTACTGAATAATATAGACAACGGAGAAGTCAGAGGCACTGGGCTACATAAGGCTTTGTAGGAGGGGGATTACATAATAATACAGACAACAGAGAAGTCAGAGGCACCGGGCAATAACAGGCTTTGTAGGAGGGGGATTACTGAATAATAAAAACAATGGAGAAGTCAGAGAATGTCCAAATCAGTATTACAAGAGAGGATAATTATAAAAACAGTAAAACAACATTCATTAAAGCAAAATTTTACTACACACTTGATGGATCCATAAAATGAATTTCTTGAACTACAAAGTATACTGAAGTCATATACATGTATTTATATAAAGAGACTTTAAGCTTTGCAGTTTGCACTCAAATTTTCTTTAGTAAAAGATTGTGTACCTGATTTAAAATTCTAAAGTTTTTATTCATTGACAAAATTGTTTAAGCAAACTTGAAAATTTTAATTGGACAAGCATGATAGAACAAATGGTTAATGCATGCATAAAAGATGCTTAGATGAGTAAAATTAAAAGTGCAATTCATGGAGAGATCTCAAACATTTACAACATATCAGCAAGATAATCTAACTTTTACAAACCATGTGAAAGACTTTTGTGAAGCTCATTTTTAAGAACCAATCTCCTGCTTTGGCTTAAATTGGCACTGAAAAACTGAACATAAGTAAAACATTAAATCCAGATTTATTCATTAATGTTCACAGATATGTATGTTGGTGTATCATAAATAAGGAATACTGTATACAGGGTTATTTTCGCTCCATGATATTTTCATCCTTTCACACTTGTAAGCAATTTTGCCCCGTTTTAAATTTGCCCAGTCACAGTTATGTTTAAGAAATTGTACTTTGTTCTTTGAATTCTCCTGTTTAAAATTCATCCACCTGTGAACAGGGTGAAAGAGGCAAAAATAAAACAGGAATGAAAATTTTCCTGTATACAGAATATAGGAATTACAAAAACTCACTTCTTCTGGAAGAACTCGTAGAATCTCTAACAACACTTGGCATCTCTGAACTTCCTATCAAATATGAACAAAATTAACATTAAAATACTGCAATGATCATCTTTTAAACACCCCCACACATGAAGTCAGCTTAGATAATCTAGTTTTACTCACGGTGACGTTCTGGAGGGACTGGAAGGTGGAGATAAGTTGAGGGACGGGGTCAGGCCAGTCGTCCGGGGTCATATGAAGGATTAGGCACGCCAACTGTCATAAAGCAACATCATGTAGGTAGCTCCTAATGTCTACTTTATTTAAATTTTTATGTCAATTTTTCAGCACAGGACATTATGTAAGTATTTCCTAATATCTACTTTTATTTCCAGTTCTTATGTCAATTTTCACATTTAATTGCCATAAATTACAATGTAGATGTACCAGCATTAGTACTGAGTTTCTCTTTCCGAAACACTGGTACATGTACCTACTTTCTTTACACTGATACAATACATAATGTGTCTTGCATATCAAAAATGAAATCCTGTACAAAGATGAGGTTTAATTCTCACAAAAAAATTCTTTTAACCAAACAGCATGCAGTTTTATGAATGGTTGTGTACAATCCACAGTTTACTCTTTATCTAGAGAGAAAGTATGCATAAATTAACAAACAAGAGCTGACAATAGATTATGTAAGGATTATAAACTTACAGATATACAAAGGCGTGTGGTGACGATTTTATCTCCACTGCACAGCTCCATGATTTTCTGTAGAAGTCGACTACGGAGATTGTCATATTGTTCTGGAGGCACCTCCGACCTACAGTATAAGACAAAACATCACAGACAAATAAACTTCTAAAGCAGGGGTAAAGCAGATTTCCACTATTCCAAGAACAATTGATAAAGTCATATTTTACCAGTATCTGGAGATCTTTGCATAAAGAGTATTTGCTCCATAGAATTTTACTTCCACAGTCTGAAAAAGGTGATTCATGTACATGTATTTAGCAAAAATTTTGTCAGGATAAGTTGGACATGAAAAGAAGGAAAAAAGTTGAAAGCTTAATTTATTTTAAAGCCTAAAAACATGTAAATTACAATGGATACCACATCTGTGTCATGATAATTTAATACTAGATTCATGCACATCCACAACAACTGGCCTGACATTTGGAAGAGTTATTTTAATAAAAACTTAACCATATCTAACCTAACATTTTCTGGGAATATGTAATGGTGGTACCTTTTCGGGGGAGAGTAGCTCCCAGCAGAAGCTCCAGGCCTCCGGGGAGATCTGTGTCAAGGTCAGCCATTGCTGGATCTGTTGCTGCTGCTGGCTGCCTGCATTCTGATAAAACTGATGCACAGCCTACAGGGGAGAATCAGAGTGGAGTTAGTTATTATGTTCTGTTGGAGAAATGCCTGCAGTTATGTTATCTTAATGCTGTGACAAACAGTAAACATCTTAAATGAACTAAAGTAAAAATAAAAACTGACAACAGTTTTCCTTAAGATTACATCATCAGTCAATTCATAAATTTTAAAACCAAAAATAATCCACAAAATGTGAATAGATGGAGAAACAGATAAATGGATGAATCAGTAATATTGTTATGCAATAGAAAGGAGAAAATTTGACAGAACAGACTATGCTTCAAATTTGGGTTCCATAAAGGGTGGCCATAACACCAAATGTAAGAGAAAGGAAGAAAATTTGATAGCTCAGACCAGGATAAAAGCTCGTCTCCCCTAAACACTTGACAGGTACTCTATTAAGTGATCTATCTGGCCAACTTTGCATTCTGAAAACTTCAGATGATTCTGCTATCTTCAAATTCAGTAAACAATGAGGTACGAGTCAGCTGAGGTTTGCTGCTTGGCCCCCTTTGTACCATCATCGGAAACCCATGGGTGATCTCATCTTATCCAAGACAAGATCACTCATGGGTTTCGACGATGCCTTTGTACAGACCTGTCTGTAGGTTCTGACCGCAACAATAGAATTTTCTTTGTAATCTGGCCGATAAATAATTACCTGCTCAACACAGGAGGCTGAGAGTTCAGAAGTCATCTCATTACTGGCCAACAAACTCAAATCATCTGATTACAACTACAATGTAGAAATAATTTTCATTTTATTCAACTGTCAACTACATATACTTCTACATCATTTTATAGATATTCTAGCTATCAATTGTGGGCAGTCCAACAACACATACCTTTCATAATTATCATACCATGTAAATTGAAAGACAAATAATTAATGTTTTTCATCAATTTGTAATTCTAATATTATTTACCTGTACCATGCACACTGTACAGTGAAATAAATAAAGTATTCTTATATCAACAAATTCATCAATATTGACAACTATATATTTTTCTTAAGACAAACTGATGAACTAAATTCTGTTAAATCTGTGACCAAAAAATACTCTTTTACAATTATACAAACCAGAATGCTAGTCAAACACCTGTAAAATTCTTTAAAAAGCTGTGACAGGTTAGGACGTAATTTTTTGTGGGAAATGGTTCTTTAATTACGTCGGGTTCGGAGATCCTGGTAGATAAAGCGCTTCGAAAACCTGTACTGTTGGGAAGGATTAAAGAACGCTTTGCACACTCAGATTTTAAGCAACTATGGCAGCCTACGACCGAGATTTGGAACGGATAAAGCGAATGCTAAAAGCACCCGCTCCTCACCGAAAATTTTTACTTTGTCAAGTTGGGGTGACTGCAATAGTAATCTATTTCTGGTACAGTTTCAATGAAGGTAAGTATTTCAGAGTAGATGTAATCGATCACCTTTGCGAGAAGTGTAGCATCCTCGCGCTCTGCATACTACCATCTTCTTCTTCCTGTGAAGTGAAGGGCCGCTGCTGCGGCATTTTCTCACCATAGGCTACAGTATATAGGTTGCACAACAGTATTAAATTCTGCTATATAATATATATTCTTACCAAAAATGCGCAATTTTGAGTAGGTGTAAATTAATTCGAAACAAACTTCTGAGAAGTTTCCTTTTCAGATCTTGTAAAACCATTCTTTTAGTTTATGAAGATTTTAGCACCAAAAAATACATAGCCATCCAGCAAGGCACGCAAGTTTGTTTCAGTTGAAGTCAAGGGTTACCAGTCAAAGCGCCCCCAAATAAAAACGTCATAATTTTAGATGTCAAAGCGCCCCCTTTTTGGTCAAAATATTTTTATAGAAAAAATACCGCCCCCAAATATTGGTCCATTTTAGTCAAAGCGCCCCCTGATTTTGGTCAAAGCGCCCCTAACATATTTTTAGAGAAAAAATACCGCCCCCAAATATTGGTCAAAGCTCCCCCTGATTTTGGTCAAAGTGCCCCCTAATATATTTTTATAGAAAAAATACCGCCCCCAAATATTGGTCAAAGCGTCCCCTGATTTTAGTCAAAGCGCCCCCTGATTTTGGTCAAAGCGCCCCTAACATATTTTCATAGAATAAATACCGCCCCCAAATATTGGTCAAAGCGTCCCCTGATTTTAGTCAAAGTGTCCCCTGGTTTTGGTCAAAGCGCCCCCTATATATTTTTACAGGAAAAAAAAAACGTTTACAAGTATAAGTTGTTTTTCATGAAAGCACCCCCTTATAGAAATTTTTCATAACTGCCAAACAATGATAATATTATAAATACAAAACAGTTTTATTCCGTACCATGTTTGTAAAAATATATTAGGGGGCGTCTTGACCAAAATCAGGGGACGCTTTGACCATTGCTTGGGGACGGTTCCTAGACAATTTTTTTTCTAAGAAAAAAATGTAAGGGGGCGCTTTGACCAAATCAAGGGGCGCTTTGACTAAAATCAGGGGACGCTTTGACCAATATTTTGGCGGCGGTTTTGTAACACCATTTTACTGTAAAATTCTACAAGGGGCGCTTTGACCAAATTCAGGGGACATTTTGACCAAAATCAGGGGACGCTTTGACCAATATTTGGGGGCGGTTTTGTGACATCATTTTACTGTTAAATTCTATAAGGGGCGCTTTGACCAAAATCAGGGGACATTTTGACCAAAATCATGGGACGCTTTGACCGGGACGGTTTTATTAGGGGGCGCTTTGACTGGATTTCGAAGTCAAGCAGATGTTTGAAAATCTAGTCCATGGCCTGATCACTCCCCACTCTAATGACAGTATATAGAAAAATCAACACGTTCTAAATTTCAATAAATCTGGTCAATACAGGAAGTTTACATGTTGTTTTTCATCTCATAAAAAAATTCAGCTCCAGTGTTGTATCAAAATGCCCGAATCGGAAGAGGAGATTCCGGGATTATTTTGCGTCAGACATGATTTGTCGTGAACCCAAGTGAAATATTGTTATGACACCTATAGATACCATAGATACAGCTACAGCACTACCACAGTCTCTTGATTTAAGCAGCTATATTTCTTTATTTAGCTACCTGTATGCAGTTTTCACAAAAAAAATATATTTGTAAGAAATATACAAAAAGTCACAATATTTTGACTATAAACAGGTCCAGTCCAAAGACTATTTCTACCTACGTAGCTATGCTACATAGGTACCGCCGTACCGGTACTTAAACCTACCCAAAGTAGCTATTATTAACTACTTTTTGTTTTATCTACATTTTGTGGCCAAATGACTGAGCGGCGCAACATGGTGAATACCATATTTTGATAGTCACACTAATGATGAATACAACAAAATTTTGACCAAAAAATGATTACTTCCTGAATCGGAAATTTTACATTAGTTTCTATGCAAATTGGTAATATACGAGGTAATCATTTTTTGGCCAAATTTTTGTCATATCCATCATCAGTGTGACTGTATCAAGAAATTTATTGCTCACCATGTTGCGCCATTCCTGCGTTTGGCCAACAAATGCAAGTAAAACAGAAAGTAGGTAAAAATAGCTACTTTGGGTAGGTTTAAATACCTACATAGCTATTAATAGCTTCGAGGTAGAAACAGTCTTTGGATTGGACCTGATATATTCATGCATATGTGTGTATTTCTTAATATTCTTATGTCAATGGAAAAAAAGTCATACTGTACAAGATAACTCAGTTGGGACAAATGTAGGAGCAGATATTGATTGATTTTATTTTTCAAGGCTTTACTCCCTGGTTTCTGAGAAAGATTCCAGTGTTGCATGTTGGATCAGATGTTAGCCCTTTGGTCTACTTTCCACATGCAAATGAAGACGGAAACAATATTGAATGGGCCAGACATGTGAATAGTAAACAGGCATTGCAGGATGCCATTGCAGGTAGATTATTTTTAGTCACCTTTAAGTTGTACCAAAACAAGTATATCTCAAAGATGTAATGACTTCCATATGTAGCAGCCCTCTTCTATTCCGTACAATTGATGTTAAGAGAAAATCACCCTTCTTTATGTTACAGCTTTTTGACACTGTCTGTATTTTTGTCTTACAGCCCCACCAGGTGACATAGACATGATTCAGGGGGACGTTTTGCTGAAGGGACAGGACACTGACCACCAGTCCCTCACTCCATTGATGGGCCGCCTAGCGGACAGTAAAAATGATCTGACTCTTGATCTTTGGCTACAGGAGATTATTCAAGCTTATCACAAAGGAATCAAAATCTCATTCCAGTCCAATGATGCAGTGGAGATAACTCTGCAGAAGTTAAAGGATTTTAAGAGAGGGGTAATTTATAAATACTTGTGTCACTGAGAGAATAAGTGGAAATTTATTGAATGAAAAAGAAAATGAATGACTTAAATCTATTTGAAAAATTCTTTTTACACATAAGCCTGACTGTTGTTTATTTGTTTGCAGCTTTTGAGGCCAGTTTGGCTACATGCCGACATACTGCAAGGACCTCATGGCTCCAAACCAAGAGTTGACATGATTAGATATTTCAAACATGTGAAGCGATTGTTCCCAGAATGCACCATGTCCCTGGGGTGGACAACTGGAACCCATACTGATCTCAGTTTAAGTGGATACTCATGGGACAGTGTTCTGGACATGTATCACGCTATCATGGATGCAGAACTGGAACAGCCTATCGTCATCTCCGTCAGGTCCTCACTGATTCGAAACTCGGTCCCTCAGATAAAATGGCTAACAGATAACACCAAGGCTAGTGTGTTTATATGGCAGGAAGAAGGGGAGAGAACTGCAGCCGAGGATCTGATGCACATTGCTTACAGGTTTGCTCCAGAGAAATCTTATTGGGATATTCATGATAAAAATCTAAAGGCTTACCTCAAGAAGAACAGAAACAAGTCTAGTCCTAAACTCAGCCCTTATGCCAAACAAAGAGACACTGTTCTTTTCCGTCCCGAGGCTTGGTTGAAGATGGGTCTATACATGGAACATCACTCTGTGTTACCCAGTGAGGAAGCCTTGGTTTTACAGAGCCGTGCTGTGTATGTAATCACCAAGACAAAGTATAGAGCATCTAAACTGACCTCCCTCAATGGTCGTGTCCAGTTCTTAAACAGGAAAAATCGAGATGTTGTTCCTAACGAGACAGGACTGAGTATTTTTATTCGTTCCACTGCGTACACAGACTTTGAAAACATAAATGGTATACAGTGTTTTCTTGGATTGGACGGTCAGATGAAGATTCAGTCTAGTCACATAAATACAGAATTCCAGAAGAGTATGAGATTTACCCCGGGGACATCGAATTGTTTCCGGTTCTCTGTGGTGGACACGGGGACCGCCATCGTCTTCCAGGTGATGATTCTACATGACTGCCATACACTGGAGAGCGTGATGCCAATGAATGCCGTGAAGGCAGAGCTCAAGCTGGACGTCCCACGGACAATCGGAAATGAAATGAACCCGTTTATTGTGAAGTTAGAGGATAGCAACCGTGTGGCAGTTTTTGATGAACTCCATGTTAAACATGGTGACTACTTATAACATATGTTGACATGATATAGATGACTAGTCAGGTTTTCCTGTAATTTACAAAAGCTACATGTATTTAAAGAGATGTTTCTTTTTCTGTATCCAAACAGAGCCATGAAATCAACTGGATCCAACACAGTTCAGAAAGCCCCAATGAGATAAATCAATGTATTTTTTCTAATAACACATAAATGGTTTAACTTTCATGCCAACAGACATCTTGTCAAAGTCAAGGTTGTGTGTTATTGTTCCTCTTCACTAGTGAACAATATCAATATCAAAAACTTTGGCATCGTGAAGATCAGGCCAATAAAACCATGGTTTCTCATTCAAAACCTTGATGGAGCCAATTGTACATAAAGGTTGTGACACCAATGAACTTTGACATTCCATTCCTCTTCCTACATTCCACATGCCTGAATCTATTTCTAGTTTAACTAGGTCATATCATAAAAATTGTTCTTCCATTCCATTTAAATGTACCACTTCACAGAGTTATTGCCCTTTCATTTACTCATTACACCTGTGTGTAATCAAGAGTGCTAGAATTTTCATTTGTCTTTGTATGTGTGTATTTTGTAATCATTATCATTTACCTTTAACTTAAATTTACCTATTCAGACTATTCTAGTTGTAAAAAGTTAATAATATAGGGCTTCTTTTTTAGCTCTACTGGTCAGAGACCAGAAAAGCTTATGCGATAATAAGGTGTTTGCTTTCCATTCGTCAGTCTATCTGTAAACAATATTTTCAAAGTCCTACTCCTATTACAGTTTTGGTCTAATAATCTAAAGTAGCTTGACAAATAAGTACACTCCACTAAGCTACAGAATTCTATATTTTGATGTTGCTGTGGTCACTAAAAATAGAATTTAAAAAATACTTTCAAACTTTATATTATTTTTTGAATTTGAAGAATGATGGTGTCTTAAAGTAGAAATTTCTGTAAAATTCTTTTAAAGGGCTATTCCTGCAGTTTTAGCCTAATTGCGTCTTTCCATAAAAAAGAGAATGAATCAAGGATCATTTCTATTTACAGCTGTTGCAAAGTTTCAAGTCCAACTGCTACTGTTCTATTCCTTTGTTATATAAATACAAACCAGAAGAGCTACAGTCTAGACAGAGACTTCTGGTTATTTGCTTGCTGTTTTGATGGCCTGTTGTATTTTCCAAGTTTTTTTTTTTCAATTATAATTTTCAAAGGTTAGTGATTGAGTATGTTGATTGTTTCAGAATAATTTATTTTTAATAGTTGTACATCAGTGTTTAGTACTTGATAAGAAGAATATTTCAATGAATTGTGATACAATATTTGTTCTAAAGCAACATATCATGTAAATCTTGATTTTTATTACATGTACTGTTTATTATATATCCTATCGTATGAATCCAGGAGAGGAACTGTGTGTGATTATAGAGAATATGATTATTTATTACATGTATCTACAATATTTATGTAGTTCTGGGAACCTACAGATTGCGACATAATTGATATTTTACATGTGTATTTTTTAAGCAGTTTTTTTGTGATGTTTGATAAACGATTTGTTTACTGTTAATATAACTTCAGACACATCTATTTTGATGAAATAAATGATTTATAACACATATGCTGTGTTTTTCATGCTGTGGTTTATGTTTTAAAAATAATGGGATTAAAACTGGCTGTTTCAATTCAGATTATGTTTGGTACTTATAATATTTATTTGTACATTTAAATTCTAACCTTGAAGCATGGCATTCAGTTGAGTGACAATACAATGTGTAAACATGATTTGTAAAAGGAATTTATCCACCATATTTACTTAGTCACTGGTCAGTCTAATCAGCCATCACCGGTGTAGGTGGACTTACCTGGTATACTTCACAGTAGTAGTGACAAAAAATAACTGTACTTATTATGCTAAAGAAACAGCGGTTGCACAGGTCAGTGCAGTATACAAACACAAATACATGTAACTGCAAAAAATGTAAACAAAGGTAATGCAAGATATCCGTCATGAACATGTGTCGCCATTCCACACCAACACCCTTGACAAGTCACAGCAGGTGTAACAAATGCTAAGGGTATAACCCGGTGCTATCATAGATAATATTATAAACAAGAGGCCCAGGGGCCACAGCGCTCACCTGAGCACATCGGCTAGGAAAAAGCACATATCAGATCAGAACTGAAAGTTTACTGAGGTGGGGGGGGGGGGGGCTTGAAGTCACCCACCCCCCCCCCCCCCCCCGGGTTCATGGTTTGAACAAACTAGAATCTACACTACCTGAGGATGATTCCATATAAATATCACTAATCATGGATTTGAAGTACTTGAAAAGAAGATTTTAAAAGGTATCCCTATATATCCCTATGTAAAACTTGGGTCGGCCATTTTGGCCCCACCCTTGCCCCGGGGGTCATGATTTGAACAAACTTGAATCTACACTACCTGAGGATGATTCCACATGAGTTTCATCTTTCCTGGCCCAGTGTTTCTTGAGAAGAAGATTTTTAATGATTTTTCATATATATTCCTATGTAAAACTTTGATCTGCCACTTTGGCCCCACCGTAGCCCCAGGGGTTATGATTTGAACAAATTTGAGTCTACACTACAAGAGGATAATTTTACCTGAGTTTTATCTTTTCTGGCCCTGTGGTTCTTGAGAGGAAGATTTTTAAAGATTTTTCATATATATATATATATATCCCTATGTAAAACTTGGGTCGGCCATTTTTGGCCCCACCCTAGCCCCGGGGGTCATGATTTGAACAAACTTGAATTTACACTACCTGAGGATAATTCCAAATGAGTTTTATCTTTCCTGGTCCAGTGGTTCTTGAGAAGAAGATTTTTAAAGATTTTTAGCTCACCTGAGCCAAAGGCTCAAGTGAGCTTTTCTGATCACATTTTGTCCGTCGTCCATCCGTCTGTCTAGCTGTCTAGCTGTCCGTCTGTCTGTCCGTCTGTAAACTTTTCACATTTTCGACTTCTTCTCAAGAACCACTGGGCCAATTTTGACCAAACTTGGTACAAAGCATCCTTGGGTAAAGGGGAATTTAAATTGTTAAAATGAAGGGCCAAGTCCCCTCACAAGGGTAGATAATCAAGAAAAGACAAAAATAGGGTTGGGTCATTAAAAAATCTTCTTCTCAAGAACCACTGGGCCAGAAAGGCTGAAAGATATGTGGAAGCATCCTGGGGTAGTGTATATTCTAAATTGTTAAAATCATGACCCCGGGGATAGGGCGGGGTCACAATGGAGAATGAAAGTTTTACACAGTAATAAAAAATGAAAAATCTTTGAAAGTCTTCTTCTCAAGAACCACTGGGCCAGAAAAGCTGAAAGTTATGTGAAAGCATCCTGGGGTAGTGTAGATTCTAAATTGTTAAAATCATGACCCCCGGGGATAGGGCGGGGCCACAATGGGGAATCAAAGTCTTACATAGAAATATATATAAAAAATCTTTAAAAATCTTCTTCTCAAGAACCACTGGGCCAGAAAAGCTGAAACTTATGTGGAAGCATCCTGGGGTAGTGAAAATTCTAAATTGTCAGAATCATGACCCCCAGGGGTAGGGCGGGGCCACAATGGGGAATCAAAGTTTTACATAGAAATATATAGGAAAAATCTTTGAAAATTTCTTCTCAAGAACCACTGGGCCAGAAAAGCTGAAACCTATGTGGAAACATCCTGGGGTAGTGTAGATTCTAAATTATTCAAATCATGACCACCGGGGTTGGGCGGGGCCACAATGGAGAATCAAAGTTTTACATAGTAATAAAAAATGAAAAATTTTTGAAAGTCTTCTTCTCAAGAACCACTGGGCCAGAAAAGCTGAAAGTTATGTGGATGCATCCTGGGGTAGTGTAGATTCTAAATTGTTCTAATCATGACCCCTGGGGTAGGGCGGGGTCACAATGGGGAATCAAAGTTTTACAATGTTGAATCAAAGCATCCTATGGTAGTGTAGATTTCAAATTGTTTAAATTATGATCATTTGGGTAGGGTGGGGTCACAATATGTATTACAAGGGGAAATCTGGTAAAGAACGGAATGGTCAAAGCTTATCAGGTGAGCGATGTGGTCCATGGGCCTCTTGTTCCTATATATTCCTATGTAAAACTTGGGTCGGCCATTTTGGCTCCACCCTAGCCCCGGGGGTCATGATTTGAACAAACTTGAATCTACACTGCATGTGGATGATTCCACATGAGTTTCATCTTTCCTGGACCAGTGGTTCAAAAAGATTTTTAAAGATTTTTCCTATATATTCCTATGTAAAACTTTTATCGGCCATTTTGGCCCCGCCCTAACCCTTGGGGTCATGATTTGAGCAAACTTGAATCTACACTAACTGAGGATGATTCCACTTTAGCTTAATCTTCCCTGGCCCAGTGGTTCTTGAGAAGAAGAATTTTTAATAATGCCATTAATTTTTCTCTAATTCATAATTATCTCCCCTTGGAAAAGGGCGTGGCCCTTCCTTTGAACAAACTTAAATCCCCTTTACCCAAGGATACTTTGTAGCAAGTTTGGTTGAAATTGGCCCAGTGATTCTTGAGAAGAAGATGAAAATGTAAAAAGTTTACGACGACAACGACGACGACAACGACAGACAACGAACAAATTTTGATCAGAAAAGCTCACTTGAGCCTTCGGCTCAGGTGAGCTAAAAATGATGTATGCCCATTTATGAGTCATGTTCAGCTTTCATTGTCCAAAGCAACTGCTATTTAAGTGTTGAGTCCTGTCATGTACATAATGTAGTACATGTTATCTGTACTTCTTGGTCGAAATTTTCAATGCAACCAAGATTCAACAACTGACAAAGTTTTATGATATTAAACATTCCTATAATAAGCAATATTTAGATATAGCTATGAAATTCTAAATGTAGATCAGTGATCTACTTTTTAGTGGAATTCCAAGGACCAAAGATGCATAAACTCTTTGGCTCAGAAGTGCTAAAAATGACGAAATTATAGTTTTTTTTTAATTTAATGGAAAATGAGAACAGTGTTACAATTTGAACCGAGTGATAGTACATGTATATTTTTCATTCTGTCCTTCTATGAAACCTCTAACTACAATTCATAGTTTCACCTCAAACAAAAAATAAAATGTATACTTAAATTTCTTACATAATCTTATATGTATTTCAATGTAGTTTTTAAGGATTTTGATTTCATAATTTAACATGCACACATTGATATGTATTGAAATCCTTTCACATATATAATATTTCAGCAATAATACTGTTGGTGTGTCACTGTTTAAGCACTTTATATTATATTATCAACAATGATTTGCACAGTCTTGTGAATTTAACAGAAAATCATAAAATATCATCACAAAGGGTTTGTTAAAAACGGCAATAAATGAGAGTACAAAAATCAATGGTACAAAAACAGGATTGAATAAATTAGATATTGCCCTGATATACAACTTGACTACAGAGAGATCCTAAAACCTTAACAAGTACAAATTACTCATAAAATCTCAACAGACATAAATCACATCATAAAATCTTGACATTTCTAAAATCACATCTACTGATCAACAGTTGGTATGGTCACATGATCAAATTATAAGGTGATGATTGGTGGATGAATAGTCACATGGTCTCTCTGAATAATGCAATGTTATCTGAGTAAAAGTCTCTTCGCTGATGGTGATTCTGACATCTTGTTTCTTCACAGCTTAGACTTAGTTCTATTCTGGAATTCTCTCAGTTTCATGGCTAGTCCCATATTTCCCTGGATTTTTAGTTTTCCTTGGAAGAATGCCTACAAATTGAGACAATAATGTGATTTAAATGTTTTCATGATCTTCTTTATTTGACAAGGAAAGGTATTGAAAATTACTTACAACAGTATGATACAGCCAGGCATAAATAAAAAATCTTGACTAGGCAATAAAAAGATGTTAAGGAGAACATCCTGACCTAAATAAAGCCCTGTGAGTTTTGTCTGTGTCTGTAGAGGGACCTACCTGTTGAGGATTGAGTTTTCCTGTCATTAGGTTAACCATATCATCATCTGTCATTATAATCGTCACGTCACCTTTGGCTAAAAATAAACCAACATAAACTCATCAGCTTCCAATAACATTTTACTACATGTAAATTATACTACGGTATAAAAAGAATATATTAAACAGATCCACTCTTGATTTTCTTTCCCATATTGACACTTACGATCGGCTCCAAACTTGACTGATCCACTGCCATTCTTGGCATCCACAACCCATACACCCTCCTTTCCACCAGAACCTTTCACTTTAAAACAGAAAATTCCTTTCATCTTCTTCACCCAGGCTTGGCCATCCTAGTTACAATACAAAAACTTAATCAAATCTTAGGATCTCTATAACAAAGAATTAATCAAATCTCATGAACTCTAAATTTGTCTAAGTTTACTTCAGGTGAGTTCTGCCACAAATTTTTCATACCTTGTCCAGATTTTCTTTGATTTCATCGAAGATGACTCGACATTTGAAGTCCTTCTCAGCCGAGCTGCTGGCAGGAGCTGCCTGGATTTGTCTCCCCATTCTACAAAACATTACATATCTATTAGTAAAAGGTTACTTTCTTAAAACTAAAATTGTTACTAAAAAGATGTCTGTGTAACACTGTTGCTCCCTATGGCAGCTCAGTACCAAGGTAAAAGTCTTTCAAATATACGTAAAACTTCTAGATCATGGTAAATACCCATGAAATATGAAAGCCATAGCATCAACTTTCAAACTTATGGAGATGGTTAAAAGTTTTTGCAGACAAACAGAGGACAGACCAAAATATATGCGCTCAAATTATGAGGGCATAAATTGACACCTTCCTGAGAAGTTGTCATCTACATGTACACTGTACTTCTCTAAATAAAAGACTTCTTTTTTTATTATTGTGTGTGATAACCTGACCAAGAAGCCTCAAAGACAATACTTACTGAGCATTAGGAAATCCCAGTCTATAAATAGAAATGACCACAGCGCCCCCTAGTCCTAGATTGTGTTGTAGAGCCACCTTAGCTCCCTTGACTTGTCTTTTCCCAGCCATTCCACGCAGTTGCCAACAGAGCTCTGCACACTGAGCCAGACCTGGGGATAAAAATCACGTTAGTCAAATGGTATTATACAAGGATTATCAATATCTTCATAAGCCAAGTGTTTCCAATTTGCTTAACTCCCCACAAAACTTTGGCCTATTGTGCCATAAATGTTGAGATTTTTTCTTGAGATATGATTGGTTTATGGTCATTGTTCAACCAATCATTGAGAATGGTTTGGGAAATAGGAAACACACACACAAAATGATGAGCATAAGTAACATACCACTTTTATTTAATGTGCACATAATCTTGAATCTTTATTGCAGATATAGACTTGTACTCCCCAAAAACCAACATCGCTTGATACCTGCTTGTTTATATTCTTCAAATGTTTCAATGTTTTAAACATTTTTTTTTATTTCTGTCACTAATGCAAGCTGTACATATGGGTAAGATTGTGATATAAACAATATCAGGTTGAGACAGCATGAGTCAAAGGCTGTCTGAGGAGTGTAGTAGATGCTTAGCTTCTAAATGTACCACTTCAAAAAAAAAAAATTTAAATCGTATTCAGGAAGAAAATTATTACACTGCAGATAGTATTAAAGATTCTTGGTTTATTTTAATGAATTTAAAATATGTTAAGTTCACAAATGTCTCTTCTAATGGGAGGTAACCATGAAACTTAATCTGGCATTAATGGTCCAGTAATTACCAGTGGCACCCAGAGGATGGCCCTTGGAGATGAGTCCACCACTCGGGTTAATGACATACTTCCCACCGTACGTGTTGTTCCCAGAGTCAACCAAATCTTTAGCCTTCCCTGTTAAAACAAAACACTGTTAGTATTAGTATCTCTAAAACATGGCTCTCTGAGTCAACCAAAACTTTAGCCTTCCCTGTTAAAATAAAATACTGTCAGTATTTATATCTCTAAAACATGATCGTACACATTTCTCTGTTAAACTATGATTACATTTTCAATAGGAATGCAAGGAGTTTCCTGATAAGATCAATTAGCTCATCACAATTATTACGATATCTGAATCTTTTAATTTGGCTATAATCGTTCCATTTCCCTACAGCTGCGGGTACATTACCTTCTCCACACAGACCCAGCGCCTCGTATGTGATCAGCTCATTACATGAGAAACAGTCATGAAGTTCTATAACCTGCACTGCATCTCGACTCAAACCTAATCAAAACAATAACAAGTATAGACATCTTTCTTGTGAAAGCTTATTGTCCTTTCAGAAGTGTAAATTGATCAAGTAGACTCTGCATTTATCGGTAATTCATGTACACTTTTGATGAATCTAATGATTTTCTACTGGGTGTGACATGACCTTGTAAATCCCAACCGTAGACTTTTTTGGTAATGAATATTATATATATATCTCGTGCTAATAAAAAAATTACCTGTAATCTAAAACTATAGCAAGTTAGACCTTGAGATACAGGAATAATAATACCCCCCTCTTTTAGGGATCCCAACCACCTTTTCTTTGGATAAATGCATTCTAATCTCAATATATCTGACATCTTTGGATTCTCCGTTTTTTTGGTCCCATCAAGTTTTGATAACAAGATTGAACTGTATAAATTACAATCTTATAGTACAGTGTTTTACCTGCTTTCTCAAATGCCCTGTCAGCTGCAGCTTTAGCCATGTCATATCCAACCTAATAAACAATATAATAACAAACATTAAGAATAATCAATTTCATAATAATCAATAATAATAATAATAAACAAACTAGTTTATTAGATTTACATGTATATGTATACATATATACCTTATAAAGAAAACAAACTTGTGAATTACATTTACAGGAATATATACCTCACAGTGTCAAACATAACTGGCTATATGACAAATCATGTGAGGAAGATCTGACTTTCTGTACACAAAGATACGCCTATAAACGCTAACAGCATGTGCCTATAAATTCTGATATACATGAAGACAACCTGAGCAGCCCATTACCATTTTCATGCATGAGTTCTCCTTGAATGTGCTGGGGAAGTCAGTACCCATTTCCATGGCAACAATCTCAACAGCCTGGTTTTGTAGATTGTGTTTTTTGACAAATTCTTCACTGCAAAGAATGGCTGCCCCTGCTCCATCTGATGTTGGACTAAAAATTAAATAATGACATTAAAAATCTTCTGGTGTTAGACTTCAGCAATAAAATAAGCCTTCATAAATAATCTTGTGTTGAAACTCAACATAAAATATATACATTTGTGGTATCTCTCCACTATATAAACATACAGAAAGAAAATATCTTCAATTCTGTATGAAGTTTGTGCAAAGGTCAATACATGACCGAATCACACGGCGCAATAATATCTACCCGGTACATAAATTATAAAATGACCTGCTCTATTTGCTTTTCATGTATAAAAATGAATAAAATAAGCAAGTTAAATGATAATTATTTTATTTTAAATGTAAACAAGTATTTCATACAGGCTATCGACAACCTGTGTACATAGAGAAAGCAACCTTTGTTTACATTTTTCTTCACTTTTGTCAGCTGCACAGTCTCTAACGTTCATCCTTATTTTTTGGATAGACCTTTGGTTAAATTTTCATGATAAACTTTTATTTTATCTTTAAATTTTACTCACGATAAATGTGTAAATCTGTTGGAAAATATCTTTGCAATCATGCCATGAAGAACTGCCAAACACCTCGCGTTTTCAGTTCAATGTAAAGCTGCCCAGTGTCTCCGTGTTTATCAGTGTTTTACATGCCTTTAGTTACTGAGAATGTTTTTGATCAAATTGCAAATTAACTGGCCCGGACAAGTGTCTCAGTCCATCGGATCCATCCATCCCTTTCCAAAAATTCCTCCAACTTTTTATCATCAAACTTCGGACGTGTTTCTGGGGTTTTTCACGAATAAAATATTCCCAGACAACAATCTGTTCATTATTACTGATCACAAGGTAGCCTTTCACAAAATATTTCCTTCGAAATAGATTCCTTAGCCTAATGAATTTGAAGCGTAACCGCCATGAAAGCCGATTTACACCTTGCGTCATTTTTCAAAATCTACGACGGACGGTTAGTGCAATAATTTAAATTCGAAAATATTCTCTTCTCAAATGTATATATAAGAATAAATAACAAGTTTATAAACATTTTTTTTATATTGATATTTGTTCAGAATTTTTTATAAACTTGTTATTTATTTCTTAAATAATTGTTTCTCTTTATTCCGAAAATAAACAGAACATTTTTTTATTTGATATTGAATTTCTATTCAACTACGTAGCTTACCAACATTGTAATTTGGTGAGTGGATCGTGGATTTTGGGGGATGCCATGATTTGTTCCAGGGAATACTCATCTTGAAACTGAGAGTAGCTGTGAAAATTGATTGCATTAATAAGAAAAAATTTGTTACCCGGTAAATGAAATTTGATTGGATAATGCCTGAAGTTCAATGGAGTCATATGAACATTTTAGACGTTTATAAGGCATATTATCACTGGTTAATACTTACGGATTATTCGTGGAATGTTTGTGGTTTTTCCAGGCAATTTTGGCAAAATGTTCTGGTTTTGTTCCTAAGAGAACAAATTCCTATTTACTTTAAGTCAATGCATTGTCATTATATACATATATTTTAGTCATTTTACATTTAAATTTACTTTTCAATTCTTTTATTACCAAAAAATTAATTTTAAAATTTGGATTGTATATATTTCCCTCAAAGTGAGGTAATCTTTCCTGTATTTTTGTTATACATTGATTATCCTTTACCGTATTTCTGCATGTGTTCCTTGCCGGCGTTTCCAAACATCTGGGCCGTGACTGGGCCCCTCTCCAGACCGTGGGCATTCATCATCACCTCCATGTGTTTGTCCATTGGATTTGTTCTGTCAGTAAACTGAAACAAGTCACAAAATGCATGACTTATGACATTGACAGAAATCCCTTTTCTGAACACCTTTATAGAACTTATTTGTTCAATAACTATATAAAAATATTTACAAGAAAAGGCTTTTAATTTAAAAGTAAAAAAATCATGCAATTACTATATATTTTATTCCAAAAACTTGAATAAAAGCTGGTTGTAATATTAACCAATTAATTAATTGAATAAAGTGAAAGCAATCAAGAAACAATTTAATTAAACAGAGAGTAGAGTGCAAACAGCAGAAAAAGTACAATTTTTTTTATTTCTTATACCTACATGTAATTCATGCATAAAGATTATATGTGTATGAAAACATGAACAAATAATAAGTCAGCAAAAAAATAGCTTTTACATTAAATGCAAATCCAAGTTAAAATCAAGCCAGTTGTATCAATTAGTACATGTAATGTGATTGAGTTAAGAATAAAGAAATCAAAGCTAAAAGAAAACTGTTATTGTTAGATGTAGTAAACCATGCCACACATCTATTTATATCTTACAGTTGATCCTAATGAGCCGCGCTGCATCTTTTCGAATCCTAGGGCCATCACACAATCTGCCATGCCTGTAAAACAACACAACATTTTAAACGTTCCCAGTAATCTGTTACCTTCTTCTTCAGCGATCCTCTCTCCATCTTCTCAAAGCCGAGAGCCAACACGCAGTCAGCAAGCCCTAGAAATGGACATAACCAGAAGCCAACTTTTGAAGAAATGATCCAATTGTAACTCAAATTGAAAGTAAAAATTGCACTCAGCTTTTATTACGCCCCCCAAAAAAGGACTCATTTTTCCTCCATCTTCTTAAAAATTTGTCTGTTACTTATGGTTATAATAAGCCAACCAAATCACTGTTGCCTACTAGCCTTACCAACATATCATTTGGAAGATACATAATTTTCAGAAAACTTTTAATTTCATACATATACTGGGTGTGTAAAAGAATGATCACTTATCCCCACCCTCATAAATCCTGAGATCCACCCCTTCCCCCTCTGTACTTACCTCCCAGAATGAGGTTTCTTGCCATATATAGAGCAGTGGATCCAGTAGCACAAGCATTGTTTACCTGTTGATGATAACCAGAAACTGTAATTCATCTCAAACGAATAGGAAATTGTAAGATATCTTTTCTAACCATTTCTTTTAAATATCAAACTCTAATGTCAAATCTAAGTATGGAATTAAAGAGACAAACTCAAATTATATACTATTTACACGTAACATACAGGTATAAATGTAAGTGAAATTATAGCATTTCTAGATGTTAATATGATTTTTCCTTTACAGTAGTAGAAATGGCCTCCACTCACATTATAGATGGGAATTCCACTCATTCCAAGCTGATACAGCGCTCTCTGTCCACTTGTTGTGTCACCTGAGAATGCAACAGGATCAAATTATATTTCATCAGTCTACACATCCAAGAGGAAATTATGACAAATGCAGAAAGGAAGTTTTATTTTATTTTTCTTGTTCCAGTAAACTTGATTACATAAATGATATTACCGTAAACATATCCGACACAAGCCTGCTGCACCTCATCATAAGATATACCAGCATCCTCAAGGGCCTTTGTGCCTAGAGGAATGATAAAATTTTACAATACTTTCAGAAAGGATCATTACACAACCTTTTTCATGCATTATCAAACAAAGCTGATCAAATAAAAAACAAGTACAGAATGATAAATACATATAATCATGTTCAAGTTTATTTGAGATAAACTTTCACTCAGAGCTGTATTAGCAAACATATTGTAAATAATATGATCGAGTGTGTGCAACTCTTTGTTAGGGGTTATCACAATACTTATCTAACATTACTGTTGGACCTTCATAATTTACAATTCACTATCTAACACTATTAATGTCAATTCTGATAAAGCTGGCAGAGAACCGGGGTATATTAAACACTTTTTAAAATAAATACAAACCTGCTTCTTTCGCCATCTCTGGGTAGTCAAAGTCATCCCGCCGACCTGGCTTCTCAAACTGTACAAAAAGTTATTTTAATATAATATTGTAAACATAAATATTTCTAAATTGTAAATACCCACATATAATAAAATATAATTTTCTTGTACTATGCATGGACAAGTATGACATAAATAAACATTAACCTTTTCAAGTTGATTGTTCTAAAATTGTTTAAAAGCAAATAACACCCGGGTATATTTATAACCATCATTCAGTAAATGTTGATGCAAATTATTCCATGCTTAAAAATTTGTTAAATGTTATTTATGTTTCAATAATTAGCACAAAATACATAAAGACTTTTTATTTCATTCAAAAAAATAAACATTTTATTATGAACCAACTTGCGCCTTGAATAGCAGTAGATTTTTTCACGTTTGTCAAGTGACAGGTAACAAGTCCTATGACTGACAAGGGGACAAAGTCCACCTCCATCGATACTCAAATCAGAAAACTAATCATGGCTGAGAATACTGACAAAATGTCTGAAAATGCTTTCTCAAAATCATCTCATGATGCAGAAAACGATTTTACCTTTGTCATGCCTACCCCGACCACAAACACTCGTCTGCTTGGCGTCTTGCTGGAGGCTGCCATGTTGCTTGATCAACTACAGGAAGTGAAGAGGAGATAAAAGTCAAACTGCTATCCGGACGTCACTTTGTTGTGAACTCGATGCCCATGGGCCACATAGCTCATCTTAGTTAAAAAGAAACTATTTAAATAAAGGCAATGTGGACATCACACTCTAATAGACTCAACGATTTAGGGAACATAATCCAGGACTGAAAATCAAGTTTAATTAAATAACATATAATTTTCTGTGTAAGACTTTGTACCCCATAAAAAAAGAAACCAGCATAACCCATACTCCGGCATCCGAACAACATTCCTTCCTCACGACAGATTGCATTTGCAAATTACATCATTTTTCAACCAAAGAATTGGATACATATGTTTTAAATATTATCCTGCATCATAAACTTTTTTGTCAGTAGACTACCTTGTTCGTACAAAGAAAACGCTCTTGCAAATAGAATCAATTAGGAAAGATCAACCTCATATGCAACTGAGTTATTATGGCAATTGACGATTGAAAAATCATATTCATCACAAAATTAAACAAGAGGCCCAGGGGCCACAGCGCTCACCTGAGCACCGGCTAGGAAAAAGCACATATCAGATCAGAACTGAAAGTTTACTGATGTTGGAGAGGGGGGGGGGGCTTAAATTTTAACCCCCAAGGGGGTCATGATTTGAACAAACTAGAATCTACACTACCTGAGGATGATTCCATATAAATATCACTAATCATGGCTTTGAAGTACTTGAAAAGATTTTAAAAGATTTCCCTACATATTCCTATGAAAAACTGAGATCGACCATTTTGGCCCCACCCTTCCCCAGGGGGTCATGATTTGAACAAACTTGAATCTACACTACCTGAGGATGATTCCACATGAGTTTCATCTTTCCTGGCCCTTCTTGAGAAGAAGATTTTTAAAGATTTTTCCTATATACTAGTATTCCCATGTATAACTTTGATTGGCCATTATGGCCCCACCCTAGCCCTGGCAGTCATGATTTCAACAAATTTGAATCTACACTACCTGCGGATAATTACACACAAGTTTCATCTTTCCTGTCTCAATGGTTCTTGAGAAGAAGATTTTTAAAGATTTTTCCTATATATTCCTATGTAAAACTTTGATCAACCATTTTGGCCCCACCCTACCCCCGGTGGTCATGATTTAAACAAATTTGAATCTACACTATCTGAGGATAATTTCACTTGAGTTTTATCTTTCCTGTCTCAATGGTTCTTGAGAAGAAGATTTTTAAAGATTTTTCCTATATATTGCTATGTAAAACTTTGATCGGCCATTTTGGCCCCACCCTATTCCCGGGGGTCATGATTTGAACAAAATTGAATCTACACTACCTAAGGATGATTCCACATGAGTTTCATCTTTCCTGGCCCAGTGGTTCTTGAGAAAAAGATTTTTAAAGATTTTTTCTTATATATTCTTATGTAAAACTTTATTGGCCATTATGGCCCCACCCTTGCCCAGGGGATCACAATTTGAACAAATCTGAATCTACACTACCTGAGGATAATTTCACACGAGTTTCATCTTTCCTGTCTCAATGGTTCTTGAGAAGAAGATTTTTAAAGATTTTTCCTATATATTCCTATGTAAAACTTTGATCAACCATTTTGGCCCCACCCTACCCCCGGTGGTCATGATTTAAACAAATTTGAATCTACACTACTTGAGGATAATTTCACTTGAGTTTTATCTTTCCTGTCTCAATGGTTCTTGAGAAAAAGATTTTTAAAGATTTTTTCCTATATATTCCTATGTAAAACTTTGATCGGCCATTTTGGCCCCACCCTCCCCCCGGTGGTTATGATTTGAACAAATTTGAATCTACACTACCTGTGGATGATTCCACTTGAGTTTCATCCTTCCTGGCCCAGTGGTTCTTGAGAAGAAGATTTTTTAAAAATGCCATTAATTTTTCTCTAATTCATAATTATCTCCCCTTGGAAAAGGGTTTGGCCCTTCATTTGAACAAACTTGAATTCCCTTTACCCAAGAATACTTTGTGCCAAGTTTGGTTGAAATTGGCCCATTGGTTCTTGAGAAGAAGATGAAAATGTGAAAAGTTTACGACAACGACAACGCCAACGACGACAACGACAACGCCGACGACGACGACAGACAACGGACAAATTTTGATCAGAAAAGCTCACTTGAGCCTGTGGCTCAGGTGAGCTAAAAAAATTAATCTGTCCAAAGGACATGAATGCTCTGCCGAGTGTACATACAATTGGGACGAAACAGCAAAAATTAACAATGCATACTAGTATTAGTTAAAGATCGAAGTTTGATGAGAAGTTACTTGAAATTGAAATCTTAAGAAATGTATCAGAAGATATATTTTCAAATTATATATGAGTGCATACTCGCATAAAATATCTAAAATGCTTTCTTTAAAACTAAGCAAAATATACAAATTAAAGAAAGGGGATGTCAAAGACACAGAAAAGTGCATGAAGTTTTTGATGTAGTTGAATAGCTCTCGCTAATACTTATCACCATATTATGTTTGATAAAAATATCTTGAATGATTTCTTTAAAATTAAAATGAGCTAAACACTAATATTTAAGAAAGGTCGAGGTCAAAGAAAAGGTTAAGGTAAAAAAAAATGTTGAGCAGTTGAAAAAGCTTACATTGGACTGAAGTTTGAAAAAAATATATTGAATTGTTTATTCAAAACTTATCTATATACTAATTTAAGGAAAATGGGGTCAAGGTCAAATGAAAGGTCAAGGTCAAAATTTTATTTTGATGTAGTTAAAAAGCTTACATAATGATGTATCATCACATGAAGTTTGATTAAAATACACGTACTAATATATCTTGAATGGTACCTTTAGAACTACATGAGCTACTTTAAACACTTATTTACGAAAAGAGATATCAATGTCAAAGGAAAGGCAAAGGTTAAAAATGTTGATGTAGTTAAAACCTCTCACCAGTATGTTTCAATATTTGATGTTATGATGTTTGATTAAACTGTCTTGAATGGTATATTTAAAACTGAGCTAAACACTAAAAAGGGAACTCGGTTCCAGTGATATCAAGGTCAAAGGAAAGGCCAGGGGAAAAAATGTTGATGCTGTTGAATACCTTACATTAGCATTTTCAATATATGGCGTTACATTACACTAACTTGGATAGTTTCTTTGAAACTGAGCTTTGAACTGAGCTAAACGCAAAGCGGGACGGAAGGACAGACGGGCGGATGGACATGACAAACTCTATATGCCGAGGCAATATTCATGGCGGGCATAAATATTTAGAGTGCTTCATAATTAATTTAATAAATATTTTTATGCTCCCATAAACGAAGTTTCGGGGGTTTATAGTTTTTTTTTTGTGTGTGTCCGTCTGCCTGTCTGTCTGTTTGACAGCAAAAACTTTAACCTTGCCCATAACTTTTGATTTAGTGGAGCTATGGCTTTCATGTTTCACATGTGTATACTTGTGACAAGACCTTGCTTTAGGTACCACCAAATTTGACCTATTGACCTTGACCTTCAAGTTTGACCCACTTTTACACAAAAATTCCAAACTTTTACTTTGGTCATATCTTTTGAACAGTAGATAACAGGACTTCTATACTTCATACTGTATATGTATTCTTTGTGAAAAGACCTTTCATTGAGTACCAACAATCTTGACGTTTTGACCTTGACCTTGAAGATTTCCGTACTTATGAAAAAAAATTTAACCCTGGCAATAACTTTTGAAAAGTAAGGATTTGTGCTTTCATACTCCACATATGTAATCCTTGTGAGAAAACCTTTTATTGGATACCAAGAACTTTGACCTTGGAGTTTGACCTGCTTTTTAAAAGCAAACCTTGGCCATAACTTTTAAAGAGTTAGGGCTAGTGCATTCATACTTTATATATCTAATTCTTGTGACAAGACCTTTCTTTGGGTACCACCAAATTTGACCTTTTGACTTTGATTGGAGTTTGACCCACTTTTCAAAATTTGTAACTTCGGCCATAACTTTTGAGAGGTTAGGGCTAGGACTTCCATACTTTACCTATGTATATATGTACCTTGTATTCTTTGTGGCAAGGCCTTTCATTAGATACCTATAACCTTGACCTTAAGATCTTGACATTGGAGACTTTTGGAAAAAAATCTTTAACCTTGGCCATAACTTTTGAACGCTAAGAGCTAGTGTTCTCATACTTCACATATGTAATCCTTGTGAGAAGACCCTTCATTGAATACCAAAAACTTTGACCCTTTGACTTGAAACAAAACTTGATCATAACTTTTGAAGGGTTAGGGCAAGTGCTTTCATTATTTTCATATTTACTCCTTGTGCCAAGACCTTTCATTTGATAACAAGAATTATGACCCTTTGACCACGACCTTGGAGTTAGACTTACTTTTCAAAGTTGGTAACATTGGCTATAACTTTTGAAGGGTTAGAGCTAGGGCTTCCATACTTCACACATGTATTCTTTTTGGCAAGACCTATTGGATACCAATTACATTGACCATGGAGATTTCATTACTTATGAAAAAAAAACTTAACCTCGGTCTACTTTCATATATTTCACAATTGTATTTCCAGCGAGAGTACCCTACTTTGGATACCAATATGCATTTAAGAAGAGTTTAATCTTCGCTATGTTGTCATGCGGGGGCATCAGTGTTTCACAAACACATCTTGTTAAAAATAATTGTTTACCTTATTGGGGGGATTAAAGTACTAGTACGTAAGTGTTTGCTTCTTGTGGTTGCTTATTATGAATTTATATACATAGATTACTAGTATATAAAATATAAGCTTTATTAAAAAAATTATCACATATACAAGTTCAAATTGTAAACAAAACATTTTTTTATATTTAAATTACAGTGCAAACCTTTAATGGATTCCGAAACTTCAAAAACATTCTTACACACAAAGATATACACATAGCGGGTTCCAGTAAATGCACGTTGTATCAAGCCTCGTTCGCTACTCCTCACTATAATTGCTCAGTTGAAGGAGAAACCTCAGGAGTCATGAGAACTTAATAACATTGTATTCCAGAAGTGGTGTAAATCAGACGTGGATACTCAAAAATTCGAATAATCAGATTAAAATTCGTAGGAACTTTTGGAGAATTTGGAATCACATTTTTTTTTACCCAAATAAATAACTAATGACTTTTAAACTCTATGTACAACCATTCCCCATCATAAATTTATAAGTCCACGGGCATTGGCATATGATTGACAGCTTTTATTTCAATAAAAATGGAACTCGTAAATTTACTTACCTTTTCATTGGTCACTTGCAAAATTATTATGTTAGAACAGTATGACCGTACACAGTTAATTGTAAGTGCTCTGAAGTTAATATCAAAAATATGCTTGAGTTTCTGATTGCAAATACCTTTATGTGGTTTTGCATATGGTCCCGGCAATCTGTCGGAATTCCCATGTGAACCAATTGCGCACCGCTAAAAACAGACCTATTTTTGTATCGATATGAAGCAAAATGTATCCAAAATCTTGTATACGAGAATTAAGGAAACATTAAATTTTGTTATAACGTCAATTTGACATGAAGATATTGAACTTGAAATCAAGAGTCTGACACATCTGTGTCATACTTGGATATTCTACTATAAAAACCTAACAACAAATTCATCTCTATGATATACGTGCAGATGATCTCAACTTTTCAATCGTGACCTTTTAATGTAGTGGATTCGGTACGCTATGTAATGATCTTAAGATTCATTTCAAGCAATTTAGGTCTATGATTTCAAGCTAGGTCTCCAACAAGTCGGACGTTCTTTGTGAATTTGACTTAGACTTTTTAACTGAGTTTGAAGATTCTGACAATTTATTTTTGATCCAGGCACTCGACAAATATGAAATCCCAGATTCTGAAGCAAATATCAAGGAGTTTAACGATATAAAGTTTGGAGATTTTACCGTAACTTTCAAAATTTCGAAATGGATTTATCTTTTGAACGACTCGGAACTTTCAACCGTGTTTAATACATGTATTTTAATGTAGTTAGGCATAAAGGCTGAAAAATAGCTTAACATGTTCATTATTTGTAGTTATGAACTTGTGAAATAAAATCAATTTTTTTTCTCGTGACCTGATTTCCGCCTCCAGCAGTGATATATGAAGGGGCGTGGAAAGTATTATCGCATATATATGTGATATGGGATATATCACCACAGAAAGATCAAAGAAAATCACCGCAGATATGCGACAAGACATGCTCTGCGTATGAACAATTTCTTAAAAGAGGTAAGTTATTGACAAACGATTAAGTTAATTAACCAAGAATATCGACGTTAAAAGTATCGTTTGAAATCATCATTTCGCAAACTCTATATGGTCAAAACAATGACCTTGTCGGCAGATATACATGTACAATCTAGCCATTAGTGACATGCGGATTTGACCGGTCGGCAGGGGATGCTCACTCATTCGTGGCACCTAGCTAACCCCACCTCTGATGTTTCAGAGGTCCGTGTTTGCTCTACTCCTCATATTCTATCGTTTTATGGACTTTTGATCTTGAATATAGTACTGTTACAAATTAATTATCTCCACATGTTTCATTTTATACTTATTATAAATTGTTTGGCCATTGTTATACACATTGAAGTGTCTGCGGATTTTCCGCTATTTCCCAATCATGACAAGGAGCAAAAATACCCATTGATTTGCTGGATTTGGGTATACCTCATCTATTGGTACGTTCCAGAGATATTGCTATTATCTCCCTGGCTATTTGCTATCCCCTCTTCGAAGAAAAGAGAGCACATTGCTTTGCTGCTGTCGGTTGGTCCACCAGAAGTTTCCGTTCATTTTATTCTCAGAGACTGCATGCACATATTGAAATGAAATTTGGTACATGTACATAGATTCATCATAAGAATATATTAGTTAGTTTGTGTACGATCAGGCCACTTTGGACAGGGTTATGTCCCTTGAACTAGGAAAAAATTCCAATGTATTTAGTTTCCGTTCATTTTCTTTGCAGAGGTTAAATTGCTTACATTAAAATGAAATTTGGTATGCATATTTATCATAAGAATATGAAGGTCAAATTCTGTTTTGGGTACGATCGAGCCATTTTGGACAGAGTTATGCCTCTTGTCTTTAAAAAATTCCAATTATTTGCAGCAGAGATCTGTCTATTATATGTCTCTAGCTGTTTGCAGTTTCAGTTCATTTCCTCGGCAGATATTACACATACTGAAATGTAATTCGGTATATAGATCTCACTGTTTAATTTAAACTTTTCATGGCATTTAGTTTTTAATTTTTATGTCCAAAAAACCCTCACAAGTTTGGATAAATCAATGGTTTTTTCGGGATGTGTCTGTGGACCCCTACTTGGACCCCAAATCATCATGTTTGATGGAACGCTGTATAATGTAGATGTAGATGTAGATCATAAAATATCTATGTCAAGTTCTGTTTTGGGTACAATCATGCCATTTTTGATAGAGTTATGCCCCTTGGACTTGAAAAAAAATCCATTTACTTGGGGGAAAGGGCATAAAAAATACAAACATTTCCTGTTCAATATCATTTTAGGTCTAAAATATTGAATTTCCAAATTCTATGAAGTTTACAAACCGGAAAAATGCTGTTTCATGTGACCTGAAAAATAATTTATAAGGTCAGGTTAAGGTCAAGGTCAAATGTCTGTTTATTTAGATAATTTTAAAAATCCTCATTCCATACACGTATCTTTCATTGTAACAAAAATTAATATCAAAAACCAACAACCATTAACCATTTACTTTTGTTTAACACAAATGGATAAAGCAAATCGAGCCCTTGTTTACGCTCCAGAGAAGCCATTTTGATTTGTAAGTGCCCGGATAGGACTATTTTCATATGTGACCTCGTTATGTTATACATACGCTTTTTAAAGTGAAATTGAACTATCTTATCAAATTCTAATAAAATAAAGGTAAGATTAAGATAAAAATGTTTTTAATGAATCATAATTACAGAATCATACTTAAAAACAGTCTATTTATATCCAAAACATTAATTGAGAACTTATTTTTATAGCGTATGTAATGGAGGCTGTGTTATTTGGCTGTCGTAATTTTTTTGGCGCGGGTCATTGTTATGATCAGAAGTGGTCGTCCGATAGTTTAATATTGATCAATATTTGAGCTTTTATGATGGATTAGAATTTCTAGAAACTTTCTAACGCTACTTTAATCCTACAAACTAGGTCAAACTGAAAAAATACCCGTTTTAAATTATAGGGTTGAACAGGTAAGGAAAAGCCATAAACAAATTTAGTTTCGGAGACAAATTTAATAGTTTGTGAAATCATATTGAAATCTATATACAGTTAGATACACATCATTTCGGGTTTTACAGAGCAGCAACAGTGAAAATATGCAATTTTATCCAATGTCTAGTTAGCATCTTAACATCATCATCTTGTAAGCATCTCTGTCAATTCAAAAATATTGAACATCATGAACAAAAGCAATTCCACAAGTGATTGATACACATATGATTCTCATTATTTAAGCACACTCTAATCTTATCCATATGGTAAAATCAAGAATGATTTGTTCAAAAATTTACTGCACGTTTGGAGTAGTTGAGTATTAGGCATACAGTTGACACAATGGGAAGTGTTCTAACCTGCCAAATGTTGCTACTGAAATTCCTGCATTTTTTATATCAGTCTTTACTGATAAGAATTCTTTACATTTGATAATATTTTATGAGTTTATTTCTTGTTTTGCTTCTATTCACATTTTTTTTCATGTTTTGCAGATGTAATAATGCAACTCCGGTAACCATGAATAGTGATGTGCCCAGTGTTCCTATAACAACACTAGCAGGCATTCACAGTCTAACTGAACGTAAGGAATCAAAGAATTCTTAATTTGAAATATCAAACGTTTGATTTAATTATTTTTTTTACTCAGAAAATCTTGCTAAAGCACGGAGCGTGCTCTTGGGAAAATGGTATCTTCCATTTATAGTAGTAAAAGATTTTAGATGTAATGCTTATGAAAACTATTTTACTCTTGTGTTATACCTGTTTTGGATTATGCTTCCAGTGCTTGGGGTTTCAAAAAATTCCAACCTGTAGACAATATTCAAAACAGAGCTATTCAATATTTTATTGAGGTACTTTGTGTTCAGTTTTAGCACAATTTATATGTGGAATTTTACCACTATAAATAGAGACTGGTAGATATCATGGTGAACCTGTCAACGATTGAATTTGTACAGTTTGCGCTAGAAATAATGTTGAAGATGAGATTCATCACTATAAATATTAAATAAATAACTTACTTATACACAATACTAAATTTTAATGGGTGCATCTTTTACTTTAAAAGAATAATTCATGATAAGATTTTATAGTGTACATTTTATGATGTGTATTCTGAATGATTACAAAATAGATTTGGCCCACATCAGAAAAATTAGGTAGAAAAATGTGTCATCCAATCATAAATGTATATGCAGTGTACTTATTTTCTGAATGTGTTTTAGTTTTACCTGAGCTACCATTGCCAACACCAACAACATCAACTTCACACAACAAGACATTGCTCCACAATGCCAAGCTTAAAGAGACATCAAAACGCTTGCTAGCAAGTCAAGATGCAGGGCTGACACAACAGTTAACGACTGTGCTTAGAAAAACATCAACCGAAAATTTGTAAGTGTGTTTAGAAAGATAATCTTACCGTAATTTATTTTAAGAATTCGATATATATACATATATGCCAGATATTAATAAAAGCACATAGAAAACCTGGAGTTGATGTATTATGACACATCTGTTGATGTCAGAGAATTGTAGAGTATACAATAATCATATTTGGGAATTTTAGATATGAAGACCTTTATTATTCTCATAGGTTAGCAGAATTGAAATAGACTATCGTTATTTTCATAATAAACCCCTCTTTGGAACATGACTTACTTTGGAATGCATACTTTGATTTAAGAGAAAATTATTAAATTTTAAATCTTTTAAGATTTCTATGCAATAGTATGCATGAGCCATGAAAATTTGCTTTATTATTTTGTTATTTGCCTTTTTAAGAGATTTGAAGGATTCCACAAGTGATGGAGGGATAGATGGAAATCCCCCAGAGCTATTGAAGTCCATAATAAGTCAGGACCCTACCATATTTCAGGGTAATGTATAAATGTTGGAAAATGAGTGTCTCAGATGTCTATTTATATACAAAGTAAATATTGTCAAGACCATTATTGAAGAAATTTCTACAATTTGTTTGAAAATTGTCTTTTACACAATATCTGGTTATGATGAAAGAAAACTTTCCTTTTTATACAGGACGACAGTACTATGGGAATGGGTCACAAAAGGATGGATACAATTTGTAAGTAAATCACCAATGAAAGAACATTAAATAAATTACAGTATGTATTATTTTACATAGAATTATAAGAAAGGGGATCTTATTATGGCTAAGTGACTCATTAGAAATATATGTCTAACAAAAAAATTAAATTTTTGCACATCATGTATAATTGAGTGAAAGTTAAGACTCTTCCAGAAAGTCACTGTCTCTTTCATTTTGTGTAGGGGGAGTCCACATTACCAGAATAATTTGCTTGGTGGAGATCCATCAAAGTTCCCAAATCCTTATGGCAACTATACACCAGGTATGTCATGAACTATTTGTTGATATTTCATTTCCATGTCATTTAAAACAAAACTTGTAGACGAAGTGTAATTGAGGTTTTATAAATTTGTTTTTTGTTGCCTTAGGCATTGTGAATGGAGAACATCCAGAGTTAAGCAATCAGTATCCAGGATACCAGGGACAAGGGGGTGCTAAAAGTCTGGGTACCAGTAAGTCAATTAAATCCCAGGAAATCCAGCAATTAGTCACTGCAATCAAAAACTGATAGAAATATTGAAATTTAGGCCAGCATTTTTTTATTTTTAGGTTTACGAACATCAGAATGAAAAAGTCCCGTAGGAGGAGGAAATAAAAAAAAAAAAAAAATTATATTTTGGATACATTATCGACTTTTCTACATTAGTTTTTGCTTCTTTTTTATGCTCTCCTAAGAGGCTTCTTGCCACGGGACACATAAGGGTTACAAAGGGGAAAATACAACCTTTAATTGTTTATTTCATCATCTACCACTTAGGGGCAGTGATATAAATCTTTTGATGTTGGACAAAATACAGATTTTTTTAAAAAATCAATTTTAAAAATCTCTTTTAATATATCTTCATTTTTGTTTTTAATGTGTGTTAGGTAGAAATTATTCTAAAATATTAATATACTTGAAACCTATAAAAGTAATAATTCCTTTCATAAAACAGACAGGGAGTATGAAATTCCCTAGGAGTATTGAGGAGTAGGGTGGAATTTTTTTCAATTACATGTAAGTGTAAAATAATTTTTCTGGCTGCCATAAACGATACTACATGCCTGTATATATTTGTATATTCTTGTTTTCAAATAGTTGAAATATTTTATTTCTTTAGGCTATTGTTTATTTCTTCCTCAAATGGACTTAACTTCTCCCATAGTTTTATTCATTACATCTAATGCATACTAAAAAATTTTTGTAATGATTAACTATATAATTGAGTAAAAGGGTTTGACATTAAGGCACATCCGCGACCCTTTTCTGAAGAATGATGCTAAGATTGTAAGCTGTGACAGAAACCTAAACAATGTCTCTGACAATAGCTACCATGGGCAGTTTTAAACCTGTGGGAGGAAAATAATTTACAATTACACTATTTACAGACAGTTACTTTTGAATACGGATACATAATTATCTCACCAACATGTCACTTTGCAACAAAGTCGTCAGCATTTTATTGTTCTCTGAACGGGTGAAACGTTTTGAATGGCACTCCTATCGATAGATATTTACATTAAACCAAGCTTTAGTGCTGCTATGGACTTGACACATATCTCCCTTCATTACCCGCCATGTTCAATTTAAAACCGGAAGTACGAGTTCGTAAATTTGAAATCTCGATCCCGACTTAAATTTGACATCGGAAAGAAAAAATTTTGTTTTTCTCAATTTTATTTTTTTTCTGAAAATTGAAAAACTTGAGCGGCGGGTTTGTAAACCTAAAAATAAAAAAATGCTGGCCTTAAAGTATATGTGTATTTCAACAAATATATACAGTAATAATTGAAGTATCATGCATCTTTGTAATCTTTGTAATTTATTGCACACAAAAACTGAATGATTTTATTAAGTAAATGTGTACATGTATTTTAGGAAACTGAAGGTTTATTGAAGTATCATAGACCTTTGTAATTTCTTTTGTGCAAGATATATTTTTGCATGATTCTCCAACTACAGTTTCTTCACCAGCTCCAAGAAGCTTGGCAGAAAATTCTTACCACAATGAAGCAGAGAACCACAGTGGACTTAACAGTTCTTATCATAGGAAAAAACTTAATTCTGAACCTGTGGTTCTGTTAGAACAGTTACCAGTAAGCTGAATTTTCTCCTTCATTTTGTGTGGTTTCTTTGTGCTCTGATTACCTGTGTAATGTTTTTAAACACTTAATTGCTTTGTAGAACCTACCACCGCGTGCCTCTGGTGACGCTTCAAGCACAATTTCGGCCGACTCGCATGGAGGGGAGGTAATATCTGATACACTTAATTTATTTATCAAGTAGAAATGAATAATTGAGCCAATACTTTAAATTTATGTGGAAATTTATTTACCGTTGTATATGTATGTTGCAGAGAAAGAAGATCAAGAGTTCACATCCTGTGGTCATATTGGAACCATTAGATGAACAGGTAAGTATCGGTGTTTTGGCTTTATGAAATTTCACTACAATTTTTGTAATGATTAACTATTAAAGTAAACAGGGTTTGACATTAAGGCATGTCCGACAGACCGAGTCTAGTAAAAGATTGGTCCAGTCGGGTAAAATGTCTGTGTACTAGACCGACTGGTCATGTATGAAAAATAAATGAACTTTAATTTTAAACAAATGTATTTTTAATGAAAAATAAAATCAAAACGTTTCTAACCGCATCATAGAAAGAAAACTACATACATGTATGTAACAGACAGCATGACCGAAGCGCTATTATTGACAGCAGTCGTTGAAGGCATTCGAAACTACTCTGCCATTTTCCTAAAGAGAAACAATAAGCTATTTATCATTCATGGAAATGGTTGAATAGTTACGATTGTCATTGTCGAGAGATTCAAATTAACAACATCGGTAAACTGTGTAAATGGCAATAGAATTATAATATTGTATTAATTATTTTTACTATACTTAAATTCTCTGAACAATTGCATTGGTATCGTATTTATATTGTATACAAGTTGATTAAGTTAAGTGAGAACTAAACACGACAAGAAGCATGTGTATGACCTAGTTTCAATGTTGACGTGTGCCGGAAAATTTCGTTATTAAAATATGGATTACATTGGTAAAGATAAACCACTACAATTAAACAGATAATATATAAAAGATTATTCATAAATTATCACTATTTCGTGCTTTAAATATTTTTTTCTCAAGTTTGTTCAGCGCTAGTGGTTAAAGGGTCAGGGCTAGTAAAAATTTGCAAGAGTAGCCCGACTGGTCTGGTATTCCAAAAGCTTAATGTCAAACCCTGGTAAATAACACACATATGCACATACATGTATAAGCATACACATACATGTATTAGATATACATGTATGTTATTTCTGCACATTTCATTTCATTATGCTTAGATTAATTTGTAGGTAGTCCTTAGACAAACCAGAAGTCAGGTATCAGGCAATGTTAACTTTATTGGAACAATTTTTATACCATTTTCATTTTACTGTTAATTTTCTTAGTTACAAAATACACCCATATTTATAATGGTTGGCATGTTTATCTTGGAAGACCTTGTTTTGGGTTTGGTGTCCATGAGGACTTTTAAGCTGTTTTATTTTGCATTATTCATTTTCCTTGCTTGATTGGGAGAAGATATTGTTTGTAATTTTTAAAGACATTTTGACACTGATTTAAGCTACAAAAAATGAATATGTTGATTTTCTTTGACTAGGAAAAAATGCTCAGTTGGATTAGGAACCTTCTCAACTATTATTAATGTTCTTTATTGCAGACTCTGAAGTCCATACAGCATGCAGGCTCAGTTAAAGCTAAAGATAAAAAGAGAGGTGGGTACACAGTATTACATGTATTTTAAGGTGCATTATTTCTGCTCAAATATTCTTTTTTAACTTTAATATACATGTACATGTATAAATTAGAATATTTTGATTTATCAGGGAGGAGAATATATGACAGTGATGATGAAGATTCCAGTGACAGACATGGAAAGCGTAGACGATACAACAGTGACAGTGATGATTCCTCAGCTCAGGGTTAGCTCTAAACTATTTCTCAGAAATACCTGTACATATAGAAACAGACATTTCTTAACAGTGAAGTAAATGACTTAGATTTCTTTTTCAAAGGAAGTTTCAAAGTTTCATCAGCTAGAAGGAGGGGGAGGGGGAAAACTAAATTAAAACTTAAATTCTCAGACTAGGAGCAGATATTGTCTGTGTGCAGTAAATGGCTGTTACTTCTTATTAGTTTTTTTGACATTTTTTCCCCCTAATTTTCAGTGTCTAGAAAGAAAAAGAAGGATAAGAGACATCGACGTGTTAACCAGCAGGCTATGTCTGTGGAGGAACTTTTAGATAGTCCTACCTTTAAGAAATTCAGCAGCTCCATGGAGTACATTCTGGAAGCATCAGAGGATACTAATTTTGGATCTCTAGACCCGAGTGAGTGGGAAAAAAATTCTGGGGTGGGGAGTATTAAAGGTGTTTTCAGTTACAACAAAACATGAAATCAAAAGTTTCCTTTAGTAGATTTTCAGGTATATTTTGGTATATAAATTTAGTACATGAATAAATGGAAGTACACTTTATATGTCCATTGTAATAAGAAGTCGTACGATTTTTCAGATGATGATGAAGTTGAATGCCCAACAGAAAGTCTTATTGCCAACAACTTGCTTACTGAACTTAGTGGAGAAACTGCTAAACTCAAGTCCTTAGGAGTGATGAATCGGGTAATGTGATCACAGAAAAATCATTAGCAATTGTATGTACACTAAAAGTAGCTCTGTGCCAACTAAATGGCAAAGTTATATTAACATTTATTCCCTGTTAAAGAGGTGTAAAACAAAAAGTTTATATCCATGTACATACACATACTATGAGCATATGCTTGGATACTAAAATTTAACTAGGAATATAGAGGATACTAATTACATGTTGATTCACAGGTCCCAGCTGACAGGTTGGTCAAGCTACTGACAATATTACAGTGGAACATACGAGATGGAAGCAAGGTCACACCTGTTGTAAACCAAGGCCAGGTAGGGAACAAATGTTTTATACTCATGACGCTGATCAAGGTTACGCTTGATATCTAGCTTTCTTGAACGCTCACAGGACTGATAGGTTCAGAGTAGATTCATGTACATGTATGTTTGAAAATTTTTGGGAATAACATTATGAAATGTCAAAAGTGAAATGTTTTTAAAAAGATGTTTAGTACAAGTTTGTTAAGAGGATGCAATTGATTGTGATATCAAAATAGAATGATATAAAACATAAACTTCTTGACATTTTACATGCAACAAAATTAGACATAAACATTAAAAGAATGTAAAAATTGTGTTAGAATGGGAATAACTATTTTCATTTGTTATTTGCACCCTTGAATGCTGAATTAAAGGTCTTAAACATCCGTTTCACTGACTTGCCAATGCATTGCGTGTTAAAAACATTTCACAACTGTAAAAACAGCATTAACGACGACAAATAATGGAAGACAGATAATCCCTAAATCAATGCTATGTTTAGTGTGCGTTTAGATAGAAGTTATTTTTCCTTGTTTACAGGATGAGGATGAGGAGGAGCAGAGACTGTGGAGGAGCGTGATCATGGAGCGCGTCATGAGGAGCATGAACTCTGCCCTTATCGCCCTACATATCATGACCTCACCAGACATGCCCAAACAGGTCTACCTAGAGGATGTCATAGAGAGGATCATTCTGTTTGGGAAATTCCATCTTCAGAATACAATTTTCCCAGAATTTGATCCTGTTTACAAAATTGATCCAAAAGCAAAAGGTGAGGAAGTCACATTTGAAAGCCTGATTGTTTGGCTCTTTTGACTCTATGTGACTTGTTAAGCAGGGTTTAGGTGTTTGAAACAAAAATGCGATGATGCCCAAGGTAAAACATGAAATCAAAAAAAGTTACATTCAGTATAATGGTGTAACATCTTACAATGACATTATAATACATGTATATGACTTTGAATTTGTCTTCTCTTTTCATTTTGTAGATGGTTATCATGGGAGTCTAAAAGCTAAGAGGGCCCGAGCAACACAAGTAAAACACAAGTCCACCATCAACCTGTTCAACAAGATCTCAGACATGATAGAGAATCTCTCAGAATTGGTGGATGTGCAAGAGCTCACAGACACCACAATACTCCAAGTAAGAGGGTGTTTGAAATTCTGTTAGAAGTGTTTTCCCTTACCTTGCCCTGGTCTGTGTAGATCGTGGATTAAAAATTCTAAATAACCTGAAATGAATGTTACTGATCTTTTTCAGTTATCAACTTTGGGAGTATCACCTTTCTTTGTGGAAAATATCAGTGAAATGCAGCTGAATTCCATGAAGCTTGTCACTACAGTAAGAAAATTTTCATATACGATAATTTCAGTCATTAAATGCTCATTTACAGTATAAAAACAATAGCTCCTTCAATCTATTTGGTGACTAAAACTATGCAAACTAAAGTTCAAATGCTTATTTTCTTACAGATCTTTTCAAAATATGAAAAACATCGCCAATTAATCCTAGAAGATATATTTGCCAGTTTAGCCAGACTGCCATCCAGTAAAAGAAATCTAAGGAATTACAGGTAAACTTGTATCTTTCCATGTAAACCTAGTAAGGAAATTGTTTTGAGTAAAATACAGTGTACATCTATAAATATAGACCTTTGAAAATGATTTCAGGAACTTGAAAATATTAACACTTAATAAAACATGTTCAAAAACTTTTCAAAAATTATATTGAGCTTTAAAATTACATATTGCCTTCTTTTCACTATACAAAGTCCTTGATCAAGCATGGCGTTTTACAAAACAGATTTCAATTCATTAATGAGAGAGACACACCTAAATATTTGAATTTAGTAAGGAAAAATATTTTTGTTTTATATCCTACATGTATAAGTAATAATGGTTCAGAGCCTTGACTTCGTTGAAGTCTCAGTTAAATAATTTATGATTATATTATTATACAGGTTGAATTCAGAGGAGTCTATTCAGATGGTAACTGCTCTAGCCCTCCAGCTTATTCAGTGTGTCATCAAACTTCCCAGTGTTTCCTCCCCACCTGATGAGGAAGAAATAGCCTCATCATCTTCCTCGAAAAAAAGGTCAAAAGCAGGACAGGTCAGTTCTTATTAATGTGTGACACATTATTTTATGTATTATTTCGTGTATTGAATTTCTTATTATTATCGATATATTTAACATGGTCTTTTGTTTTGTAGAATTCCAATGATGTTGTGATAGTTACCTCTTTTGAGAATGCATTAAGGACAGGGTACAACTTTCTCACAGTGTTTCTACAAAAGTAAGCTATTGCTAATTTCTGTTATTCACTCAATTTAGCTGAAGGCTTGTGTGAGTTTCAAGGAAAATTTGTCAGTTTCCTGGCTGAAATAAAGAGTAAATGTATTAATTTATTGATTTGTATTTTAGATGTACTGTGAAGAGTGAGGAGGATTATCGTCCAATGTTTGAAAACTTTGTACAGGATCTCTTGTCAACGGTCAACAAACCAGAGTGGCCATCCTCTGAACTGCTCCTCAGTTTGCTAGGAAAGATTCTGGTAACACTGACTTAAGATTTATGTACAGTATTTAAAATAATAATAAAAAAAATTTGTGAAAGTAATAAAACACGTTTACATCCATTTATTTGTAAAGTTCTTGCATGAGTTGGTCAGCCTGTTTTTTTTTTTTAAAAAGCGTGTCATAGTCCGATGCCCACTTTACAAAGTTACCTATATTCATTTGATTTACTGTGATAGAAAACTTCTGATAGCATTTGATTTTGGTAGACTGGTCCTTTTTATACAGTATGTGTGTTGTTTAAAATAAGTACAAAGTATACAATACCTAGATACTGTTTATAACTACAGGTGAAGCAGTTCAGTAATAAGTCGGTGGAGATGTCTCTCAGGGTAGCCTCACTGGATTATCTTGGCATTGTAGCCTCCAGGTTAAGAAAAGATGCTGTGTCTAGTCATGATAACCAAGAGTCTATTGATGAAATTATTACAAAGGTACAGTTTTATGAAGGCATGTAAAGAATCCTGTATATCACTGTATTTGGGATCCAAGAAATTGCTTTCTGAAATACATGTATATTTTCATTTTTTTAATTAGGTAACTTCTAAAGACAGTGATGATGAAGAGGGACATGACAATGCAGAGTCTTCGGAGTCATTGGTGAGTTTTCATATAAAGCTGACATTCACTGTTAAATTCGTTTATAAATTTATCCTTTCTTTACACTGTAACTTGTTATTATGTCTATTTATTTGATGTTTGATTATTCTGTAACTTGTTATTTTGTCTATTAATTTGAGGATTCTTTGCATGTAACTTGTTATTTTGTAGTCGGAGACTGAGAACCAGACACAAATCCTACAGAAGTCTATGTTGGATTATCTAGCTTACAACAGCCAAAGTGAACCAGCTTACTGGGTGAGAGACTATTCAACCACAGTCATGTCAAGTTTTTAACTGACAATCATGTCAAACTATTAACTGACAACAATGTCAAACTACTGAATCATAGTAATGTCTAGAGAAAATGATCAGTGTAACTACATGTGTACATGTAAATAAGGATATGACCACAAAAAAAAAACCCATTAAGTAACAGTGGCTAAGAGTAAAGTTTCCATGTACACTGTACCCATGGATTACTGTATAATGGATGTTATTCATGATAACCAAATCTGCCCCCCTAATATGTGTGCTTGAGTGATGATAATATGTGTGCTTGGTTGTTTGGGTTTCTAACCCTAAATTCTCTCTGATTTCAGTATGCCCATCTATTCTACATAGCTCAGTGGTATAGGGATATTACTGTGGAGGCTGAAAGTTTGGCAAAAAATTCTAAACGTAGGACAGAGGAGGAGGAGGAAAAAGCAACAGAGGCCATTCAGAAAGCAGAACAGAAGAAAACATTTCTGTTGGCCCAATTTGAGGCCATTAACAAAAATGCCTCTTACAGGTATTGGAAAATGAACATTTTTGTAGAGTTCTAACAATCTTATATAGTGGTTCTACAAAAGTGTGAACTTTCCAGTAAAAATATTGATTAGGTTTGTTTTACATGTAGTTACACATGTCCATATCACTAGATGCAGACCCCGTGCTATGTTGGACTTGTTTCAAATGAAAATTTGGCTTATTGGACTCTGTATATGCCAAGTAATTGGGGAGTGTAATTTTATACTAAAATTCAGAAAGCAAGACTATAATAGGACTTTAAATTAGTATTTTAACAGCCTTAAGTTGCTGCTGTAGTTTCAGTCGTAGTCTGAGAAACAGAAAGATAACCCTTGTGATCAAGTTGAACTAAAGGTCCAGTGTTAAAATATGTTGCTTTATGCTTTCAGGCCACCAGTATCCAAATTGGATTATGAAGGTGCTTGTCTTGTAGCAAGATATCTCTCATCCAAAAGACCATTTGCCCAGAGCTTTGATGTATACCTGACTCAGGTCAGTAGTTGCTGAGGTATGCTATTGAATGTTAATTTACCTACATGTATACGGGTTGGTCATTCTGTATTTGATTTGTAGATATTGAGGGTGTTGAATGAGTCGGCTGTCGCTGTGAGAACCAAGGCCATGAAGTGTCTGACAGCAGTAGTGGAGGCCGACCCAGGGATCCTGGCCAGGGTAAGCACACAAATTATCAGAATAGTAAAAAAAAAAAAAAGAAAAGTTAGGGGATAAATCAAAGCTGATAATTAAGGGGACGAAGGATGTATGGTCACATGACTCAGTTTAATTACGTCATAATCTTTGATAAAACAAAATTGAAACCACAATTCTTGTTTAATTTTTTGACTGTTAGTGTTCACCATCTAGTAAAAGATTATTTAAAACATTCATATTTTCTTGCAAATATTATCAAATTACGGAAAAACTTCTGTTTCCCTACACGCGTTAATGAGTCGTTGACGTCATAGTGGATCTCTTAGTACAGTAAGATTATACACAGTGAAACACGGGTAGTATGATATCATAAAAATGGGTCATGATCAGTACATGGTGAGGTATTTTTTGAATTTGAAAACACAAAAAATATTTTTACATTGTTGTTGACGGAAATATTTTGTAGGTATATCTTATTTCGCAAATATGTGACGTCATAGTTGGGTTTTCCCGTATACTCGGAAATGTAAACATGACACGTTTTTCTCATGTTCATGTCTTCTTTAACTATGTCCTGTGCAATATTGAGCTCAGCTTCACTAATTGATATTTTAACAATGAATCAATAACATGACCAACTTGAATTTCAACGTAAATTTTCAAATATTGAATGATGGGATTTTTTGCAAATTAATTTTTGTTGTTTAAGTTGTCTTAAAAAGTACGTAATTTTCCGTCTCCAGATGCAGTGTGAGAAAAGAATCTTGCTTTTTCGAATTTTTAACACTATTCATACTCTGAAATATTTTAAAAGACACATTTTCGCTGACATATTTTTTATCTTTGCTGAAAAAATTCAATTATCGACCGAGTAATGGGCCCAGAAACACGGAGAATCAAAACTGCACTCATACACTGTGGGGCATATTATTTGTCACCCAATATCTCAGAAATAAGTCTAGAAACCTATTGATATATCAGCTTTATGGTATGTGGGACATACTAAATAAGATATATACAAATATGAAAAAAATTAAACAACAGGTATTTTTTCAGCTAAATGTCCTTCTTCCCCTTAAATCTAACCTTAAAAAATAGCTACAGTATTTATGTGATTCATATGGTAATAGCTCAAAGCACTAATTTATTAAAGATTTTGACAGTTAATTAATTTTGAAACAATGACATCATGTAATCTTTTTATTTACAGGCTGATATGCAGAAAGGTGTACATTATCGTTTCCTTGATTCCTCGACCTCTGTACGGGAGGCTGCCGTGGAATTAGTGGGAAGATTTATACTTATCCGTCCAGAACTTATCTCTCAGTACTACGATATGCTCTCTGTCCGAATACTGGTGAGTCAGAACAACATTTAGATAGAAATATTTATAAGATTGATCAACTCAATATACAATACATTTTTGATATGTTTTCAGGACACTGGTATTAGTGTAAGAAAGCGGGTCATCAAAATTTTTCGTGATATTTGTTTGGAGCACTCAGATTTCCAAAAGATACCAGAAATGTGTGTGAAAATGATTCGTCGAGTCAATGACGAGGAAGGAATCAAGGTGAGAGATGTGTTAGATTTATCAATTTTGTGATTTACATGTATGTGATAAATGAGTTCTGTTTAATGAAGAGTGACTAGGTTTTTTGTGTGCTAAAACGCTTAAATTTTCCTTAAAATCTCCTTTACAGAAACTGGTGAATGAAGTTTTTCAAACAATGTGGTTTACACCAATCAACAGTAGAGAAAAAGACACCAGCAAACTCTTGACCAGGGTCCTCAATATAACCGATGTTGTAAGTACTTGTGATAGAGCATGTACATGTATATTGAATATTATTATCCTTTTATTTCTTGTGAAAGAGTTCTGTGTTTGCCTATGTACATGAATCTTCCTTTCCTATATTTGTATATTTTCCACACCTAAATGGCCCAACTGTTTATTTTACAGGTGGCAGCCTGTAGAGATACAGGATTTGAATTCTTTGAACAAATGTTAGAAAATGTGAGTATCTCAAAGTTATATTGAATGGCCAAATTGTGGTTAGTGGAATTTCTTGATAATATTGATTTCATGAGATTTCCTTCCAATGTTTCCTTTTAAATTTCAGCTACTTAAAAAAGATGAGGATGGGAACATTAATAAGAATGCTTTAACAGCCTGTCGTCAGATTGTGGACTGTTTGGTGGAGAACGTGTTGAGATTAGAGGAAAAGAGTGTGGGTAAGGACCACATACATGTAAAATGTATCATGCAATAATTTCTGGTAAAAATGGTGTTCTTATTTCACTCTGTGTCCTGCTGATGATAGATATATTATGGTACACAATGAATATAAGGAATGCAGGATTAATATTATGAGGTAAATACATGTATTAATACTGTTGTCTTTAAAATTTCAGACACGGAGACGGGGAAGGGATGCAGTCAGAGACTTGTGGCTTGTTTGTCCACTCTTCATCTCTTCAGCAAAATAAAACCTGACCTCATGGTGAAGCATGCTACCACCTTACAACCTTACCTAGACATCAAGTGCAGTGTAAGTGTACAGAAAAGTCTTCTGGAAGAGATTATAAAATATTTAATGATACTCTTGTCTCTACAAACATGTAAATATTTTGTTGATATTAAACAGTCTCATGGGATCAATTTGTTCTACAATACATGGCTATATGAAATCTTGTCTTCACATACATGTACATGTATTATGTTGATATTTAACAGACTCAGGGGGACCACTTTGTCCTACATTACGTGGCCCGTATCCTGGAGATGGTGGTTCCACTAATGGACCATCCTAGTGAAACATTCCTGGCCCAGCTAGAAGAGGACATGATGAAACTCATCCTCAAACATGGCATGATGGTAATAAACAATCAGCTACATTGTTATGCAGTTATACTCTACTAAATACAGTTTGTAGAACGATTTTCTGTTTGTTCTGTCATCAGATGACTTATTATTCATGATTGTAGGTCGTGGAGAGCTGTATAAGCTGTCTTGGTGCTGTTGTCAACTTGGTCAGTCACAACTTTCCTCTGGTCAAGGACTGTTTCGAGAAGTTTTTTGGTAAGTAAATAGCTGTACAGTATGTATTCATTATTATTAGAAGACTTCTAATAAAGAAATGTTTTAAGCTAAATGATGGTTTATGTTCATGTCCGTATCATCTTACATCTGTTTATATGCTATCAATGCTTTGATGGTGATGAATATTAAGACCTGTTCAGTTTATTTATACTCATGTACATGTATTTTGTAGGTGTGTTAGTTAAGTTGTGTTCTGAGCACAAAGAAAACCCTGATAATCCTCAGCTGAAGTCACGTAAACCCACGCTGCTACGATCTCTCTTCACAGTCGGGCTCCTCTGTAAATATTTTGATCTGGACAAGGAGATGCCAGATATACCACCAGAGGTATGTCTAACTGAGGTTTACACTAAACTTATTTTGTCCTTGATTTGCTCTCCTTGGGCAAAACCTTTAAATTTCACTTGTAACCATTATTTTATTAGTTTACAGCTCTAGCTAAGGGAATTTGTGATTGATCACTTTGTCTATCAGGTTGTAAGCTTCACTCCCTTTTGTGTTTTAGGGTAAAACTATGTAAAATAGGAAATGCATCTTTCATAATTTTATTCAAAAGCTTGATACCTTGTAGATTTTTGAAGATTTTTTTTAGTATTCAAAATCTTAAGTTCAGGTCATAGCATTATTTTTTCTCAAAAAAAGTCAATAAAGAAGATATTTGTATATGAATATTTTTTTTATTGTTATATTATATAATACAGTTGTGTAAGATGTAGTCCTTTTATTTATATGAGAGTGGACTGATTTGATTAACTTGCTTTTGTAGGAGACAATCAGGGAGAGGGTATTTCAAGTGCTTATGCACTTTATTACCCATGAAGATGAGATTGTGAAAGAGAAGGCTCTCTGTGGATTAGGTAAGAGTTACTCCATGTCTGTGGATTACTTGATGTAAACTTCAAAGAGTGTGTCAATAGAGTCATCAACAGTGACAATTTCTTATAAGAAAGACCTTGTGTTTGTAGGTTATATGGTGATTCGGCACTATGACATAATGTTGGGTAAAGAGATGAGGGACCTGTACTATGAATATCTTGATGATAGTACTGCTCCAGACAAACTCAGGATACAGGTAAAACTCAATATAGGAAGGATTTTATAATTGTAAATATAATGATTTGTATAAAGTTGAATAAAAAATTATTTTTTCATTGTGATTTACTTTGTACTGAGGTATTTATACATGTTTATCTAGCAAGAACTGTATCTGTTGTTAAGAACTTGAGAAATAACTGAGTTTGCTATTGTAGGTGCTAAAGAACTTACAGAACTACTTACTGGAGGAAGAAATCAGAATGCACAAAGCTGATGCAGAATGCAAGTTTTATTGATCTTTTTTCTAGCATTATGTAGCACATTACAAAAGAAAAATATTTTACTTCACTTAACAAGTTTAAATTATATACCCATTTAATCAGTGCAAACATTGCATTGAATCCAGTTAAACTTGCACCAATGACAGAGATATTTAGTTCTTCTTTAATAAAGAGGTGGTGGATTCAATGCTAGATTTCGAATTTCTTCGTTGATATACATGTACAATAACCTTTGTTTTGTCTTCCATGTCTCTGTTTAAGCATGGAATGATTCATATGAGTTTTCACCCATGTTGCACATGAATACTGAAGAAAAATGATAATCTATAATTTACTTGCACAAATACAGGGAGAAAACATGCAAAAGAAGAGGATTTAAAAGAAATGGGAGATGTCCAATCAGGGTAAGAAAATATCACAGTCTGATTATTGTTAGATTAAAAATTAAAGAAATATGATGATAAGAAAGGGAACAGTTTAATTGTTTTGTTGAAAATTTAATAACTAATCTACTGTCTTATTAAAATGGAGTACATGTAGTTAGTTGGGGTAATGTTTTACATTATGTCTCCATCAGTATAAAGTTTACTCCAGTGAGATCAATGAATTGTCTGTATGATTACTAACTTTAATCCAGTAAGATGCATCATTTACTCCAGTGAGATCAATGAATTGTCTGTACGAATACTAATTTTGATCCAGTGAGATCAGTGAATTGAGTTTTGACCACTGTGTGTTGTAGGATGGCCAGTACCATTATGCAGGTTTACCTGAAGCATGTCCTGGACTCCTTCTTCCACACCCACTCCCAGGTCAGGCTGGCAGCTCTACAGGTGGTGGTCCTGGTTCTACAGCAGGGCCTGGTTCACCCCGTACAGGTAATTCACTGCTAACCCCCCTGTCCCATTACAGGGAATTCACCCAGGTTCACAGGTAATTAACTGATAATCCTCCTGTACCATAGAAACATAGGTACCATTAAATTCATAGCATGTATACCTGCATTCGTAAGATGAAAAATGTACTGCCTGTTTTGCCTAATCAAAAGGAGGTACACTTGGATCATGTAGGCAATGATGAGTTCCCATAGATACTGTATTCAAAGTAAGGAATGAAGTGATGGCTTTTTGCTTTGCCAAGCTCAGAATATTTAAGGATTTGAAGTACAAGTAATTTTCATTGTACATATTACATTCTTTATTTGATGATTTCTTTTTTCTTTCAGTGTGTACCCTATTTGATCAGTATGTGTACAGATGTAGAAAAGGCAATAAGAGTGAAGGCAGATCAACAACTTCAAGAAATCGACAAAAAGTATCCTGGTTTTATTCATGTGAGTATTTAACGAAAACAAGAATTGTTACAAATATATTAATAACGAACTGATTTCCAGCATAAAGAAAAACTTAATGTGATGTAAAAAATGAAGCTAATAGTTGAGGCAACTGAATTGACAATTTTATTTCATTGTTTTGCAGATGAAAGCTTTACAGGGTCTGAAGATGTCCTACAAACTACAGCAGTTGTTACAATCTAACAGTAAAGGTTGTGTGATCCGCGGTGTCAGGGATAACGAGGGCAACATGATCAGTCTCAATAACTTCCTGTACACCGTGTTACGGGGGAACCGCTCCCATCGTCGTGCCATACTGCTCTCCCTACTTAACCTCTTTGATGATTCTGCTGTAAGTAAAGCTTATAGACACAAGTATAACTTATAGACATAAGTATAGCTTATAGACATAGGTATAGCTTACAGACATAAGTATAGCTTACAGACATAAGTATAGCTTACAGACATAAGTATAACTTACAGACATAAGTATAGCTTATAGACATAAGTATAGCTTATAGACATAGGTATAGCTTACAGACATAAGTATAGCTTACAGACATATGTATAGCTTACATACGTATAGCTTACAGACATAAGTATAGCTTACAGACATGCATATAGCTTACAGATATAAGTATAGCTAACAGACATACATATAGCTTACATACATATAGCTTACAGACATAAGTATAGCTTACAGACGTAAGTGTAGCTTACAGACATAAGTATAGCTCATAGACATAAGTATAGCTTATAGACATAAGTATAGCTTATAGAAATATGTATAGCTTACAGATATACGTATAGCTTACAGACATAAGTATAGCTCATAAACATAAGTATAGCTTATAGACACAAATATAGCTCATAGACATATGTATAGCTTACAGACATAGGTATAGCTTACAGACATATGTATAACTTACATAAGTATAGCTTACAGACGTAAGTATAGCTTACATACATACTTGTCAGAATAGCTTACAAACATAAGTAAAGCTTACAGACATACATGTAAGTATAGCTTACAGACATAATTATAGCTTACAGACATAAATATAGCTTACAAACATAAGTATAGCTTACAGACATAAGTATAGCTTATAGACATACATGTAAGTATAGCTTATAGACATAAGTATAGCTTAAAAAAGTAAGTATAGCTTACAGACAACTATTGCTCTCTAATCTTGACTTCATGCAGCAGAGTAAATCAGTGCCATTGTTAATGAAGCTGTCTGTTGCTCTGAATATCACAAATCAGTACAGTCATACATGTAACCATCTGTTGCTGCAAATACAACAAGATGATTTGGTGCATTCCTGCCCATTGCGTTTTGCTTCGTGTAGAGGAATATTGATAGAATTTAAGTTGAAATAGACTAAAATAAAAGCTTTGTTAGAAGCAAAGTTGCCCAGAGCTGGCTTGGATTTAGTTAAAGTTTGACTCTATAATTTCTTTTACAGAAAATCTCATTGGCTGAACAACTGTATATAGCTGACAATTTGGCCTTCTTCCCTTATCAAACTCAGGACGAGCCATTATTTATAATCAACCAGATTGACATCATTGTGTCAGTGTCAGGATCCAATATTCTCCAATCTTTCAGAGAGGTACAGCTTTTCTTAGTGTTCAAAACTGAAACAAACCAAATTGAGATTGGTTGTAAAAATTATTTTAAAAAAGTCAATTGAAACTAAGAATAAATAATTTGATAACATGCAGTTTCTTACTTTAATGATATGTCTGCTTTGAAAGTTTTATTTGCTTTGTGATATTTATTACCGAAAATGTATTACCAGTATAGTGTATACTTAAGTTTTTTGCTTTCTTCTTTTTTTTAGAGATTACATTTGTCTAATCAAGAAGCCCCAAGCATGGTACCCTTTTTCTTTTCTTTTTTGACATTTTCATTATTTGTATATACACCTAAATTTAAGTTTTCTTATTTTATTTTTGCTCTTCATTTTTCTATTATTTACCTTTTTCCCCTTCAAGTAATTTTATCCAACATGAAATTGTTACGATTCTCTGACAAAATATGTTGTTTTTTAGCTCTACTGGTCAGAGACCAGAAGAGCTTATGCGATAGTAATGCGTCCGGCGTCCGTCCGTCTGTCCGTCTGTCCGTCTGTCTGTCTGTCTGTCCGTCTGTCCGTCTGTCTGTAAACAATTTTTCAAAATGCTACTCCTCCTACAGTTTTGGTCTAATTTCAATATAACTTGGCACACAAGTAGACTACACTAAGATACATAATTCTCTGTATCGGTTTTTGATTTCGATGAACGGTGTTGCCGTGGTTACTAAAAATAGAAATTTCTGTGAAATTCTTTCAAAATGCTACTCCTCCTACAGTTTTGGTCTGATTTCAGTATAACTTGGCACACAAGTAGACTACACTAAGATACATAATTCTGTATATCGGTTTTTGATTTCGATGAACGGTGTTGCCGTGGTTACTAAAAATAGAAATTTCTGTGAAATTCTTTCAAAATGCTACTCCTCCTATAGGTTTGATCTGATTTCAGTATAAGTTAGCAAACAAGTAGAATACACTAAGATACATAATTCTGTGTATCGGTTTTTGATTTCGATGAACGATGTTGCCGTGGTTACTAAAAAAAGAAATTTCTGTGAAATTCTTTCAAAATGCTACTCCTCCTACAGTTTTGGTCTGATTTCAGTATTACTTGGCACACAAGTAGAATACACTAAGTTACATAATTCTGTGCATCGGTTTTTGATTTCGATGAAGGGTGTTGCCGTGGTTACTAAAAATAGAAATTTCTGTGAAATTCTTTCAAAAAGCTACTCCTCCTACAGTTTTGGTCTGATTTCAGTATAACTTGGCACACAAGTAGACTACACTAAAATACATAATTCTGTGCATCAGTTTTTGATTTCAATGAAGGGTGTTGCCATGGTTACTAAAAATAGAAATTTCTGTGAAATTCTTTCAAAATGCTACTCCTCCTACAGTTTTGGTCTGATTTCAGTATAACTTGGCAAACAACTAGAATACACTAAGATACATGATTCTGTGTATCGGTTTTTGATTTAGATGAATGGTGTTGTAGTGTTACTAAAAATAGAAATATCTGTAAAATTGTTTCAAAATGCTACACCTCCTACAGTTTTTGTCTGATTTCAATATAACTTGGCACACAAGTAGAATACTCTAAGATACATAATTCTGTTTATTGAATTTTAATTTTGATGAACGGTGTTGCCGTGGTTACTAAAAATAGAAATGTCTGTAAAATTGTTTCAAAATGCTACTCCTCCTACAGTTTTGGTCTGATTTCAGTATAACTTGGCACACAAGTAGACTACACTAAGAACAAAGAGACTTTATCAACGATCATTATTCTATTTAATGCTGTTTATAAAGTTTCAAATCCCAGCTACTTAAGTACTTTCTCTTCCTTTGCTATAAGTTCAAACCAGTAGAGCTTCAGTCTCGACAGAGACTTCTGGTTTTGTCTAGAACTTGGTTGTCAATGCTGAGGGTGAAAATAGAACAGAAAATGGAGTTTTACCCCGCCCTGTCATAGATGAGGAGGACGAAGATGATCCAGAAAAACTCATGAGTATGCAAGCTTCTTTTTTTTTTAAAAAAGATATTAAAGCTGTATGATCTAATGTAGAACATTTAGTCTCAATTTCTGAAAATCACACCCTCTATTCTATTTCATTTTCCCAGACAGAAAAGTTTTATTGAAATATTTTTACATTTTCTTTTTTAGCCAAACTTCCTAGAGATATTAGGCCTTTGTTAGATATATGTTATCTTGCACAAGGATGTATTTTACTACTACATCTAAAACACCATTTAAAAGAGACCTATGGGTTTTCTGACAGGTAACTATACCCCAAAAGAATCGATTTATGCTTAATGTGTTTTTCATTCAAATGATTGTAAATCAAAGAAAGAAAATACAATGCAGTTACTAAAAAATGCTTGCTTTTTTTTTGCAGCAAAATTCATAACTACTCTCAAACGGATGCAAAAACATACGATAAACCAGTGCAGAGGAAATTTATAGTGACGTTTAATCCTGAAACTGTGATAGATATATTAAACAATAAAACAAAAAATAGGACTATGAAGAAAAGATCTAGAAAAACACGTAAACGGAATCGTTGTGATTCAGGGGAGGGAACTAGTGACAGTAGTGTGTCTAGTGAGGAAGAGGAGACGGAAGAACAAAACGTAGACGACGAGGAACAGAGACGCAAACTCATTGATGATTATCTCGAGGTGAGGAGCCGTATAACAGGCTAAGTAGCTCTTGTTATGTCTTACATTTGCATGTGTGTACTCCATATATTTTCTTAAGCATTACAATATACAGTGGAGCCTCATTTATCCGCACGCTTTGGTTCCTAGTCAATTTGTCCGGATATGTGAAGTGTCCGGATATCTGAATTACCACTTAAACAAGACAAAATAACTTTTTAAAAAATCTGTTCCGATGAAAAGTCGTCCGGATACTGAAGCATCCAGATATCTGAAGGTCCACTGTATATACAATCTTTTGAGCTTTCATCCTGGTAAACTGAGCAGAGGTGAAGTTGTAATTCCCGGGATGTTATATTTTAAAAACTGTGTTGCATCGGTAAACATGAGTTATTATGTTGTAATGATTAACTTACATGGTACATTTTGTTTTGTAGTTTAAGGATTTAATGTTGAGTATAGACCCTCCTGATGAAGAAGAGGAGGGAGAAGAAAATCGCAGCACCGGTCGACAGACCCCCAACCCCGCCCACGGGCAGACCACTCCAGGCAGCAAATCACCACGACTACCAAATCCCGACGGCACGGGGGAGGAGTCAATGGAAATGACAGTAGAAGTCCACGAGGAGACGTCAGAAAAACGGGTCCCTCCAATCACCATTGTAAGTCATTCAAGGGTCCCTCCAATCACCATTTCAAGTCACTCACGGGTCCCTCCTATCACCATTGTAAGTCACTCACGGGTCCCTCCAATCACCATTGTGAGTCACTCACAGGTCCCTCCAATCACCATTGTAAGTCACTCACAGGTCCCTCCAATCACCATTGTAAGTCACTCAAGGGTCCCTCCAATCACCATTGTAAGTCACTGACGAGTCCCTCCAATCATCATTGTAAGTCACTCGCGGGTCCCTCCAATCATCATTGTAAGTCACTCACGGGTCCCTCCAATCACCATTGTAAGTCACTCATGGGTCCCTCCTATCACCTTTGTAAGTTACTCATGGGTCCCTCCTATCACCATTGTAAATTACTCACGGGTCCCTCCAATCACCATTGTAAGTCACTGACGAGTCCCTCCAATCTCCATTGTAAGTCACTGACGGGTCCCTCCAATCACTTTTTAAGTCACTTACAGATCCCTCCAATCACCATTGTAAGTCACTCCAGTCACAGGGTATATTGTTAGTCTAAATATAAAATTTTTTAATTGTCAAGAGTTGATTTTTATAGGCATTATGGTAACATATTTTAGCTATGCAGTCTCAACTGTTCAGAGGGCATTTTTTGTAGATCAATAAAGTGGTAACATGCTTGTTAAAGAAATTTCATATCTCAATACAGAGAATTTAATACCGCAAATTTAGCGATTTGACCTTAAAAATGGGTATTTTATTTTTAGCGAGAAGTAGTTTTAGCGATATTCAAAAGCTCATTAGAGAAGCCATTACAAATACAACACAATTAATTTTTAGCGATATTCAATTTTAGCGATCTCAACACGCTCGCTAATAATGCCAAAATTAAATCCTTGCTAAAAATTCTGCTTATACGGTATCCTATATATTATTTTTATCGAGTTTATTCAACAAAGTGTTGTGTATTTAATTGAAAGTTTAAAAAATTTAATCAAAATATGCATTTCAAAATTTCATTTGTTTACCATATGATTCTATTGTGTGTTCTTGGCTCATTATTGTACATTATATGTCTTTGTTTTACAGAGAGCAACACCTCACAGTCACCACACCCCCAAGTCGTCCCGCCATCATCACCTTTTTGCTCCAGACAAAAAGAAAATTCCAGTTCACTCATCATCCTCTTCTTCCAAAAACTTATCAAAATCATTTTCCAAGTCGTTACCCAGTAAAAAGAAACCAAAGAAGCGACGGAAACGTTATGGCAGCGATAGTGAGGATGACAGTGCTGACAGTGACTTTGTGTTATAACTCGTGTGTCAGTGTTGATAGCATAATTGTAACTGTGTCCTAGCAGGTGTGTCAGGCGGTGCTGATTCTGTACGTTCTATTGTCGCTGACACAGTGTGGTAATACAGCAGTTTGTCATCGCAATCCACGGTCCTTTGTTATTTAGTCACAGAGATACCCCACAAAGGGAAAACAACAAACCTATCTGTCCCAGGAGCCGTACTGTAGGCTCATGCCAAACTCACATGACAGCATGATTGGTTGTGACATTTTCCTAGTGCAATATCAGCTTTTAATGAATTGCAAGATGAATTAAATTTCATGAAATGTACATCCTTATGATCCTGGTATTAAGGAAATGATTGTTCATTAGAAGCAAAACTTAATGTGAGCAAATGCAAAGGATTAATTACGTGTATGTGTTCGAGCACCCTCTTCCTAAACATAAGATAAAATTTCAGGCTTCTAAAAGGAAAAAAATTTAAATTTGAAAATTTACTTGTAAAATTGGTTTATTATGAACAAATTCTTTGTAATTGATAGAAGTCAAGTTTTTTTTTCTAAAAGATAGATTTTTTTTCCTTCCATATAAAAATGTATGATTGTTAATTATAAATGAGTTCATATTAACTACATGTTAAAACACATAAATTCTATGGCATTTTTTACTGGCAAATGAAACACAAGTTTCAGATGTACAGTACATCATTCTATTTCTGTTTTAATATTAATTCAAGGTTATACTGTAGTGTTAATGAGCATAATGAAACTTGGAACTTTGTATGACTGAGCTATGTAAATTTTATAAGAACAAATCAAATATTAGTGATGTCATCAAATAGAAACATCTTTCTTGTTATGAATATTTATTAAGGAATACCTGAATTCTTTTATGCATCACAGTTGATAAAAATATTTTAGATCGAAACTTTTACCGAAATTGACAAGCTGAGCGATTGTGTGGGAGATTTTACTGTGAAGTTTTAAGTCAAACACTGCTGTATTTTACCAGGACTTTTACTATGTCAGCTATTTTTTACGTCTTTCTTGTCACTTCTCAGATATTTATTTTCTTTGTTCATCTGTTGATAGTCATCTGTTCCATGTCATCTTATTTTTCATAAAAACTACAAATTGAAAAAATATAAATTTTGCAGAATTAAATTTTGAAAACTTGACATTTTTCTCTTTGTTTTATTCTCACCGCAAAAGTACTCTTGGTTGATTACTGTAAAATCACAAATTTCCGTAGGGTAAAATTTTCTTGAGGTTGAAGATTTGTTGAGTAGTTATGTATATATCATTTTACATTTCATGGTGGACATGAATTTATGGGTCTCTTCAAACATGGGAAACAATGAAATTTAACCCCCCATGAAAATCATTGATTCCACAGTATTCTTTTGCATTTGACTGAGATCAAAGGCTGATACAATCTAATTAAAATTAGATCTTTGATCCGCTCCAGTTTGATCACTACATGTAGCGATCAAACTGAAGCGGATCAAAGATCTAATTTTAATTAGATTGAGGCTGATAATGATTTCAAATTGATTTTAAAGTTGTCACAAGATTGATGTTTAAAGTTGATTGTTACAGCATACTCAACGTAGGCAAATAAAAATGTGCAAGCAATTCAAGGAAATACATTGTGAATTAAAAAGAAACATCCTTAAAAAGTATGCAAATTTTTTACAGCGTATATGTAGGTATTAAAAATTTGTTATTTCGCATCAATTTTGGAATGTCGCAACAAATTGTGATCCTCCACTTTCAGTGTCTTTAATAGTGGATTGGATGCCATTATTTATTATGGCATATTATAGCTGCAGAACTGTAACTCTACAAAAAATAACATATTGACAGACCAGGGAGTTACAGTGCCACCCAAAAAAAGTGTCCTGTTCCTCGATTTATTTCTCTGTGTTAATCAAACTGCCATCTAAAAAATATTACTCAATGTTTGTTTCGAACTTATTTATTAGTACATGTATTTCCATAACGAAACATTCCTTATAACAATTTTAATACGCCTCAAGGACCTGAAATTCAGTCTGACAGTCTGTCAAAGCATCGAAAATTTCTCCTATTTAAATCGAGCACAAATTTTTGCACGCACTAAATATGCAGTTTTTTTTCTATTAGTGGCACTGCAGCTCAAGTTACTCAAGTTAATATTTTGAAAATTACGTGTAGACAGTACTTGAAGGGCAAATATTTGAAAGGGTTTGTCAAGAATGTACTGTATAAAAGCCTTATCTCTTCTGATTCAAAAGTTATTAAGCTAGGTCACATAGGCAGTATCACAGACATCCCTTCTCATTCAAAAATTAAAAACCAAGCAGGCAGCTTCAAAGAAATAAGAAACAAACAACCAGAGCGAAATAAGATGCCAGCAAACACAACTGAAGTCGGTCCTCCTGAGCAAACCTACACCTCAATCACAAATTCGGGAAATATGGATGATCAAACAGCACACGATCACGGGGAAAGAAATACAACACAAAGAAACCAAAAAATTCCTCTCCTTCTCATTGGAACATCAAACATAAAACACATTGACCCGAGTAGGTGGCAGAACTACACGACACAAAAGGAAACAGCTTACAAAATTGAAAATGCCATTGAAAAAATTGAAAATTATGGCCCTGATGTGAAGCCGGCTGTGATAGTTTTCCATTCGTTAACAAATGATATCAAATCCCAGCTTGATGAAGAAGGATGTGTCAAAAAGATGAAATCGCTAATTGAAAAAACATCAGAGAAATTCCCAGAAACCAAAATTGTCCTCTCTTTAGCCACACCACGGATGGACAGAGATGATTGGAATGACAAAGGTGAATTGATAAATGCAATGCTTAAGCAGAAGTTCAGAAAATCACAAAACATATTTCTCTGTGATAACAGCAACCTAGCCGAGCAAGGTAAACCTATAGAAAGACTTATCGAAAGAGACGGAGTCCATCTCACTACAGAGGGAACAGCTGTTTTAGCTTCAAATATGAAGAAAATGATTGATAACATCTGTAGCATATCACGCAGGAGCCAGGAACAAGGTGCTAGATATAAGAACAAGAACTACCCCAAAAAAAGCTTTGGAGGAAGATCTAGTGGCCACTATCAAGACAACAGAGGTTATTTTGAATATGATCGACCACCCTACGACCAAAGGAGAGATGCATACCAAAAAAACAGACTGATGAGTGCGTATTGGCGTTAGTACAAAGTACATTGATTACGTTAATTAAACACACAAACATTAAAGTGGTAAAAGAATTATCTATAAATTGATTATTCTTGCTATTTTTTCTTTTTTTTAGATTTTTTAAATTGGTTCATTCCTATTTTTTATTCTTCTTTTATTTTGATAAATTGAAAACCACATGCACAAATGGTTATTAGTAAAATTGATACATGCTTGAATATTTGCACTTGGAATGTGGGAGGTATGATATCAGACAATATTAACAAATCAACAGATAAGCTGTTTGTCGATCAAGTAAAAAATCATGACCTGGTCTTACTCACGGAAACCCATATTGGTTATAATACTCATATTGAAATTAAAGACTTCCTATATTACCCTATATGTAGAGAAAAGTCATCAAATAATAGATATTTTGGTGGATTAGGAATTCTAGTAAAGAAAAATATTAGGAAAGGCATTTTGATTTTACCAAATACAAATACAGAATATCAATGGCTCACACTAAACAAGAGGCCCAGGGGCCAAAAATCACCTGAGCACATGCTTCTCATCCCCCCCCCCCCCCCAGGCGTTCATATTTGAACAAACTAGAATCTACACATTTTTCCAATAAATAACACTAATCATAGCTTTGAAGTGCCTGAAAAGTGATTTTAAAAGGTTTCCATTATATCCCTGATGTAAAACTTGGGTGGGCCATCTTGGCCCCACCCTAGCCCCAGGGGTCATGATTTGAAAAACTTTAATCTACACTACCTGAGGTTGATTTAACATGAATTTCATCTTTCCTGGCCCAGTGGTTCTGGAGAAGAAGATATTAAAAGATATTTTCCTATATATTCCTATGTAAAACTTGGTTTGTTACATAGCCCCGGGGGTCAAAACAAACATGAATCTACACTACCTGAGGATGATTCCACATGATTTTCGTCAAATATGGTTGAAAGAAAAAGATTTTTCCTATATATTCCTATGTAAAACTTGGTCTTATTTTGGCCCCAACATTTGAACAAACATCTACACTACCTGAGGATGATTCCACATGAATTTCATCTTTCCTGGCCCAGTGGTTCTTGAGAAGATTTTTAAAGATTTTTCCTATATTTTCCTATGTAAAATTATCCTAACCCCAGGGGTCATATTGATTTTCTACACTACCTGATACAAATTCCACATGAGTTTTCTTTCCTATAGTGGTTCTGGAGAAGAAGATTTTTAAAGATTTTTCCTATATATTCCTATGTAAAACTTGGGTCTAATTTTAGGCCCCACCCTAGGCCCGGGGGTCATCATTCCAAACTAAGTCCCATGTATTCTGGAGAAGAAGATTTTTAAAGATTTTTCTCATGTAAAATTTCATTTTAATTAATACAGAAATTTTATTTCATTTTCCTGGCCCAGTGGTTATTAGAAGAAGATAAAGATTTTTCCTATATATTCCTATGTAATTACTATTGAAAATTAGAAAATTACTTGAATTTACACTACCTGAAAAATTTTTCACCTTTCCTGGCCCAGTGGTTCTTGAAAGAAGATTTTTTAAAAATGCATAAATTTTTCACAAATTATAATTATCTCCCCTTGTTAAAATACAAGTTTGGTTAAAATACAAATAAAATGTGAAAAGTTTACGACAATGGACAACGACTCATCAATGAGCCTACAAAAAAGGATTTTTTTCACTTAAAAAAAGACATATACTTATGTCTAGCATACATATCCCCTAAAATGTCATGTTATAATAAAAATCATAATGATGAAATTCTAGAATGTATAGAACGAGATATTGTTAACAAATATGGAAATTATGGAGATATAATACTCACAGGTGATTTTAATGCAAGAACAGGTAGAGAATTAGACTATATAACAGGAGACTCAACCTCACACATTCCAGTGGAAAATGATACTTATACCATAGATACAGCGGTTGGGGAAAGATGTAGTAGAGATAATATCGTGGATAGTAGAGGTAAAGATTTATTAGAATTATGTATTGCAAATAAGCTAAGAATAACAAATGGTAGAACATTTGGTGATACACAGGGAAAATTTACTTGTCATAATTATGCTGGTTCGAGTGCAGTTGACTATTTTATTGTGTCTGATCAATTACTAGATGACATTTTGCATGTTCATGTTTCTGATTTTTCACCTTTATCTGACTGCCATTGTAAAATCTCACTAAAACTTTTATCATCTTTTGAAAGAGAATATACAACTCAAAACATGCAGGAGATGCCAAAACGATATAAATGGGACATCCTAGCTGTAAGCAACTTCCAAAATGCTTTCTTACTTCCAACAGTCCAAAATGATATTAAACTTTTTTTAGATAAAACCATTGAATATAATGAGCAGAGTATAAATGAAGCCACAAATGACATCCATAATATATTTAATAAAGCTGCAAAACTTTCTCTACAAAGAAAATCACAACGTAAAAATACAAACAATAAAAAATGGTTTGATTCTGACCTTACAAAAATGCGTAAACGCCTATTTGAAAAAGCGAAACTATTATCCATATTTCCTAATAACCCCCACATACGAGGTTCGTTCTTTAAACTAAATAAGGAATATGCTAAACAACGAAAACATAAAAAACGTGAATTTAGACAAAGTATTCTAGATAAATTAGATCAACTTAATGAAACCAATCCTAAAGAATATTGGAAACTGGTTAAATACCTGAGAGAAACTGAAAACACAAAAGAAAATTTAGAAAAGTCAGTTGATGAAAATACATGGTTTAACTACTTTACTACTTTATCCAAACTACCAGAAAAGTACAAAGGAAGAATCAACACAATTGAAACTAAAATTAATGAATTATTAAACAATAAGGCGGCTACCTCTTTTAATAAACTGGATTTCAGGATATCTGCACCTGAAATCCAAAAAGCCATCAACTCCTTAAAGTCTGGGAAAAGCCCTGGCCTAGACAACATCTCAAATGAAATGATAAAAGCATCCCAAATTTACATAAACTCCTGTATTCTGAAATTATTTAATCTTGTATTAACATCTGGAATATATCCAGAGAAATGGCTAGAGGGTTATACAACACCAATCTTTAAATCAGATAATCCTAAATTACCCCAAAACTATAGAGGAATAACAATAAACAATAGCATAGCAAAACTTTTTAATATCATTTTAAATAACAGGCTTAATACATATTTAATAGAACATAAAATAATACATGAAACTCAAATAGGTTTCTCAAAGGAATCCAGAACATCAGACCACTTATTCGTAGTAAAATGTCTAATTGACAAATATATCAACACTGGCAATAAAAGGCTATATGCTTGTTTTGTAGATTTTCGCAAAGCTTTCGACACAGTTATTCATGAAGGCATAAAATTAAAACTATTACAATTAAATATAAACGGGCTGTTTTTTAACATTTTGTGCAACATGTACAGACATAGCCATAATCATATAAAAATAGGTAACAAATTAACTCCCCCATATAGACCAGAAATAGGAGTTCGACAGGGAGACGTATTAAGCCCAAATATTTTTAAAATATTTCTCAATGATTTTTCCAAATTACTTGATGAAGAAAATACTGGACATGTTTCTCTTTCTGGAAAGAAAATTTCCTCACTCTTATATGCTGATGATCTTGTTTTATTATCGGATAGCCAAAAAGGACTGCAAAACAAATTAGACCTACTTTACAAATACTGTACAGACTGGTGCTTAGAAATTAATACAAGTAAAACCAAAGTAGTGATCTTTAATAAAAGTGGTCATTTTATTAATGAAAAGTTCACACTTGAAAATTCCCTTATTGAATGTGTAAACAAATATAAATACTTAGGTATTATTTTAACCTCATGTGGATCCTTCAAAGAAGCAAGATCTCATCTATATTATAAAGCGCTTAAAGCTTCTTTCAAATTATACAAAGACCTAAAAGCTGTTCATCCTCCCATCAAAACACTCCTACATCTTTTTGATCACATGATAAAGCCTGTTGCATTATATGGCTGTGAAATTTGGGGAACCCTTACAGCACGCATACAAGATAAAAACAAACATTTATACGATATTTTTAAAGAGTGGGAGGCAGAAAGCTTAAATATCAAATTTTGTAAATATCTATTGGAAGCTGGGAAGAAAAGTACTAATATTGCAATAATTTCTGAACTGGGAAGATACCCTATGTATTTTTCAATTATTCAAAACATCTTATTATACTGGCATAGGTTGCAATCAAGTCCAGAATCTTCCCTGTTACATAAAGCATATACAGAAAATATTAACCTTAGTCAAGGCAATATTAACTGCTGGTACAAAAATGTAATTTATTATAGTAAGAAAATTAATCTCTCATTACCAGAATGTAAAACATACAAAAACACATTTTTAAAAAAACAAGTTAAGAAACATTTGAAAAAACACTTCCTACAATATTGGAAAATGAAACGTGAAGAGGGACTGGAATCTGGAAAACTTACTACTTATTTTATGTTTAAAGAAAATTTTATAATGGAAAAATATATGTACATTAAATCTCATGAAATAAGAAAATCCATTTGCAGATTTAGAATAAGTGCTCATGACCTAAGAATTGAAAAAGGCAGATATGAATCTGTAAAAAATAATGCTGGTCAAAGAATCCCCTTAGATAGAAACAAAAGAATATGTTTAATGTGTAACCAAAACAATATAGAAGATGAATATCATTTTCTTACTGAATGCCCATTATATACTGAGGAGAGAGATAAATTTTTTCGTGATATCTCATTACTAAACAAAAATTTCATATTATTATCAAAAGGAGACAAATTTCTCTGGTTAATGTCTAATGAAGATAATCTAATTATTACAAAGCTAAGTGAATATCTTGTCAAAGCCTTCAAAATAAGGCATAATGCCATGAGTTTTCATAAATAATGTTATAGACACATATTTATTTGTAAACTGGTATATATGTATATTGATAATATTGATTTTGATTGCATGTTAATTAACAATTTGATAACCCCAACTGCTGCATCTACATGTCCAGTTACTTGTAATATTATATCAGATATATACATGTGTGTGTATGTGTGTTTATGTTTGTATATGTTTACTATAACCTTTCTTTTAGAACTTTCTATCTTGTCATTGTAAGAAACCTTTATGCCTTCTGGGCCCAAAATTGGAAATAAAATTATCTTATCTTATCTTATCTTTACGTCACTAAGTTATCGTGTCTAGAAAATATTCTCAGAAGGAGAGGGGGGGGGGGGGGGGCAAATGCCACTCGACAAATGCCTGTGATTTTAAACACTACAGATTTTCATACACAAGTTAAACACTAATTACACAAGTTCATGAAATATTAAGAATAGATTTGGTAGATGGGCTATCTTATGCTCAAAAATTTTTCTGAAATTCATTTTAAAACAGAGATAAAATTATTTTTGAAATATTTATTCTTATTTTTAAACACAGTGCCTAACATCTTTTCTCCTAAATTATGAGTTGGTGGCTAGATATAGTAAATCCGATCTATATTTTTCTGGTAACTAGCCATATCAGTATTTTCTATTTTGAAAAATACAGAACAACAAATGAATAAATTATTTGTCAAAATTTGAACTAATTCTTTACCCAAATAATATAATCTCTTAAATATTCCACAACTTCATCTGTCTATCATATTTTTCCGTGTGTCCGTGTCGTTACCGCTATTTAGTGCGACCCTTTCTGTTATGGGTTGCCATGTGACGTTTTCCCGCTGAAGTACAGAGCTGAGGATGTAGAAGTGAAAATTTCGGGATTTTTCCAACTGTTTAGGATAGAAAACTAATCATGGCCGAGAAAAAATTCAACGGGGCTCCATTTGGAACGCAGACGGCAAGGTGATATGTTTTATCAATAGTTCAAATTGTTAAACCAACATAAACAACATTATGACGGTGTACATGCACTTTTGACCTAGATCAGGCCCTAACGGCTTAAGTTTTTAATTAATTCAACGTCATATCTTCATAATTCTGCATGATTGCATATTGATAAAGTCTGATAGAAGCATTATTATTATTACAGGGTATATTCATTTGGCCCTTAACAGCTTAATGTGAAAGAATTTCTCTTGATTTATTAATTTGATATGGATACTAATTAAGCTATATGCATACCAACATATTAATTAGGGAATAACTATCGTCTAATTCGGTATTTCCGTTAATGCTGATTTAATGGTCGCAAACTGAGTTTTACCGGCGACACGTAAGTGGAGCCGGTAAAACAGATGTTTGCGACCATTAAATCAGCATTAACGGTTGCAAATACCAATTTAGAAGATTAGTTATTCCCATTCTAATGCAATCCATGCATTTTGTTTGTTCTTTACGTCTTAGTTTGATGAATTTTTTTACTTGAAATACGTCACAGAGCATTGTGTTTTTGCGTCGCTCTATTATGACGTCACAATGAACAAGCTTTCACGCTCATTCATGCTCGTTTTACTGCTTCAAACATCAGTGCATTAGCCAATCAAAATGTGTTTTACAAAATAATTGCATTAGAATGAATAATTTACCATACATTGTATATTCAACATTGAATATATTTTGAACTGTATCCTTGTAACAGGTTTGACGTGTCAGGTGTTCATCCAAAAAGTAAATATCCTGGAACCTTTACAGAGATTCCATACGATAAAAAATCCATAGATGAATTGGTGAGTATTTTAGATATGATTATCCACCTTATAATGCAGCAAAAGAAATTAATCATGAACAGTAAAGAAAATAACAACATCAGATTCTTTTTTATCAGTGCACTTTATGTCAGGATTAATCTATAATGTTCTTTATACAGTTTTTATGCAATCATCTCATACTTTTCGGAAATAGTCCAGTGCAGCTTGTAGGATATTATACATTTATTGCATGATAGTGAGGGAAATATGAAGACTAATATTCAGTCAAGAAAATCATATTCCCCGAGGGCTTTGCCCGAGGGGAATATGATATTTCTTGGCTGAATAAGTCTTCCTGTTTCCCGAACATTCATGCAATGAATTGTTTATTACACCGAAACAAACAAAAATGTTGAAATAAAAATAAACTTTCATATTCGGCACCGCTCTCAAATTCACTTTCATTTTTAACATCAAAGTTCCTGAAACCTTTTGACACATTCTAATCAGCATTTTTGTGAGGTAAACCAGTCTATTGTGACGTTGACTATTCTCGGGAGTTTTCTTTGAACGAACGATAATCATATTGCGGGAAAATACACTAGGTATCCGAAGAGGTGGAATATGATGAAAAGCATGCCGACGACGGGAAATATGAAGTTTTATGGCCCGATCACGTGATAATCTAGAACCAATCAGATAACGCGTTGTGTAGAATAATTATAATGAGGTATAATAATAAGCCTTCATTACTTTCAACAACTTAATGTGTGTTTTGATAACTGACATATTAAACACAATGTCAGAACAATAATCTTTGTATTGAATGTATTCATATATAAACTTAAACTTTGATTAAGTTTTCAAAGAACAAAGATATTATTTTGTTCTTCATGAAATGTGGTTGGAGGCTTGTGAAAGAATAGAATTGTTTTATGTAGATTTATTCAGCTTGCCTATGACTTTTTTAACAGAATCGTCGACTAGCCCCGGGCACATATAAAGTAGATGTAGGAGGGTTTAACAAGAAGTCGGTGGACGAGCGGGCCGCTGGGCCAGGCTGGGCGCGGGCGTATGAAGTGGAGAGAATGGCGGCCCTCCCCCATCTCCTGCACAAAGACCAGTGGGAGCTAAAGAAACTACTGGTATAGGGTTTATATCTGACCTGTGTTCAATAAGAATGTTTATCATAGCCAGCTCTACAGATAATAGAGAAATAATAGATACCCTGGTATAGAGTAATGGAAAACAGACAGATCATAATTGATGAGAAAGTCTTAATTGAATTAATTCAAGAATCATGCACCAGTAATTTAAAAATAATAAGTGAAGTAATATTGTGGTGAATGTATATTGAAAACAATTGTTTTATTTAAATTTCATGTAAACAGCAAAGGAAATTAGCTCCTGGTTCATATGACATCAAAGATTTTCTCCAAGTGTCAGATGAAAAACCAAGAAGTATTCGTGGAATTTGTCAAACCAGAGATCAGCGCTTCAAGGAAAATGTAGCTGCAGTAAGTCCAAGATATATTAGGAAAGCCTAACTGAGAATTTTAGTCAAATAAGGGTAACATGATATATGACTACCCATTATCTAAATTGCTTCTAGAAGAAAATTGAAGCACCATTTTTTTATGTCAAATTTGATATACATTTTTGTTTTTAACTCAGACATACTGTAAATGTATTATATTTAGCATGTACGATATTTAGTGGAAAATTATTTTAAAACAAGTTGGCGTAGATTTGATTTTGCGTATTTCTTGATGTTCTTATTCATGTATCAATGTTCAAAACATTTAGCGGAAGTATCTTTCCGCCGCCAAAAGCGCTAAAAAGAATACACTGCCAAATGTAATACATTTACAATATACACCCGAGGCCCTGGGTTTAGGTCTCCATTAAAAGCTGTTTACTTGTAATGTAAAAAATGCAACAATCTGTCTTACTACATAGTATTCCATGAGGATATGCTTTAGATTAGTTAAGGCTTTCATTATCTCAGTTTGCTAAAAACACTGAAAAACATGCCAGCTGGCCTTTATACAAATCCAAGTGTAGACTTGTTTAAGACCATCTTTAACTACAGTTTTATCATGATATCATAAGTTTGGTAGGTTTATAAGCAACTTTTGTTTGGTTGGATCATTGAAAACAATAAGAATCATATCAGTACTAATCGAGTAGCGGCTGATGCTCACTTTAGATATATTAATCCTTTCCTGTAGAATGAGACCCCTGGCCCTGGGACGTATGGAAAAGGAGGCGTCCCTCAGGCAGCAGTGGAGGAGAAAGCCAAGAAATCCACCAGCACTGTCGGGATGTTAGACGCGGGGTCCTCCACACCCAGGAACCTACCTACAGTGGTCAGTATACACAATGATTATCTCAGGGAAATATAATTAAAACAGACCTTAATGTTTCTGAAACCTGGAGTTTTTAGCTTCAGTCTTAGGTTCATTAAAAGACCATAAAAGTAGATACACTTCAACTTCTAAAGAAAAACTGCATATTTTTCCTAATAAAAAATAAATGGTTGGAATAAACCAATCTCTGACGGCTACCTGGCCGCTCCAGAAAACATTTTACAGTGTGAAGATATACTTGTTATTGTGTAGAGAGATTAATGTGGATTACACTTGTGTGAAAATAAGGGTATCCGAATTTTGAAATCATGAAAGTTTGAACATCATGTCAATTTTTTCCTAACATATTCTGATTTATAATTGTTTACCAGCATTTTTTAAATTTCAGGGCTCTGAGCTATTTTTGGAAATGACAAAGAAATTCCAGCCAGATTCATTCCTTTAACAAAATGTTAATTTCAGAAATTAGCTGATCTTGGTCCGGGCCAGTATGAGCTGAAGTCTTTTGTGGACGACTGGGGACCGAAATAAACCAATCTCTGATGGCTACCTGGCCGCTCCAGTAAGTCTACTTTTGTCAGCAGTGTCCTAAAGAAGAGGTTAGTGGTGTACTTCTGTTAGCAAATATAGTACAAAGAAATTCTGTAAATGGCTGGTTCTGCAGTGTGAACAGTCATATTGGTCTACACCACACTGTATTCTGGATGCCATTTTGTGATAATTTCAATTTTTGAACAATTTAAGTCAAAGCTCTTTTCTTTTGTTTGACCATATTCTGAGTCGTAAATGTTTATCAAATGTAGATGACATTTATTTGTTCAATCAGTAATATGTATGGGAAATGACAAAGAAATTCAATCCATTCATTCCTCTAACAAAATGTTAATTTCACAGAGGTTCTTCACAAGGAACTTTGTAGGTTGTTTTATAAATCCCTGTGTATTGCTGTATAGGTATTTATAATACATACAGAATTAAATGTGAGTAAACTTGCATGTGATAAGCATCAAAATCTCTCGGAAGTCCTGTTATTTGCTTTTTTTTATGTAATGTTAATGAAAGTTTGCTGGTCGCTATGATGTTCAGTGGAACAGTACCCCAGGATAAGGAACGGATGGCAGTGTGTTCCAATGCTCCTTAATGCTACAGCAGTGTCCTAAAGAAGAGGTTAGTGTGTACTTTTGTTAGCAAATATTGTTACAAAGAAAAATTTTTGAACAAATTGAACAAGTCATAAAATGGCACACTTTAAACAACCATATATGTTCACAGTCCTTGTCATAACCACACTGTAATACCAGAGATATACTTCATTGCAATTTTTTATTTAAGCTCCATCTGTCTAATACTACAAACTCTTGGTACCAGTTTCAATGAATTATAATACCTTTTTCACTTAGATTTCATCTCTTTGGTTAAACTTATGAACCCAATTTGACAGCTGTCCAAACATGGCAATAAATATAATCTCATTTTACCTGAAATAGTGTGAATAATATTTATCATTAAACAAATCTTCACATTAATGGAACTTTGTAGGTCACTTTTTAAATAAATCTGTGTATTGCTGTATAGGTATTTATATCACATGTAGGTTGCTTTATAAATCTGTATGTACTGCTGTATAACAGTTTATAAAATATACGGAATCAAATGTGAGTAAACTTGCATGTGATAAGCATCAAAATCTCTTGGCAAGCTCCCGTTATTTGCTTTTTTTATGTAATGTTAATGATGGATGCTTACAGAACCCCGTTGGTGCTGGTCGCTATGATGTTCAGAAGTGGGAGGAGTCTCAGCATAAGAACGGGCACGGCAGTGTGTTTCAGTCTAAGACTGGCAAACTTAACGCCGTCATGGAGAAATTCCTCAAGTAAGCCACCTTTTTTTTTATTTTTGCAGTCACAGAAAATGTTACCCAAGCTTCAAAAATGAATTTTAACAAATTGAACAAGCATAAAATGGCACACTTTAAACAAGCCAATAGAATATATTCACAGAACCTTGTCATAAGGCACATAATTTATTTAAGCTTATCTGCTTTCATGTTGTGTATAATTATTGTCGTGTTTAACCAAGTTCAATTTTACCATTAATTTAGTTCTTCATTTTACTTTGAAGAAAATCTAAATGTTTCATTTTTTACCTAAAAATACTGGACTGTTTTACAGGGAGAGAGTTCGTGCTAAGGATGTGAAGTTAGAGGATCGTGTCTTCTTAGTGACACCTGAGCCCCCAGAAGTCTACGTCGGTCGCAGTAAGGCTCAGATGGAGTTTGCCGCCAGACGGGCCTTTACTGTGGTATAATACCTCTCCTCTTTCCCAGTGTTGCACGGGTGTGGTTGCACTGGATTGTCACCCTTGATCTATGATTTACCTCCCTTTGTTATTATTTCTCCTCACTGTTTTTATGCTGTGGTTTTATCGTGTGCTCTCTCCGCTATGGTTGTACAGTATTTATGTTTGTTCACGCTTTTTCCCCAGAGTTTTTTTTAACGTATATTTTTTATGTTTGTCTGTTAGGTCCTGAGTATTTGTTGAATTGTCATGGCTTTTTCTTAGTTTTTCACTGTGAATTTTAGCCAGTATTATTTAAGTGCATTACCGATATTTTGCGGTATTGCTGCATTTACCACCAAGTTGAAGGACATCTTGAGTGTTTACTGAATAATTCGTATTTAGGATTAGCAGATTTTTTTTTCAAGAATATTACCATTTGTGTGATTATAGATGTAGAATTTCATTGTAGAAAAGTTGCAGCAACTACAAAAATATAATTTGCTATAGTAAAATTTAGGGTTTTTGTTTGTTATTTTGTTTTTATCATCAAGTAATTTTAAATACTTTTTATTATGAATTAGACCTATACTGGTTTTTGGAAGATTGTTATTAATTATATGAGAGTTTTCTGTGATATATGTTTAAGAAATATTGGGATTTGTCCAGTATTTAGTCTACAAACTGAGCTTTAATTGTTTGTGGGATATACATTTTTCTTTAATGTTTACATCATTCCCTTTAATAAACAACACTTAATATTTCATATAAAAGCTGAAAATATTCCATTTGAGAGTTGTAGTAGAAAAAATCTTATTATTTTCCCTACTTCTTAGATAGGATTCATTAATTTCATTCACACTAAGAATTATGTGAGCTTTACATGTGTTTCATGTACACTAGGTTATGAAGCATCTTCCATATAGAAACACAGCCCCCACTTCATTTTCTCATCCTAGTCTCAAACAAATGCTGCCAAATTATATTTTGCTTATCTTTATTGATTGTATGCATCTCTACTTGCATAAAATGCAATATGTTTAATAAATGCTTAGTAAATTTTGGCAGGATAATTAAAAGTATTACACATAGTAAAAATGGTTTGAACCTTTGAAATCAGTATTATAGTTTGATAATTAAGTATTATTCACATACTTTGTATAAAGATTTTAAGTATTTTCAATAATATTTATTAAAGATGTTTATCTCACCAGATTTATATTTTATGCTTTTTGAGAAATATTTATTTTTTGCCAGTTTATATATACTTTTGTTCATTTTCATTGACAAATAAATTAATTTTAAACCTTTAATTTAACCAAGTCTGTTTTGCACAGAATGTTTACTTTGTTGCTCTTTCAGTGCTATGATTTTGTTGTACTATACAAAATACTGCACGGTACTTCAGATTAACAATGCTACACAATTACAATCAACTCTCACTTTCCACATTAAAAATTACACATATCCTGGGCTTCACAGGGAGTGTGTGTGTGTGTGTGTGTGCACATATGTAAAAATCTCATATTACCTTTCTTATGTGTATAAGCATCATCTGCCTTTGTATATCAACCTGGCACAAGTCTATTATAATACCATAAAGTGAAGATAATACAAGAGACCCAAGGGCCTTGAATCGCTCTTCAGATAAACTGTACAATCTATTACTTCTATTTGAAGCCTCCAATTATCCCTGTACTAGTAATGTATTGATACAGCCTTGAAATTCCAAAGGTAGATCATCATGACCTACAGTTTAGATGAAACACTTTGAAAATCCAAGATGATTCTAAGCCAATTAGTGCCTAAGAGTAGGCCATGGTAACCTATTTATCACTTGCCTTTCTCTGAGGACTCAAGATGCATCAACTAAGCCAATAAATACCTAAAATCTTTTTAAAATCATAATCATAAAATTTGAAAAGTAGGTCACAGTGACCTACTTTGCATATGACATACTCTGCTGACCAAAAATGCATCAAATGACAAAGTTTGATGATTCTAAGCCAATTAAGTACCTGGTATATTAAAGCTATAAAATTTCAAAAATAGGTCACAGTGACCTACTTTTCAGTAGAGATACTTGGAGGACTTAAGATGCATCAACTGACAAAGTTTGATGATTCTTAGCTAATTAGTCCCCAAAATTACCTGATAAATATCTAATCGAAGACAACAAAATTTCAAAAGTAGGTCACAGTAACCTACATTTCAGTCATCTTACTCCAAAGACCCAATATGCATCAACTGACAAAGTTTGAGGATTTTAAGCAAATCAGTATATGAAAAAATTAATTATAGTCAATAAATTGAAAAGGTCTCAGTGACATACCTTTTAATAAACCTACTCCAAAGACCCAATATGCATCAACTGACAAAGTTTGAGGATTTTAAGCAAATTAGTATATGAAAAAATTAATTATAGTCAATAAATTGAAAAGGTCTCAGTGACATACCTTTTAATAAACCTACTCCAAAGACCAAAAATACGTCAACTGACAAATTTTGATAATTCTAACCCAAATAGTACCCTTAATATTTAAATATAGACATATAATTTCAAAAATAGGTCACAATGACCCAAGTTTTAAGTTGATGTTGGAGGCCCAAGATGAATCAACTTAACAGTTTTATTATAATAGGCCTTAAAATGTCCAAATTATGTGTCTAAAACGCTTTGATGTTCAATGCTTGCAAAGTTCAAAAAGTATGACGCTATGACCTACTTTTTAAAAAATATGTTTTATGGCTCCAAGATGCATCATCTTACTAGATTAAATGATTCTAAATCTCTCAGTATTCGAATTAAAGACCTAATTGTTTTGAAAAAGATAAGCCATAAAATTCAAAAAGTAGGTCAAGATGACCTTCTTTCTAGTTGTTGTACTCCGAGAACCCAAAATACATCAACTGACAAAGTTTGATGATGATAGGCCTTAAATTTTCAAAATATGCCTTTATATCATGTTGAAAAAGAATGGCTGCAAAATTTAATTAGTGGGTCACCATGACCTACTTTTGAGTCAACACTGATACGTGGTCTTTAGATGCATCAACTGACAAGATTTGATGACCATAGTCTTTATAGTGTGCAAAATGCTACGCCCTTTGCCCCAGGATGATTCCCTTTAATCTACAACATATCCTTATTGATAACTGGCGTCTTAATGTGCAATGGTAAAGTGATGATACAGAATCTTATTTTTTGATACTCTTGCCAAAAGAATCCATGTTTTTCTCTCTTTGGAGTAGACTGAGATTTTCAACAATTTATTACACTATGTTGGTAATCAACTTTTGTCATTTTTCAGACTGGAAAATAATTCACAATTCAGTATTGGACTGGGACAGTATTAAACCAAAAGAAAGTCTGTAATTATGTTCTTCAACACTGCTTGTTCAGTATTATTAAAATTATTCGAATAAATGAATATAAGTTGCATTTTCGTATATTTTTTCTGTGTACTTATATTATAAAGCCTATGTCAAAATACCCCTGCCATTCATCATCAGTTTTCTCCTAGTACATAATTACAAATATTTACATTTCCAATGTCTTGTCCGAGATAAAATTTCAAAGTGTAACTTATTTCCCCATTAATGTATTGGCGCGGTTCCAAAAAAAAAAAACACGTGCAGGGCGGAACAAACAGCTAGACAGAAGCAGGGCTTGAAGCACGTGGATTGGCGGAATCAAAGCATGTAAATATAAGGAATAACTGTCAGATTTTTCAATTTCATGACGATGATTAATCGATTGGCTTGCGTGATAATTTTATGCATAAGTGCCTTCGGCGTTTCTGCAAATTAACATGAAACCCAATAGATTAATCACATCATGAAATCGAAAAACAAGAGGCCCAGGGGCCACAGCGCTCACCTGAGCACATCAGCTAGAAATATCGCCGTAAAATATGCTAATTTGTTGTTTTTAGTCAACCAATCAGAAAGTTGGAACTCTTCAATTTTGAAAAATATACTTATTACTTTGCCACTTCTGGAAAATATTTTGACACTCGTTAAAACGTGCGAAGTTTGATTTAAAACAATGAAAGTCAATTCATACAGGTCACTGACATTAATATCCATCAGATATTATAAAGGATTACCTCTTTCTATGCACCAGTGAATGGATTTATTAGCTGTGTTAACTACAGAATGAGTTTTTTATGTTTTTGGCAAAGCCAAACATGCATACGTAACGTGAAGTGTTATTCGTTGTTTCGCATCGCGACTCTGTGAAGAGGCCAATCAAATGACCCATGCATATTTAATTACATACGACGATTTTTCGGCGAGTTTGCCCACAGGGTGATAAGTAAAGACGAGATCTCCCGTGGGATTCTTACGATGCACTAATCATGGCTTTGAAGTACTTGAAAAGAAGATTTTAAAAGGTATCCCTATACATGTATATCCCTAAGAAAAAACTTGGGTTGGTCATTTTGGCCCCACCCTAGCCCCAGGGTCATGATTTGAACAAACTTGAATCTACACTACCTGAGGATAATTCCACATGAGTGTCATCTTTCCTGGTCCAGTGGTTCTTGAGAAGAAGATTTTTAAAGATTTTTCCTTTATATATTCCTATGTAAACTTGGGTTGGCCATTTTGGCACTACCTGAGGATGATTCCACATGAGTTTCATCTTTCCTGGTCCAGTGGTTCTTGAGAAGAAGATTTTTTAAGATTTTTCCTATATATTCCTATGTAAAACTTGGGTTGGCCATTTTGGCCCCACCCTAGCCCCGGGGATCATGATTTGAACAAACTAGAATCTACACTATCTGAGGATGATTTCACATGAGTTTCATCTTTCCTGGTTCAGTGGTTCTTGAGAAGAAGATTTTTAAAGATTTTTCCTATATATTCCTATGTAAAACTTGGGTCGGTCATTTTGGCCCCACCCTAGCCCGGGGGTCATGATTTGAACAAACTTGAATCTACACTACCTGAGGATGATTCCACATGAGTTTCATCTTTCCTGGTCCAGTGGTTCTTGAGAAGAAGATTTTTGAAAAATGCCATTACTCACTCACTCACTCAGTCGTCCTTAGACGACCAACGACTTGACCACTCCAGTTCTTCCTATCAGCCATTAGGGAAGCTAGCTCTTTTGTATCCCTTGTCTTTGTGTCACGCTTTAGTGTGTCTAAAAACGTGGCCTTGGGTCTACCTCTCCTACGGCGTCCGTGATTTGGCTCCCACAGTACCAAAGATTGAGCGCTGAGCTCTGGATGTCGGAAGCAATGCCCAGCTAGCTGCAATCTCCTGGAGGCTATCTTATCACTGACCTTTGGGAGGTTACCATATAGGAACTCGTTGGGAATCTGGCTTGACCAGTGAATGTCTAGAACCTTACGGAGCATGCGTGTGTAGGTTCTGTCTAGCGACTTCTCCTGGGCTACTGTCAGGGTCCAGCTCTCACAGCCATACAGTAGAATTGACTCGATTGTGGCTATGAAGAAACGCATCTTGAGATCACTTCGCATTGTTGAGCGCCATATTCTGGACATCTTGTTCAGAGCCTGCCAGGCTAGTGCTTTCCGGACAGCTATGTCCTTTTCTGAACTTTCGACCCAGGAACCAAGATATTTAAAATCTTCTACCCAATCGATTTCAGTGCCATCTAAGGTTTTGAGTGGAGTAGGGTTGTCAGTATTGAAGGGGAGGACTTTAATTGATACATAGCCCAACTTTCTTACACTCCCTCTCTACTCTAGATAACAGTTCCTGTGCTTGGACAATTTCATCTGATAGTAAGGAAATGTCGTCAGCAAAATCAAGATCAGTAAGAACTTGTTTTGGGTGTCTTCTGGATTTTCTAGGCAGTATGGTGAAACACAATTCCTCTTCATTTCCAGAGATGGCTTTTCTCAGGGCATAGTCCAGTACTATAATAAAAAAGAATGGTGCTAAGGTATCTCCCTGCAAAACTCCAGCAGTTATTTCAAACATACCAGTTTCTCCATCAGGTGTTACGATCTTGGCCATGGTATTAGTGTACATCTTTTCGATTGCTCGAAGAAGATTAGGTGGAATTCCATAGGCCTTAAGTATGCGAATCATCTTACCTCTGTGTATGGAGTCAAATGCTTTCCTAAAGTCTATAAAAGTAAAGATTGCTTTCAAGTTGTTGGCTTTGACACCTTCGATTATTCGACGGAGGGCAAGAATCTGTGCAACTGTTGTTCTTCCAGGGCGAAAACCATTCTGATTTATTCTGAGACGTAGATCGATGACACTCCTGATACGATTTAGTATGAGCCGATTGTAAATCTTGGCTATGATGCATATCAAGCTGATGCCTCTGTAGTTATCAGTCTTCGATAGGTCGCCAGACTTGGGCACAGTTACAATGCTCATGAATGACCATGTATCTGGTTTGTTATTGTTGGCGAGTGCATCATTACAGAAACCTAAACAAACACTATCATTAGTGCCATTAATTTTTCTCTAATTCTCTAATTCATAATTATCTCCCCTTGGAAAAGGGCGTGGCCCTTCATTTGAACAAACTTGAATCCCCTTTACCCAAGGATACTTTGTAGCAAGTTTGGTTGAAATTGGCCCAGTGGTTCTTGAGAAGAAGATGAAAATGTGAAAAGTTTACGACAACGACGACAACGACTACGACAACGACAGACAACGGACAAATTTTGATCAGAAAAGCTCACTTGAGCCTTCGGCTCAGGTGAGCTAATAAGGCAGTTATTCCTTAAATACATGTTTTTCCATTTCCATTTTATTTCTATGTGATAACTCTTTTGAAGTTAGTCGACTTGACTTATCATTCTACCTGAATGTAAATTTCACCAAGCAATAGGTTAGGAACTAAAGAGGCCTAATATGCATGTAATTCTCGTGCATCTGACTACCGATATTGAAATGGGAGGCCATTAAACCTATTCGTCTTTTTTTCCAAAATCTTTACAATTTATTTCGCAATGAAATGGAAATTAACAAGGAATCACTGCCTAGTTAGTCGAGCGTACCAGGGGCATCAAGGATACTGTATATTCCTAATTATATGTGAGGAATTAATTATCACATATTTCAGCGAGAAGCGCCACTCGTGAAATAAAGTTACTTGCTTTTAATGTTATGGTGCTAAAATACATGTAAAATTTCCTGTAAAACCTCCCACTCGCGAATAATTTTTCACACAGCCACTTTGTTTTCACGTAAAGTAAGGAATTTACAGTAATTGGAAACGTATGATGTTATGCATAAAGGGATTTGCCGGTTATGTAAATTATCTCACAATTCAAACTATTGATGATGCCCTGGCATACTCTACTTAGGATTCCTTATACAAGTACTAGTAAATCTTTATGCCCTGTTGTGGCCATTAAACTTGAATTTAACATATCTGAGGATGCTTCCATACGCATCTATGGCTTTGCCATTCTTTCGATTTTTTCCCATAAGGATACATTCCCATGTTCAACTTTTATCCCAATTGTGGCCTCATCTACGCTACCTGTACATGTAGATGCTTTCACTTCAATTTGACTAATCATGCCAATGGTTTTGTTCTCAAGATTTTTTATCAATCTTTGCATGTAGGAAAACCTTCGTTTCCGCAATGAGGCCCCAACCTCCCCTTGGGGTCATGAAATAAAAGCTTTTTATTACATTTTTGCCCATGAAATAGTTATTTATTCATTGAATAAAAATGATATTCTGTCAGTGTGAAAGGATATCAAAATGATATCCTGTCACAGTGTGACGAATATCAGAAGTGCGGGAAAACTCTCGATTTCCCTTCCCATAACGAAGATTGTTGTAAAAAAAATCTTCCTTGACCTAATATAAGATAGATGGAAATAAATAAACCATTCTGACAGCGAATAAAACTGTCAGAATTACCAAAAATACGTTGCCAAATCCATGTTTACAGTGTTTTCACCTCACTTAGCTATGACGTCTCAACCGCTCAACTATTACGTCATGAGCCTATGACTGTATTACAAAAAGACAGAGGCAAAGGAAAAACAAAGATTTTTTTTTTTAAATGTAATAAACAGAAAATTCAATGTTTTGTAGTTGAATATGGAATTTATTTCACTCGTGAGACAGGATTTTATGATATTTTCACCCGTGCTTCGCACTCGTGAAAATATCAAAAATCCTGTCCCACTTGTGAAATAAATTTCATATTCAACTACAAAACATTGAATATCCTCTATATATTTTTCTTGCTACAAGGTTCTCAAGATTTTCAATAAATTACACTAACTTTTGCAAATTCTTCACATCTCCCCTTGAAAGATTGTGTTGTCCTTTGTTTGAGCAAACTTAAATCCTCTGGTAATTCTTAAGCTGCCACACGTTTGCAAAGAAAGCACAAAAGTTTTTTTTTTCATTTTTTTTAATTAAAAAAATAATATAACAGAAAACTAATAAAAAAAAAAAAATGAGAAACAAAACAGATGGAATATCACAGCGGCAGTGGACTAGAGCAATGGTGTGATGTTTGGCAATGACGATACCCTGAGGATACCCTGGAAATGCGGTGATCCATGAGATGAGATTCACAACAATAATAAAATGTTCCCTGAAAGACATGGGTATTTATTGCACAAGGTCTGACTTGAGACTAGAATTCACGTCCGTACCTTCCATTCATTGCGCTCAGCGACAGACCGTGCTGCCAATAACTGTTCCACACCGAGCCCGACCACAGTGACCCGAATTAGTCATTTTGGGTTTAACTCGACAACCGCGATACTGGGTCAAACCGCCACGTATCATTTCTCCTTTGTTTCTCACAACACACTGTTCGCATCACAATCATCTTGGTTCCATCTCTCCTTGAACAAATCTTAGGAAAATGTATTTCTGATGGATCCATCTAACTTTTCAATCCATCAATATTATTTTAATCAACATGATCTTTTGGTTCTGTTAAAAAAATTTCATTTGGATTGGTCAAAATCTTCGGAACAAATCCGTTCCAGGACAGGATTTCCATTAGTGTCCTATTTTTTATAGGTTACTTCTTGAATTTGTGCCCCGTCATTTTCTTGGGACTTTAAATATAAAAAAGAATTTCTTTCTAAGGATGAGATGGCTGTAATGCCCAATCAATAAGACATATCAACATATTTACAAGATAAAAACGAGTAAAGAGCACTACTTCTGTCCCTTGTAGCACCTATTGTTCACAGCCTTCCTGGCTTCAAACAAAAAACAATCCATAGTTCACAGGGTGGCATTCCTTCTATCTACAGCGAGGAGAAACATCCTAATCCCAGTTTTCTTCGTCCTCTTCCTGGGCACCACCTGCTCCCACCGATACGGAGCCACCAGCCCCCAGTGGGTAGCCACCCTCCCCCTTGTGGGTCTCTCTGGTCTGAAAACAAGATTACATCAATTAAGAACTTCCCAAGAGCATGGGAAAGCAATTAATACATGTACGACAATTTTTTTCCCCCTTATTACATCAATTAAGAACTTTCCAAGAGCATGGGAAAGAATTAATACATGTACGACAATTTTTTTCCCCCCTTAAACATTTCTCTTTTTTTTTTCAAGAACACCTGTCAGATATCACATTATATTTAGTATCAATTCGTTTCCTTGAATAGCATAGCTAAATTACTAGGAAGTCCTAATCTTTTTTTCTTCAAGTATTTGAAATAAATTTCCCCTACCCTAAACATCCAAGTTTGAGGATTTTACTATGTATACACTAATAATATCTATTGCACAGCTTCAAGAATTCAAAGCTGTTTTTTGCAGCTGGTCATATATACAATATAATTTGATGTTCTATATGACATACCCTTGGTTGATTTTTCCTAATGTCACGGCCTCCAAATTTGGCGCCCACATCAGCATAACCAGCACCAGGCATGCTGGTCTTGGAGTACTCCTCTAACCAGTCTGGGACTTCCTGCATTGCCTACAAAACACCCAAAATAAATATACACCACAACCAGCATTCCCGAGTCGCAATAGCTTTATACATGTTGGATAAGCCTGCAGCTATTGTCCAGTACAAAACACAATATGAAACAATTTAAATATATACATGTACATGTAATTTTCCAATAACAAATTCTGATTAAGCCCATTTCCATCCTTACTTAACAAATGCAATTCAGATTAGAAATTGTTCCAATTCTATATCCGGATTTAGATTAATGCAATTCAGATTAGAAATTGTTCCAATTCTATATCTGGTCTACTTACATCTGACAAAATTCTGACCAATGGTTTGGCCAGAGCGCCGTCCGTGTCATTAGAATAGAAACTCATGGCCTTTCCCAGGTTTCCACAGCGACCTGTTCTACCAATCCTGTGGACATACTCGTCAATGGATGAGGGGAGATCGTAATTAATGACGTGTTTGACGAGGGGAATATCCAGACCACGAGCCGCCACCGAGGTAGCGATCAGAACTGGAGCTTTACCCGTTTTAAAGTCACGAAGAGCCTCCTCTCTCTCTGCTTGAAGACGGTCTCTGTAAAATTCAGCAACAGGAAATACAGACACCAAACAGAATCTTGTGTCTTCAACAGTGAGATGAATAACTTGTTTAATTTTCTGTTTAAAGATTGTGAAACATACCCATGAATACTGGTGGTAGGGAATCCATTTTGAGATAAATAGGAAGCCAAGAAATCAGCATTACGCTTCTGTTCCACAAAAACCAAGGTTTTCTCTGTGCCTGGAAAAAAGTGAACAAGAAAATGTGTTATAAATAACTGTAAATGTGATGTCATGAACCCTGCCACTAAAAGCATACATTCACCGTTCATCCTTTGATGAATTACACCTACCTGTTTCTGTGAGGATGTCACACAGTCTTGACCTCTTCTCCTGCCTGTCAACTTCAAAAACTGTCTGTGTTACATCGGTACAGGCCCCTCCCACTCTGCCGACCGTCAGGAAAAGATAATCATTAAGGAAGTCTCCGGCCATCTCCTGGATTTCTTTAGGGAATGTGGCAGAGAACATGAGGGTCTGTCTCTCTGTTTTAGGGGGAGTACCCAACTCCTCCACGATCTTACGAATGTCGGGGCCGAAACCCATGTCCAGCATCCTGTCAGCTTCATCCAAAATCAAATACTTCAACTTGGCAAGACTTATCTGTTCCAAAATAAAAGCAGCATTTTATTTTAAGGCAAATATTCATTCTGTTCAATATTTGGAATAAGAGTTTCAAAAATAACCTAAAAATACAAAATAGCTGCATTGATTAACAACTCTAATATCTGACCAATTATAAAAACCTGTTCATGCTGACATACCTTTCCCTTCCCTATAATGTCGATGAGCCTTCCTGGAGTTCCAACCAGAATGTGTGTCCCCTGCTCCACCTGTCGGAGCTGATACCCCACAGAGGTCCCACCATACAACACCACCGGCCTCAACATGGTGCCATAGGCAAACTTACGAGCATCCATAAAGATCTGGACCGCCAACTCTCTTGTGGGGGCTACCACCAAAGCCTGGGGCTCCTGAACTTCGGAGAAACTGCTTCCCGAGATCCCATTCTTCATCATTCCTGTCAATACAGGCAACAGGAAGGCAGCCTGGAGAAAATTATACATGAACATAAAACTCTATCAATTTTATAAATTTCTTGGTTAATACTTAGAATGATTAATAAAATCAAACCATGCATAACCATTTACAAATTAATCACTTGAATCTGTAAACATTAAGATTTTTAACATTCCTCATACCGTTTTGCCAGATCCTGTCTGAGCACAGGCCATCAGGTCTCTGCCAGCCATGACTATTGGAATAGAATACTTTTGTACTGGGGTTGGTTTCTCATACTGAGCTTTGCGTACATTTTCCAGGAATTTGTCATATAATCCAGCCTCGTCAAAGCCTTTGATGGCTGGTGGGGGATCTCTACCCGTTACTTCCACAGGAATTTTATCATATTTGTTGAAATTGATGCCCTTCTGGATGACTTTGAAGATTTCAGCTTCGTCTTCAGATGGGGCAGGTGGTACATAAGGGGCAGGTCTATCTGGATCTAAATTAGCAACAAAAAAAATTTCAATATTCAAAATACAGTCAAACTTGTTTTAAGAGGCCACCTTTGGGAAGTCCGGAAACTGGCCACTTAAGACAGGTGCCCTCTTATTCCAGTTTGCCCTCGAAAAGGACATTTGGTCAATAAATAAACAACATTAAGCACTACAGTTAAATTAATTAATCATAATTAAACAGTTCAATTTCTTGAAAGCTTTTTATGTGTATATATTATAATTCAAGCTCATTTAAAAAGAATATTAAAGGATTCGAAATGTTTAAGGTTTTGTGCATGTTTCTGTTCCTACATATTAGTTAAACATAACTTGCATTCATAAGTGTGCTTTTGTTACATTGAATTATTAAATAAATTCTTTTTATTTTCATTAGAATAAATACATACAGTGGCTGACTATTATCCTTTTTTATAAAGAAAAAATACACAAAAATACAGTTAAATGGTAAATAAAACAAAGCATAGGAATTTAAGTAAAAATATGTCAATAAAAATTTTACTTACATATATGTTAAAAAGATAGTCAGCAGTGTAACCCCCCCCCCTTCAACTTAATTTATCGGTAATTAACTTACTTGCTGAAGTTTATGAAGTCTGATTAATTTTATTGGTTATAAAGCTGTCAGAATTTCTATTTAACATACACAGACACACAAATAAAATTAACCAGTTGACCAGAGAGATGTATTTACGCAGTTGAAAATCATTCCATAACACAGGTGTCAAATGCAGTAGAGCGTGACTAATCCCTATCGATCCTCTCTGTTGGTGAAATTTACGAGATAATCATGCCATATGAAGCACTTTGTTTTTACAAGAGTAGCAATAAGGGCTTCTACATGGAATCAAAATCTAAAAGGTGTGAATTTCTTTAGCTAGAGAAAAGTATCAATTGTAGTAATTAAATTCTTTTAAATCTTGAAAAATAATTACAAATTGATCTAACAGGACAAATATTTTTTTTCACAAACACAAACAAAGTTCAGCGTATCTAAAAGCAATTTGTTTAATTGCATTAGTAGGTTAAATTGACTATCGAGGATATAATTACCCATGCCAACACGTTTAAAAGATAAGATAGAATCGCAACAAGTGACGAAATGGCCGCCTATTACAGTGTCAATAAGACTGTTGGGGGAGGATTTGAGTGGCCGCTGGCCGCGTTACACAGGTGGCCGTTTATTCCAGTTAAAATATATAGGAAAAATCATCGGGGGGAACTGAAAGTGGCCGCTCACCATGAGTGGCCGTTGATTTCTGGTGGCCGCTAAGACAAGTTTGACTGTGTACCTCAATATACAGATTAGTTCAATTCTCTGTTTATGTGTGAAGACACCACCGAGGTACTAATGAGTGCATAAGTAACACACAGCAATATACAGAGATATGTTCAATTCTATGTTAATGCACAAGCAACGCAATAGAATATACAGATATACATTTGATTCTATGTTAATGTATGAAAACACCACTGACCTAGTGGCGGTGCATTAGGACAGTCTCTGGCCATATGACCTTCCTCCTGGCATTTAAAACACTTCCCTCCTCCACCACCACCACCTACAAATTGTATATCATAGTCCTCAAGCTAAAGCAATCCAAGCAGAATTTAAAAAGCCCCACATTTTCCCAAGCTGTTCTACATCAAACAAATCTTTTTTTCTGGCTTTACCTTCTTTTTTAGGATTTGGACACTCTCTGGCAAAGTGGCCCTCTTCACCACAGTTTCTGCAGCCCTTGTCCCCCCCTCCACCACCACTGCGAGGCTTCGGACATTCCCTCGCAAAATGTCCCTCCTCACCGCAGTTCCGACAACCTTAAATATAAACAGCATACCAATTTTTTATAAACATCAACCTCAATACAACAGTTTTAATGTGGGACAAAACAGGGAATGAAAACTACTCACCAGAGCCACCGCCCCCTCCTCCAAATCCTCCTCCCCTAAAAATTCACACAATAATTCCATTATACATGTAACAAATACAATGCCACATAAAACTGTCTCTATATAAATTTCAATTTTTTAACTTATTCTCGAGATTACATACCTTGGAGGTCTGTCACCACCACCAAAACCTACAAAACATGACATATTTTAAATAATCTTCATTGATTAACAGACTTTACAAGAAAAGTGTCCCTAGTGCATGCAAGTACACATACTGATTTTCATATCAAGATCAGAGTTCACAATGGCCTATACTTTATGCAAATCTTATACATCTTATACCATATTTCATGCAACTTCATATTCTCTTTTTGGAAAGAAAAATGAATTTTGACCTTGTAACCCAAAAGAATCAAAGTTAAGCACTGCATCAGTGCTATGAAGTACCCACAATCCATCTTTGTCAACCTGTCACAGAAAAATATTATCTTAAAAGCATATTGTCTTACCTCCTCCAAAACCAGATGATTCTCCATCAGTTTTGGCCCCGAAGCCTCCACCCCCACCAAATCCACCACCCCCGCCAAATCCACCTTCCTTCTTGGCTCCAAATCCACCTGAAGAGCCTCCTCCGAATCCACCACCTGAGGATCCTCCCCCGAATCCTCCTGAGGATCCGCCCCCAAAGCCTCCACCACTGTTGTTATTGTTGGTGTCTGATTTGTTTCCGAATCCTCCTCCCCCTCCTCCGAACCCGCCGCGAGATCCGAATCCACTCCCACCAGAATTACTGTCGGACTTTCCAAAGCCATTGGACATTCCTCCTCCTGGTCTGCCGACAGACAGACCTGACATATCGTTAGAGAGATCATTGTCGTTTCCATTTACTGTGAAGCCAGCACGCAATACACCTCGTCCAAAACCTTTGCCTGCCCCACCTTCAATGGAAAATATTCCGTCATTGTTAAGTATCCACTTCTAGACAGCATAATCAGTGTCTTAATTAGATTAACAAAATGTAAGCAATTACTTAATTCAATGTCTACTATAACTAACCTGTGCTATCACTAGATGATGAAGTACCTCTCCCAAACCTACAAAAATATCAGAAAATTCACAACTCATGATGAATACACACTTACAATACTACATAAACTTAGAGGAATTATTGTTCAGATAATATGAAAGACTACTTACCCGCCACGACCAAAACCATTCTGGAAAAGAAAGTAAGGAAATATAAAATTAATCAATCTACAGTAGGATACCAAGCAACATTTATTTTCATTCATGCTATGTTAAATTGTATTCAAATAAATCAAGTCAAATAGGAGAATTATGAATGAATTAGGAGGAAAGAGGAAGTACTTTACATGGATATTCTGAACTAATTTCATTAGGGATCAATTTTGAAATATCTGTTTTCTCCATAAAAATGATCCTATTTAATAGTGATTCAGCGATAGTCGCCGACGATCGAAAAATCGTCGTTGGAAGCTTGGCGATGCCGACAATCGATAGCTTAACAGCAAAATCGATTGTCGCTATATATATAGATACTTTAAACATAATGCTAAATCTTCACAATTATTGTATTTTTTCGTGTTTTGCACCTTTTTTCTCTTGTACAAAGATGGTACATTGATTTTTTTTTATGCATCTTCCATGTGCACACAAAGTTCCTGACCGTCGTACTAAACGGTGCTTGTAACCTTTGATAACTGAGTCAGCGAAAAATTCGTAAACATGCTTAGAAAATAATAATTATGGCTAAATCTAAATAATATTCCCTTCCATCATGTAGGCAGCAAAAGAATTGATGACTAAATATAAAAAATCGTCTTTTAACCTGAATTTCCTCTGTTCTCATATGAAACGATATTTTCTACTATCCACTCACATTTTATGTATTATTTTTTATAGTTTAAACATTAAGAGGCCAGTCAGAAGTTAAACACTATGCTACCATTTTTTTTAATCATATATAAGGAATTCAAAAGAAGTAGTGTTATTTTTATTGTGCATACCCATCCAAATGTGAATATTTATGAAGGTAGACAACTTGCTGAACTTTTACTTTAATTTTTTCCTAATATATAGGAATAAAATTTTAATGAAAATTATCATCTTTTAAAAATAAAAACCTTTAATCAAAATTTTCAAAGTGTTAAACTCACTCAGATCAATATAGTTATTATATTATATTATAAATTATAAACATTTTAAATGTTATTAAAAAAAACTAGAAAACTGACCAGTCAGCAAGGGCCCCGCCATGGGGTAGAATTAATAGGGTGCAGCTTACGGAATAATTAAAAAATGTACGAAGAATAAGCAACAGCAACAGCAACTGTATTCTTAAAATTTCAAGATAATTCCTGAATATTCAAAAACCTGAAAATAATATCCTTGTACTTACATTAGGCAGTAAAGAACAACTTCATGTATATTTAAACAATTATGAAGAATTTGTGTTTTATAAAATGCCAGCCTTGTATGAATGCAAATATATATCATGAAGGCTTGACCTTAACTTCAAAACAAACATCAGTTGCAGACAAAGGTTTTCATTAATCTTCAAGTGACAGATAAAGATAAGCCTACTAAATTTTCTGCAGCTGGCTATGAATGAATTAATCCCAAGGGATTAATTGTACTCTTAATCATTTTCTTCTAAAGTACAATAAGAACTTTTTCAGTATTAATGATAGATATGGGGTTTTTATACAACTATTCTAAAAATTAATAATATGCTTGAATTAACATAAAGTGAAAAAAGTAAATCAAAAAATGTCGTTCAAAAAATCTTCTTTAATCTATTTCTTGTTATTAGCAAAATCAATGATATATATAACTATTTAACAAATATAAATTATAAAAAATTATAATATTTAAATCCACATTTCAGAGTGTTCATAGCATTCCAAATTGACTTAATTTTTTTTTATGCAAACTTCATTTGCACACAGAGGTGGTAATTCATCTCAATTTGACAGATAAAGATAATGCTCTGGATTTTCTTCAGGAGGAAAGCTAATTAATCATGCTCATAGCAAATTAATTTTAAATAGGAACATCTTCCCAGTTATCTCTCTTTGCCAATGCTTTTGTATATAAAGTTAAAAAATCGTCTTTTACCACCCCAGCTCCAAACCAGGGGACATAGAGAACCAAACTTAGCATCAAAATATGTATTATTTTTTATAACTATCATAAAATTTGTACTTGATAGGGCAGCCATAAAAAAAGTTGCCCATTCATTCTTATGCATAGTAAAGGAATTCAAAAGAAGTACCCATTTTTACCACCCCAGCTCCAAACCAGAAGACATATGAGAACCAAACTTAGCATCAAAATATGTATTTTTTCCTAATATATACCATAAAATTTTAACTTGATTGGGTAACCATTTAAAAAGTTATTAAAAAAAACAGAAAATTTGTGGACAAAGTGTTAAACGGACAGACAGACAGACATGGATTATATTATATTATATATTTTATTATAAAATCCATTTTAAATGTTATAAAAAAAATGAAACATATAATTGTCTACAAGTTATCAGTTCCATAATTTTATGTATACATGTACTATTAAAATTATTTTTCTTTGATATTTAAACAAGTGTTATCCTTTCCTTTAATAATTGTAGAAAATTACCTTATTCATTAAAACTGAAATATTGGCCTATGTGTTCTTTACTGCAGTTCTTATTAATAACACAATACAAAATTAAGGCCTTTCATAATGTAAAACAAGATGTGTTTGTGAAACACTATGCGCCCGGCGGCAACAAAGTTCAAAAAATCTATTTTTAGCATATTGGTCACAGTCAAGGTCACAAGGTCATTGACCTTGGTGTAATTCTAAAGAACTTAATGAGTGGAGTATGCACACCAAATATGAAGTCCCTATCTTCTATTGTTCAAAAGTTATGACAAAAAGTGTAAAAAGCTATTTTTAGCATATAGGTCACAGACAAGGTCACAAGATCATTGACCTTGTCGACGTTTGAAAGGACTTTATTAGTGGAGTAAGTATACCAAATATGAAGTCCCTATCTCCTATGGTTCAAAAGTTATGACAAAAAGTGGAAAAAGCTATTTTTAGCTTATAGGTCACAGTCAAGGTCACAAGGTCATTGACCTTGGTGTCATTCGAAAGAACTTAATGGATGGAGTATGCACACCAAATATGAAGTCCCTATCACCTATTGTTCAAAAGTTATGGCAAAAAGTATAAAAAGCTATTTTTAACATATAAGTCACAGTCAAGGTCACAAGATCATTGACCTTGTCAATGTTTGAAAGGACTTTATTAGTGGAGTAAGTATACCAAATATGAAGTCCTTATCTCCTATGGTTCAAAAGTGATGACAAACAGTGGAAAAAGCTATTTTTAGCATATAGGTCACAGTCAAGATCACAAGGTCATTGACCTTATGTCATTTGAAAGGACTTCTATTAGTGGAGTATGCATACCAAATATGAAGTCTCTATCTCTTATGGTTCATAAGTTATGGTGAAGGTTAAAGTTGACAACAGACAGAAAGACAGAAAGACAAACAGACAAACAGATAAACAGACAAACAGACAGGACAAAAACAATATACGCCCGGGATCTATCGATCCGGGCGCATAAAAAAAAACATGAGAAATGTCCGATTATTTTCGATTATGAATCGAAATGGTGTTTCCGATTCGATTCGATAATCGATTGTATTTTTCCTCCGATTCTGAAACACTACTATTTAAGAAGTTTAGTAGTTTTCCATTTTTTCAACTAAAAATTTTTAAGTATGCAACTGATATATCACATCTTCATATTTCATGATATGGGAAAAGGGGATTATTTACCAAAAGATCTTAATGGTCGGAAATGCATGTAAGGCCAGATAAAATTAATCTTAGATTCTCATCCTAATTTGCTAAAAAATTTGGGCGGGTAGGCGGATTTTATTCTTTATTTCAATTCATTTATTGACAACACCATCATACATTGGCATATAGTCATGAATACAACAATTAACATACATAAAATAAAATAAAATATCAAAGAAAGCATATCAGGTTTGTTGAAGGTTTTCTTTCCTAATATCAAAGCACTTTTTCAAAAAGTTACAAACTCTCCTAGCAGTTCTAACACTTGTAGGATTGATAATGTCAATAATAAAAACCTAGGGTTTTCCTTCATGTAACATTGTGCATTGAATATATCGTAATATTTTTTTCTACATTGATCACACACAGGACAATAAAGTACAAAATGGTTTTCATTTTCAATAAAAAATCTCTTACAAAAATGACATACACGTGTTTTCTGCTATTTTTAGGTGGCCTTCTCTATACTGGCCTTTCCTTATTTCAATATGTAGGGTATGAGCACTAATTCTTAGTTTTGTTAGGATTGTCCTTTCAGATTTCTTCAATGGTAATTCTAGATAGTTTTGTAATTTATATTCATTTAAATCAATTATATTACTATAAAAAGTTAATTTCCCAGAATTTGATTTAGAAATGTTCTTTAATTGTTCACTGATCTTGTTGTCCTTATATTATGTTCCTCTAATTTATATTTAAAAGTTTTATGTGATATGTCCAATGAGGCCATGAAAGACAATTTCTGTTGTAGAGTATAAAGCTTTCTTTTTTAGTCAAAGATATTCATGGTACCCCTCCCAGTGTTTTATCTTCCTGTCCTGCAGACACCACTAACTGGTCATTATAATCATTTTCTCTCTCTAAGATTTTATAATTGTTAAATTGTAAGTATAAAACATGGACTCCTCGTACACATTTTTTTTCATTATGTTAATGCCAATATGAATAGATTTGATTCTTTTCATATTCTTTTAATATTTAAAGGAGATTCTTGCTTTAAAAAATTAGGTATTTATAGTTAATTAACAAATTATCAAGTACACATATACGGCACATGCCAAACAAAATGAGGTGGGGATACCAATAAATTGTGTATACATCACTTCTCATACAAATTTACCCAAATATACCTTATATATTTTACCATTCTTCCCATTTTCTGTAAAATTTTTTTTTTATCATCAGGTTATTTCCATTTCTTCCTCAAAAATATGATCGTTCTTGAGACTTGACATGTTCGACATTAAAATAGGTCATGTATGCAAAATCTATAAAATATTCTACTGAAAAACCTAGGCCTGAACAGTTAATTTTTATTATTTCCTTAGCAGTTAACATTCTCTAAGTCTGCCAACGATGTTTTAATTTTTTTTTTTTCAAAGCAAAATCACACACAGCTTGAGATCGTTTAAACTCCATCAGAGGTCATTTTTCTTGTCTAATTTTCATCACTAGTTGAAATCTCTCTAAAAACTTGCTAATGCCAATGATGGTATCTAGATGTGTTTATGCTATTTTTTCTTCTCTGCCTTCTCTATACTGGCCTTTCCTTACAGTCTTTGAAACAACCTGGGTGCCCCATGCCCAGGACCTATTAAATTTGCCAGCGAGGATGTGAAAATTCTCAAATCAGTTCATTACATGCCCGAAGGACATGTGTGAATTTCCTTTCGATTAATGATGTTTACTTGCCATTGTTTACTTGCCATTTTTTCTGTCATACCCTAGTTATTCACATAAACTTGCTATGTAAATTCAGTTCAGCTAAACCGGCCAACAAACGACCAGCATGCGAGTCAAAAGTTGTGAACAAAAACACATAAGAAAATGGCAGACAGGCAGGCCATGGTTTATTTAAAACTCTGAAAACAATTTAAACCTCAGATCGAGAGAATTAAAAACAGAAACACTGTCCTTATATTAATATAAAACCTATGTTTTTGATCACAGACTGGAGAATGAGAGCACATTTCTGCTGTAGGAAATCAGATTATTTGGATGATTTGATTCCTTTAAGTTCTTTATATTTTTTCGTAAACTTTGAAAAAAGTTTTATAAAGAGGTGTACATTTAGGTTTATGCACGTAATTATTAACATAAAGAACCTCACACATTTCTCTGGGGAATACTGGCATTGCAACATAAAATAGGGAAATACTGTATTCAATTATTTTTTCTTGGTCTAAATATAATTTTGAAATATTTCCAATCTTTGTCAAATGATGTCATTTATTGAAGATTTTATCTATTATCATTCAAGCTTAATACATCAAAGTGTGAATCTGTCTAGCTGCATAAAAGTACCATGAATTTAACACCCAGTGAGCAGTTTTAAATCTTCAGGAAGTGCTAGAATTTTATCTGCCCCCCCCCCTTTTTTTTGTTTGATATTGTTAACCTTTTTAAAACTGCTGGAGTGTAAATTTGGTTTAAAATTCTAGAGGACACAGGGATTTTCCACTACCCTGTGAAGGGCCAATTATGGGTCCCATTCTCAATTGCAAAACCCTCCCTTTTCCCAAAAAAATGAACTGCATATCCTCAATTTTTAAATGCAGAACAACTTTAGAAGATAATCTGATCATAATTCACAAAACACAAACAAGGTCACGTTTGGAAATTGTGTAAAACTACACTATAATGATCAATTCTCTAATTCATAATTCTATAATAACTATGTAAAATGTTAATTTCATTCATCTTATTGTTTATTTCCCATTTAGTGATAAAATGTCGTTCATTTCTTAATTCCAATGTCCTGGGTCCCATTCCCAAAAGTGACTGGACAATTCATGGGAAAGCAAGGATAAAATTTGGTATATTGATTTAATTTTGTATTTAAACCTTTTTTAATTGTACAGAGATAAAAACCATTTAAAAACTGTTTAATCACAAATGGCATGTTATCCTTACTGAGCAGGAAGCAGATTACGATCTTTCCTGTGATGATAAAACATGCTAATCCTCTGTCAGTAAACATGTACTGTCAGAAGACAGTCTTATCAATAAAAGGTGAAATAAATGAAGGGTAACATGATGCACTTCTTTCTTCTCAATTTTTCTAGGAAGAATGCAAGAATGCAATAAAAGTTTTGGTGTTTTTTTTTCTGTTAATGTTATGCATTACATGACTTTACATCATTTATGTTAAGCATAAAATGGCTTTACACCACACTTTTGACATGTTTGAAGTGAAGATGATTCTTTTCTCGTGTTCGTTGAAGCATGACATGACTCAAAGCAACAAACAAACCCAATGGGATAATACTTTATTACATTTCCATAACAACATGTTGAGATTTAGACAGCATGATGTTGGTCTCAACACAAAGAAAACAATTCTCCAACTGGGAACTAAGCTTAAATCTCTAAATGACATTATTTTATATTTTCAAGAAATTTCACATATGCTTTCATTTTCTCTTTTGTTTGATATTCCGGGTAATTCCCATGACCATGAACAAATGAAAAGAAAAGAAACTGAACTGTCAGAATTTTAAAAATTATATATTTTTACTTTTACCTTTTTACCTAAAATACCACGTCCTCTCCCTCCCATTACATTAAATGTGTCCAGAATATAACTGTGTATTTATTGCAGTTCTTACACAGATCTGCAGTTATTTATTGACCATGTATAATATACATTTCTACCTTCTTCACTAGAGAGCTCCATAAATTAGGCCAGCATGTGACAAGTTCAAAGAAAAGATGTGCAAATGCACTCGTCCTCCTATTGATAGCTTGAGTGTGTACATGCATGTTTGCATTTTATAAAACAAATATTTTTCATAACTTAGACTTTTATTATGTTTACACTTATTTTCTTGAGATAACGTCAGATAAAATAGAAATTTAAAAAAATATCTGTTTTTAAAGTTCCTTCAATTACTGCACAGTGGACAAGCCTTTTCCCCTAAACAAGTAAAATAAAAAAACAATCGGCGGAAAAAACCTTGAACTGAACAGAACCAACCAGTTCAAGTTCAATCGCAGACAAAGATCGATACAGATGCAACCCTTCTTCATGCAAATTTGTTATTTTTTATCTATATAAGGGAAATTCCATTATCACACATTTATTATCACACATTAAGATAAAAAAAATAACAAGAGAGACAGTCAAATATATAGTTGCATGAATCAACTCACCACAACCTCCATCTTCTCTGGTGCCAAATTCACATGTGCTTCTTTCCCGCGTCAATGGTCACGTGATGTTCCTCAACTTTCTAGATAACTCGTACGTAGATGTACAGTAAGACTGTCTCAGGACCAAATGACTTGATCAGATGTATATAGGCTAGCAACTAACCAGAAAAGCTACTATGGGTATAACAAAAAATATTTTACTTGTAATTCGTACATTATTTTCTGCAGTAAAGATCTTTATCATCTTCACGGTTAACAAAGGGCGAGCCAGCTAAGGAAAATGCCTGTCGTGGCATATGTGCAACAAATAAGAAGGTGAACAATTTAATCTGAATTTAATTAAAAAATTTATTTGACATTTCATCTAACTTAAAATGCATTATTTACTGAAAATGTCCGCATTTTTAAAAAAAAGAAAATGGTAAAATAATTCTCTGAATCGCATCAGTAGGTGCATGTGCGATAATTTTCCAAATGCTTGGGTGTATTTTTTAAATATTAATTTATCCTCAAAGTATGCCTAAACAAATAGTATCGTATTTGATTTGAAAGTATACAAAACTTTGACATTGGTAAAGGTTTTTCAATTGTTTCGATGTGTACAAGAAAACTGTTTTAAAATATAAATATGTAGTTCTAATTCTATTTAGGCCAAACTCTTTTGTGTGTCATGTTCTAAATTTTGAAATGATTAGGTTAGAAGTGAATACCAAATTATAACATAAACGCTTTTTGATATACTTTACTCCAGGTCCCAACCGGTCACTGCATTGAATCAAAATTTAGAAAATGTCATTAGATCCAGTGGATTTGACTTAAACAAAGTCGAACACATAAATAACATGGGGTATATATGGGTAAGAATTTCGTTAAAGAAGTGGTTAAAACTTAACCAAACCCAATTAAATCTTGATTTCAGTTATACCAGGTTGTGACAGGTGTATATTTTATTAGGGGTAAGGGTTGGTGGGTGTTGGACTACAGCTTTCAGTGGGAGGAATTAGGGGTACGTCATGGTTTTAGATATAGACGGTTATTTATACAATATGATGAAAATGATTTACTAACACATGTATGTAATTTTATCTATAAAATATGATTGACAGATACTCGTATCTATAACAAATGATAACGACCAAAAGCTCAATCATTTTGTTTATAATTACCAATTGAAGATAAAGTTTATCTTTACGAAAGCAAGATATATAAAGCTTACGCATCAATCCGCACATTTCTGATAAATAAAAAAATACAGTGCGATATAGATGTTAAAAACTTAAAGTATAGATCGATAGCCCTGCCAGAGACGGGTGAAGCTAAAATAATGATTTTATCTAACATGCAACTAAGAGGGGGGGGGGGGCTAAATTGTATTCATATATATGTACTACTACATTAGTTTACCACATATTCTTATTGAATAGATTAAACAAAAAAATAAGGATGGGGATCAACCGGCCTATCAATGAACATTTACATGTACAACAGTAAAAAGTAATACAATTTAACCAAATTTTGAAGACGTATTTTAATAATGGACTTGACATCCAATTATGTACAGAAAATTTGTGTTTTAGCTTGAGGAAATTATTAATAACCGGTCTGAATTGTTCATATGCTATTTCAGGGAAGACTATAATTCTAACACTCGTGAGATTGCTGCCAAACCATAGGCATTTTCTCGACTTATTCTCAAATTTAAGAAAATAGTAAATGGCAAAGGTGTATGACCTCAATTTTCCCACAGTGCATCAAAGTTAAAACGTCTGATGCGAGACCCAGACGTGTCAGCTGAGGTTTAGAACGTCGAACCGTGAAATTGATACGAAAGGGTGTCAGCAGAGGGCGCAGTTATTTATGAACTGTTAAATTGATACAGGAGGGTATAGCATATGTCGCAGTTATTATGGACTGTGTTGTAAAGATAGCTTTGCTAACATTTGGTTATACACAGAGCAGAGTGATGGATGGTCTGAACGCACCGTAAACGCCACATTCTAATTTCAAATTGTCAAAAATAATCAAATTTACGAACAAAATCACTGTCAAATCCCACCCTATCCCGTTTTGGGGTTTACATAAACATGTCATAAATATGACATGTTTTTGTGCCAATATATGGCTTGTATGTGTTCAATACATTGAGCACATACATGACAATTAATTTGACTTTTAAAAGGTAACACCCAGCCTTGTCTTGGCATCACCCCGGAATTTTTTTTCTGTAAGATTTTAAATTCAATAATTATAATTAATATATAGGTAAGGAAAATGGAGAGGACAAGATGGGAAAATCATATGCAAGTTATTAAAAAACAAAAATTATTGAAAATTTTTATGTCTGCAATGACTAAATTTTTCCATATGTCCGGTACAGATATTTAAATCAATATTTCTTCCCGACCTTTTCCAGACATTTTTTAAATAGACAATGCCATTTGTAACGAGTATAAAGTCAAGTTCTTTTTTACGGTTCTTTTATTTTAATTAAAATTGGCAATGAGCACCAAAATATGGCGATGCCACACCCGGTCACTCATACATGAAAAGAGTTATTTTGCAACGACTCGCCATGTTTCTGATCTCTTTGATAGAATTGCTGTTGCAACGCGCCCAAAGTTTCTGTACTTGCAAAAACATCTTTAATGATATCTAAAATTTTGTTAGACTGATGTATTTCTTTCCATTCTAGGTCTTGATCTTATTTCATCTTTTGCCTGACCACCTAAATTGTCCATCAAAAAATCTATCTTTGCATCTTCATCATCAATAACTTTTAAATGTTGCCTAGCATCATCTAACCATTCTGCTACATCGGGGTCACTCTCTTTCACAGGTCTACCACACAACCTTGCAATCTTTTTCTCTCTCGCAACATAGACAGTTTTATTTGCTTTTGGTTCATTTTTATATTTCATTTCTATTTCTTTTAAACTCAAAGCACTTTCAGTTTTCTTCAACCTCTGGTGAAGTGTTGCCATTTCACTCTTTAACTGTTCTGATTTTTCTTTTTCAAGTTCAAGAATTAAGTTCTTTCATTTCCCTCTTAGTAGACATTTTTGAAAGAGTGGATTAATAGACTAATGCACAGATATAATTACACAATTCTTATTGTTTTAGTGCACAGTTATAAACAGGTGAAGTTTTTTGTCACCTCCAGTGGGCGTTGTTTGGAACACTCAGATATCCGTTGCCTTGCCGTTGATCATAAACCAAACTCAAAGTCTTTGGTGAATGCACTCGTAAATTGGTTGTTGAACTCGTGACATCAAAACGTCTATCAAATGACAGTGGGCCTAGAGGTAACTCATTGCCAAAATATTTTTTTTTTAATTGTATGTCCACGACGCCATTAAAAGTTAAACTTTTTCAATTTTGTCAACTACTTTTAGTACCAATTTTAATACTACATTTTCGGTACACATCACTTTAAGTCTAACAGTGAGGGGGACAGGCTTTCAATTAATATTTCCTATAGTATATAAGTAAGGTTGGGAAATGGTATAATAGTAATTGAAGAGAGCGATCTTTTTTAGCAGATGCATCTTTTTTTTTCAAAGCTGTGGACGCCCAAAAGAATGAAAAACACAAAGAATAAAAAACGCAGATGATTGTGTTGCAAAAATTAAAAAAAATTAATATGATTTCATACTTTTTTTCTATTAAAAAACAAATGTTCTCTAGCTGCCCCCCCCCCCCTTTCAAAAACGATGCTACGTCACTGCATGAAGTATGAGATATGGACAAAAGTGAAGCTTCATATATTCATAGTTTTTCAGCAATTAAAGAAATAAAATAATAAACTAGTCCAAAACAGGTATTAAATAAAAGTGAATCTCAGACATCACAGAGGACTGTATCCTTAAAATTCTTTGTCAAATGAAGTTCATTGTCATTAACTTATCTCTATAGGAGCACGATAAGTTATTTAGCATCGTTATCTTTACTGTAAACATTCGCTGTACCCCAGATCTAGAGATAACTATGATATAAGTAACAAACTAACCTCGGTATGTATACAAACAACATGACGGACAAGAAGGACTACTGTCCGGTCGTGTCCACGCTCAGTACCTACAAGATCTTCCTCATCGGGGAACAACTCAGGTCAGATGCTCATTGAGTTTGTTAACTTTGTTTGGGGAAAAGTCTTAAATGATGATAAAGTTAGTATATATGTATTCTTTAGTGCGGTTACTGCGGTAGGGATAATTAATTTAATACATTGGTAGAGTTGTTGTTAGGTTAAACAGAGAGGTGAGATGGTTGTAGCTCAAGTAGCACGATGGATTAGGCCTTGACTTTGAACCCAGGGCATGCGACCAATGTCACAGGTTTTGAAAATGTATTTTTTTCCCAAGGCATAGCAATGGAACATTAGTTTAGTTTTAAGATAAACACTTTTCAGTTGCTCTTGATCAGAGGTCTGTGTCGTGACCCGACCTAAGACTCGAGATCTATTCAGAGGTTTTTGTTAATGTGAAGGCAATTATTATCCTGAATTTCAAAAGCTTGACTTTAGATTATTTCATTATCATATATACTTGATATTTCACCTACCAGAACAAAATATATAATGATTCTTAAACGTGCCCCTCTTTCATTTTCAGATCGTGCATGAATGGAGTGGGACTGATTAGAGACCGGAAATACAGACTTCGGAGCTACAAGTCTTGTTTCCAGGGTAACGAGACAGTTGATTGGTTGGTCCGGAGCAGAAGATGTGACGATCGTGTCTCCGCCGTACGGATAATGCGGACCTTACAGAAATGGGCTTTTTTCCATCACGGTACTTATTTGTCCCCCGCTTGAAAAGTGGGGGATATTAATTTGGGTTTGTCCGTCCGTCCGTCTGTCCGTCCGTCCGTCTTTCTGTCTGTCTGTAACGCTTTCGTTTCCACACGATATCTCGAGAACCCTTTGAGCTTTTGCAATGAGATTTAGCACAGCAACTCCCTATGGACTAAAGAAGACCCCTATTGATTTTGAGGTCAAAAGGTCAAAGGTCAAGGTCATAAATAAGCAAATTCTGTCTGTTAAAACACTCTCGTTTCCACACGATATCTCTAGAACCATTTGAGCTATTGCAATGAAATTTTATATAACAACTCCCTGTGGCCTAATGAAGACCCCTATTGATTTTGAGGTCAAAAGGTCAAAGTTCAAGGTCGTAAATTTATACATTCTGTCTGTGTGTAATACTATTATTTCCGGGCAATATTTCAAGAAGATTTTGAGCTTATGCAATGTAATTTTATACCAAAACTCCCTAGGACGTCTCTCGCCCCTCTCAACCCCGCCCCGTTTGTTTTATTAGTATTTATAGTATTACATGTCGCTATTTTTAGCGCAGGGGCATGAGGAGAGTTATTGCGTATAAAACAGGTTCTCGTGGGACTTTATGTTCTTATTACATCTATTAGAACTGTTTAATAAAGGCTAAATAAATCAAACACCATGGATTGTGTAAAATTTTGAGAATACCGAACATGAAAACATGAATATATACATGTATGTGACTTCACTTCTGCATATACTTCACACTATGTAAGGCAATACCATGGTCTAGTGGTTATGTCTCTCGCTTCAAATGTGAGAGGTCACGGGATCGAATCTCGGGCGAAGCTTCCTTTTTTTTTTAAATACTTTTTTTTTTTGCTTAATGATAGTATTCAGCATGTGAAATGAAAAATTTATGAGGTTATAAATTCATCATTACAGTGATAAAAATTCCATATAAAAAAATCTTCAATACACATAATAAAGAATAAGCAATCAAATCTTTATATGCCTATTGACATACATGTATTTTATTGGCTTCAGTATACATGTATACATTTAATAATTCTACAAATTCAGTCAGGGGGAGCCGACTTTTTCCCTAAGCGGGGGACACGAATTCTCTGAATTAGCTTGTTTGGCAAATAATGTCCATGTGCACTCAGTGGAATTGTACATGCATTGTCATATTCGTTTGAGATTATGAAAGAATTTGAAAAATTATTCCAAACAATTCGTCTTTTCTCTTCTTGTAATAGTTTGCGATGACCACAAATTTAAAGATGAAATGCTCTTTTATCGATTTCGCCGTGATGATAACACAATAGAATCTCACAAAGATCTCCTGCTCTTCTACAAAGTCCTTGATATATATCACTCGTAAGTATGCACTCATATTTACTCATCTGTTTTTGTCAACTACAGCTGTATTGAATTATTCATACGAGGTTTCACGCACACTAGTTTTGGAGAGTGTTCGATTTCTACGACCACCATGTTGCTATATCTGTGCATTCGAACAAACTCGTTCATGTTGGTTCGTTTTTTTCATATGAAAAGCATAATAGTGCATACTTGAATTGTTTCATTTTTTCAGGATAAATTTCTCAAAGAAAGGTATTTTACGGAGCTACCAGGTGCGGGACCAGGTGTTTGACCGCGCCTTTATGGGATCCGCCTTCGTGGACTGGTTGGTGAATACTGGAATGGTAAACACAAAGGAACAGGCTATAATCACGGGGAGACAACTCCTGGAGAACGACATCATCAGGCATGGTAAATAGATTTCTTCTGTAAAATTAGAAAATATCAAGGCATTATGCCTTTCAAATTCCCCGATTTTTAGATTTATTTCCTTTGTATTTTTTTCTATAGTGACAGATGACCACCATTTCCGGAATGATAATTTGTTGTTATATCAGTTCAACCTGGATCTGGATCAGCGGCGCCGGATGTCCGACGTCCTCATTCTAGACGAGAGGCGCCGGATGTCGAACGAATCACGGTCCTCCACGGAGTCTCAGGATACCCCAACCCGATTTCTAGAGTCACGTGATTTCTCCGTCCCAAATGGTTGTGGTATATGAATTATGATACATGTACAAATATATTGCAGCAATTAATTATTTAATCCATTTCAAATGATCTTGTAAAATTTATTACGGTTACGTGTAGGTCGACTTAATTTCAGTAGTTTTGGTATATATGGGTACAAGTACTAATTAATAACATTTCAGATCCAAATGAAATGAAGAATTTTATTCCAACTTAATGAGGTTCTCAGGGTCACTTTCTTTATCTAATTCATGATTTAAAATCACAAGTATAATGACCAGTAGCCTGCATTACACAAAGCATGATTTTTTTTATTCCCAGAAAACGAATGTACAGAAAACAATTCGGAAACAGAAGAATCTTCGAACGCGTCCTCGATGCAGCCGAGATCCGGTAAATCGTCACTCATGCGTGTAAAAATAATTACCATCTGCATCAATATGACATTTTTCATCATTATAAACTTTTTTTTCTTTTTTTACCAAACAGTTACATGTATTTAATAATTCTTTGTATCTTCTATATACAGTGCTATTGAGGTATGAAACAGCTGACGAACTGGAATCTCCTGATACACCTTATGTTAAATCCTGTCTCAGAGTAAGACTCAAGTTCTTCAACTCCACAGTAGCGATAGATATGTATATGTCAAAAAGATATATACATTTTATTAAAAATGAATTTGACTTTTCGTTGTAGATTTTTAGTGACTCTGTAGGTTACGGGTTCGTCATACGGGGTATAGGGCCCACGTACGTACAGACTGTGGATCCCGAGGGACCAGCCGCAGACGCAGGGCTCAAGGTTATATTTAACAAAAAACAAACTGAATTAAATAACATATGACATAAAGCTAGAGCATAATAAATGAATGTACAGGTAGATATTTTTTCTAGAAATCGTGCATTTTTCATTTAATGAAATTGCTTCAGAGAACCAGATAACCCAAGAAGCATAACCCAGTGTCTGGAATCCAAAACGATATCAAATCCATAATTAAACTTCTGTCAGGTGAAAGCAGTATTAAAAAATAAAAAAAATAACGATTTTCTAGTTTCACGTTTGATAAAATATACAAATTAAAATATTCTGTTTTTAGGTGCGACAATACATCTACTCTGTTAACGGTGTGAATGTTCTCCGTGAGGACCACCATTCTGTTGCCAAGAGAATCATAGAGAGTGGGCGGGACTACATCAACATGTGTGTCATGTCCCACAAACGGGACAACAAGGATAAATGATCTAGTCCTGGTGATAGAAACAGACACAGCTGATGCTTATAGAGGGAGCAGGGAGTGGTACATGTATATTCCACACAATCAAAGAAGTGACAGATTGGTCAGACACTCTTCTTCAATACCTGCATCATGAACATCAACAGGGAATTCGAAGACTTCATAAATCTATAATAATAATAAAGCTCTAAACCTCATATAAACTTAACTAATCCAAACAAAACGTAATGCTCAATACAATAAAGATGGGTCAACTGATGATATAAATGGACATATTGTGAAATATGTTGATGACAATTATGCTGTTGTCAAAATGAACAAACATGAAGGTCCCTTTTTGTGACATGCTGTACATTTGTCAAAACTACTTTGAAATCACTAATTTTTGTGGGGGTTTAATTTGTGTAATTTCTACTACCACCTGGTCAATTTTTTTCTTCATGAAAATTTTTATAACCCATTATATGTGATTTTACAGTACATCAAAGTTAATCTTAAGTTATAAATAAATAATAATATGCAAAAAAACTTCATGGATGTTAGTAAAATAGCTCACCCAGTGAGGCAGTCATGATTCCATTTTCAGAGTTGTTTTAAATCTTTATTTAGTAGAGTGACCAAAAGATTAACCTTAGAGAAACCTTGGAAACAAGAACCCCTTTTTAAGTAGGTAAGATTATACATATGAAATAAAGAAATGTCCCCCTCCTCTTTTTGCAAATCAAAAAATTATAGGAAGAATTGTTGTTTAAATTGTGTTTGGACCCCTACTCCCAGTCTGAATTCTGAATTACTTCATACATGTTGCAGAACAAAATACAACAAACCATCAATGTACTGCATGTCTACAGAGCCTTTACATGCTGAACTTGTATCACAATGAACAGACGAGTTTTGGGATTTATTTTCATTTTATATACTATAAAACTTTTACAAAGTTTAATCCACTTTTTGACAATCAGAAGTATTTTTTTGCCATTCTCCCAGTGTTTTCTCAGTTTAATAATGTTTCATCCATTGTTTGATGATCAGAAGTATTTCTGTAACAGTGCTCCCAGTATTTCACCATTGACTGAAGTTTGAGTCCTCTGTTGGACAATTAGAAGTATTTCTGTAGCGGTTCTCCCAGCGTCTTCTCCATTTGACTGATGACGGACTGACACATCTTTTCCACTTCTTCCTCCTCATCTAAAAATAAACAAAGAATAAAATACAAAACATGAATCGATTTCTTCAGAAATATATTGGGATAGAGAAACCCATAGATAGATGAACAAATGTAAATGTAAACTACTGTAAACCACTTTTATTCGCGAGAACTTTATTTTCGCGTAATTACTCGATACAGTATGCTCGTGAAAATTTCATTCTCGCGTATAATAGAATTTCTTAAGATTGTATAGAGCAATGGCCGCAATTCGTGAAAATTTTGTCTCGCTAATGAAGAGTCAATGACCATCTCGCGAAAATAAGGTGTCGCGAAAAATAAGTGATCTACAGTATCCCATTCTTCCAAACTGTTTGTTTTGGGATATAAAACCTATAAGTTTTGAGATGAATTACTTACCCTCCATTAGCTCTGCCAGGAATGGTATTGTTTCTGGTAGGAGAGGCATGTAGTCCTCAGATAGTTTCTTATGGAACTCGTCCACTGCAATCAGAGCTGCGTATCTAACCTGTTAAAGAGAAATAGTTTGCTTATTGCTCGTTCAAGCTCAAGAATTCAATTCTAAAATAATGTATGAAATACTATCTATAAGAGGTCAATTCTGCCATTCAAAAATTTTACAATTTGTGCCTTAAAACACAGCATTACAATTTCTGCTTTTGCAATTTTTCCAATACAATGCATCATTATATCTGTGATAAGTATACTTGATAATTTGTGACAGAAATGTTTTATAAGTCATTTTTTTCTATAAAGAACGGACAGCTGTGAGTGCATATCCTATGGTTTACATAATAAAAGGTGTTGATGTAATAAGAAGTTTCTATTTATGTGTTTTACCGCTGATGACGAGTGCCGAGTCTTGAGCAGTATCTGATAGTTCAGAGTTTTCCACAGTGAATCGTCCTGGGTTGCTGCACCGAATTGCACGAGGCACGGAACAAGGTGCTCACTCACTCTCTCTTTGGATAAAGGTTCATCATCAACATTTTCCAGCTGAAAAAGAATTCTATTACTCACAGACTAAGAAGGCTGCATCTTTCTCTAGAATTTAATGAAAAAAAACTTTGACATGTATAATAAAGTTTTGATTAAATCGTGGTACTTTTTAAGGATAAATAGACAAATCTATAATAATCATCAAACAGGGAAAAACATCATGAAATACACATATACAGTGGACCCCAGATATCCGGATGCTTTAGTATCCGGAGGATTTTTCATCGGAACAGAATTTTTTAACGTTATTTTGTCTTGTTCAACCGGTGATTCAGGTATCCGGATGCTTCACATATCTGGACAAATTGACTAGGAACCAAAGCGTCCTGATAAATGAGGCTCCACTGTATTGTAAACAATTGTTAATTTCAGCCAAATTTTGACAGAGACTTATTTTTGCTAACCTGGTCAACTAGAGCTTGTAGTAAAGTATCGAATCTCTCCTTAGTGACGAAGCCCTCGGTGTCGTACAGGAAACACTTGTACAGACAGTCACAGATATAAACCAGTAACTTATGGGCCTTGTGTTTACCCAGCTTACTGGAGTCAAAGTAGTCCTCACCTGTAAAAGGGAGAGAACTCTACAGATATAAAAGGAGAGGTATAAACCAGTAACTTATGGGCCTTTTGTTTACCCAGCCTACTTTAATCAAAGAAGTCTTTACATGTAAAAATGAAGAGAAGTCTACAGATATAAAACAAAATGCTAGGAGTTTTATTAAAGGGACAAAACTCTAGAGATAAAAATTTCTTTTACCATTTTTTTCTTTTATGAACACAAAATAATGAGAAAGTGTAATAAAATAAGAATGTTAATTGTGAATAAAATGTTTTGAAATATTGACCTGTCATTTCTTTGTTGTTGTCTTTTAAAATTTGAGCCGCATGAACAATAATGTGTCCAGCAAATATAGTAAACAGACTCTGCATCTTCCCAGCCAGTCTGAAATGTCAATATCAAATGTATAAGCTCTGTACCCACTACTTTCCCTCGAATCATTACAGATGAAAATGTATCAAGTCCATCAAATAAAGGACCTTATGATTATTACAAATCTTATTGGACTTTGACACAAACCTGTCAGCCATTTTATAGAAGACAAGAATTCTGTGCTTTAATTCTTCTTCTCTTGTAGCCCAATCAAACATCTGAAGTTACAGAATAAAATTGACTTGATTTAGAAATTCAATCACATTGTTCTACATAATGATCCAGTAAAAGCAATAACATCTTGACCCACCTTGTAGAACATGGGCCTGAACGTGGCCTCTGACAGTTTCATCACTGTGGCAACAATGGCATCTATTACAGAATCCTCTGTATCCTCCACCTCTCCCTGAAATAAAACAGAAATATTTACTATCTATATATCCTCAGATTCAGTATAAAGATAAATGTATTCCATATGTTTATATTGTAATAATTTTTTCCGTACATCCAGACAGGAGAGATAATTACCTGGCACTGTACCTGTACATCCAGACAGGTGAGATAATTACCTGGTACTGAGCCTGCAAAATCGAGACAGGTGAGATAATTACCTGGTACTGTATCTGTACATCCAGACAGGTGAGATAATTACCTAGTACTGTGCCTGTACATCCAGACAGGTGAGATAATTACCTGGTACTGTACCTGTAAATCCAGACAGGTGAGATAATTACCTGGTACTGTACCTGTACATCCAGACAGGTGAGATAATTACCTGGTATTGTGCCTGTACATCCAGACAGGTGAGATCCAGACAGGTGAGAATTACATGGTACTGTACCTGTAAATCCAGACAGGTGAGATAATTACCTGGTACTGTACCTGTACATCCAGACAGGTGAGATAATTACCTGGTATTGTGCCTGTACATCCAGACAGGTGAGATCCAGACAGGTGAGATAATTACATGGTACTGTACCTGTACATCCAGACAGGTGAGATAATTACCTGGTACTGTACCTGTACATCCAGACAGGTGAGATAATTAGCTGGTACTGTACCTGTACATCCAGACAGGTGAGATAATTAGCTGGTACTGTACCTGTACATCCAGACAGGTGAGATAATTACTTGGTACTGTACCTTTATGACAGGTGAGATAATTACATGGTACTGTACAGCAAGACAAGTGAGATAATTACCTGGTACTGTGCCTGTATATCCAGACAGGTTAGATATTTACCTGGTAACAACCTGTACATCCAGACAGGAGAGATAATTACCTGGTACTGTGCCTGTACATCCAGAAAGGTGAGATAATTACCTGGTACTGAGCCTGTACCTCCAGACAAGTGAGATAATTACCTGGTACTGTACCTGTACATCCAGACAGGAGAGATAATTACATGTAACTGTACATCAAGACAGGTGAGATAAATACCTGCTGCTGTGCCTGTATATCCAGACAGGTAAGATAATTACCTGGTACTGTACCTGTACATCCAGAAAGGTGAGATAATTACATGGTACTGTGCCTATACATCCAGACAGGTGAGATAATTACCTGGTATTGTGCCTATACATCAAGACAGGTGAGATAATTACCTGATACTGTACCTGTACATTCAGACAGGTGAGATAATTACCTGGTACTGTACATTTAGACAGGTTAGATAATTACCTGGTACTTTACATCTAGACAGGTGAGATAATTACCTGGTACTGAGCCTGTTAATCGAGACAGATGAGATTATTACCTGGTACTGTACCTGTATATGCAGACAGATGAGATAATTACCTGATACTGAGCATGTACATCCAGACAGGTGAGATAATTACATGTGACTGTACCTGTACATCCAGACAGGTGAGATAATTACATGGTCCTGTACCTGTACATCCAGACAGGTGAGATAATTACCTGGAACTGTGCCTACATCCAGACAGGTGAGATAATTACCTGGTATTGTACATCCAGACAGGTGAGATAATTACCTGGTACTGTACACCCAGACAGGTGAGATAATTACCTGGTACTGTACATTTAGACAGGTTAGATAATTACCTGGTACTGTACATCTAGACAGGTGAGATAATTACCTGGTGCTGAGCCTGTAAATCAAGACAGGTGAGATTATTACCTGGTACTGTACCTGTACATGCAGACAGATGAGATAATTACCTGATACTGAGCATGAACATCCAGACAGGTGAGATAATTACATGGTACTGTGCCTATATATCCAGACAGGTGAGATAATTACATGGTACTGTACCTGTACATCCAGACAGGTGAGATCCAGACAGGTGAGATAATTACATGGTACTGTACCTGTACATCCAGACAGGTGACATAATTACCTGGAATTGTGCCTGTACATCCAGACAGGTGAGGTAATTACCTGGTATTGTGCCTGTACATCCAGACAGGTGAGATAATTACCTGGTATTGTGCCTGTACATCCAGACAGGTGAGATAGAATCCCTGTAGCTGCACCAGGTGACTGTTGAGGTCCTCCTTTTTCATGTGACTGACATGGTCTGTAAGCAGGGCCATCATTGGCTGGATTCCTTTCTATTTTAAAATCAATAACAGTTGTGCTACATACAAACATTTACATAATAAACAGGTGTGCATGCATACATATCTTATCATGTTGTATAATAGAATTACCTAGTGATCTAAAGACAGGTTTAAATAGTAGTGATGTGTATCTCAGCATGAATTTACAATTTTACATTCAGTGTTTTGACTTTGTAATAATTTCTGTCACCGACTTACAGGATTCACAGTCAGAAGCCTGTCATAGCAGTCAGGTAAAATCCCGAGGAGTACCCGAGGGGGCAGACTGGTGGCTATGGTGGTCCTGCAAAGATTCAATTGAAGATTTTAAGATTTTTGTTTGATAATTCTGAAAAGAAAGAGATTTAATCCCACTTCTTTTTGAAAACTGCTTATTTTGACTGACATGCATTGTAGAAAATAAGCCAAGGATTTAATTGACCATACTAGAAAGCACCTTGTTTACACAAAGAGGAATGCAATAAATGTACAATATTTGTGTACAGTAAAACTCGTTTAGTACGAACACGGATATAGCGAATTCACGGATATAGCGAAGTTTTTCAGGGCCCCTGGCAAAATTCTTAACAAATCTTTGTAAAATTTTAAGGTTATAACGAACTCTGATATAACAAATTTACGGATATAGCGAACTGATTTTGAGTCCCGTTGAGGTTAAATATAATGAAATTTACATCTTTTATAACGAACTTTCCAACATTATAAAAAATTTGAAAAATTGAATTGATTTAATTTACTTTTAGCATTTGTATATAAAATTCAATTCATAATAAAACCTTAGTTATCGAAGATATGTTTTGTAATATGTGCTTCCCTAATATATGTGGTAGTAATACCTGAAGGAAAACACTCATATTGCGAATTTGCTGCAATGGTTATACGAATTCGTTATACGGATATAATGAATTACGGATATAGCGAAGTAAATTCACAGTTCCCCAGGACTTTGCTATAACCGAGTTTTTCTGTATACCAAAGAGTCTTTTGTATTCGTTACATTTGGAGATTTTTCTAAAACCAGGCTCTGATATCTAGGCGATTGAGTTTGGGATAACAAGGTTTTACTGTACTTTATACACACCTAATGGTTTGAGTTTCTGTTGTATGGTGGTTTTCTGTATTTGTTTTATTTACCTAATGGCTTTCAGTTTTTGTTGTATGCTGGCTTTCTGTAACACTTCAGTCTGGTGTCCAGAGAGAGAACAGATCTAATAAATGAAAAAGTTCTATTAACATTCTCTACTGCTTTACATGCATATCATGTAACCTTTGTTCAGTACGTATGACATCGTTGTAAATTTGTGTTTTATTAAATGAGGGTGTATTTTTTATATTAAGAGATGAACATCTTTTAAGAATAAAACAAATAGGCTTTTACCAAGTGATCAAATATGACAGGTGATGGAATGTTTACCTGTGTTACAATATCTTGTAGATAAGGACTGAGAAACAAACACAAATTCTCCATCACTCTCAAAACAGCTGTTATTATACTCAGCAGGAAAAGCTCATTCCTTGTCAAAGAGAAAATAAAAGTTGATAAATTTAAAACAAAAATGAAAATTTTCAACAGTTAAGGTTACAGCCTAGTGACAGAGACATGTTCACAATTCTTACAATAGACAATGATATTTTCCGTAATTTTCCAAATGAAAATGTATCACAAACAATATTCTCTAAATCTTACCCATCCAGGAGTTGTCTGTCTTTGAGACAGGAGATGATTTTTGGCATGAACGTTGACAGGTGGGCGATGACGTGGGCCTTCAGCGTACTACAGACCTCAGAGATACACAGCAGAGCGCTGGCCTGTAGGGACTGGTTCACTCCCTCACAACAGAAAATCTCTACAGCCATACTCAACACCTGTAACAGATTAGCCAGGTATAATGTCATAGGATGCGGGGACAGAAGAAAATCTTAACTGGAATAACATTAGAAAATAAAGGACTTCTTTAATTCAAGCTCATCAGACAGACATTGCATGTTTGGTCTTTTTTTAAAGCATTTTAAAGATCAAGGTCATATTATAAGATAACCTGTGCAATTCTTCCCCCGAGGAAAACAGATGAAAATGGATGTGTATTTTTTTGTGTAATCAAAAAGTGGTGTAATGAGCCTCCTTAAGGCCGAATCTCTATTTTATGTAATAAAAAAACATCATGATTAAAGTTACCTTTAGAAACATCTGAGGATGGTCAGCTCCTATCCTCCTACACAATAACTTGAGGCTGTATATAGATTTACCTTTATAAACATCTGAGGATGGTCAGCTCCTATCCTCCTACACAATAACTTGAGGCTGTATATAGATTCATCTGAGGATGGTCAGCTCCTATCCTCCTACACAATAACTTGAGGCTGTACATGTATATAGATTTACCTTTATAAACATCTGAGGATGGTCAGCTCCTATCCTCCTACACAATAACTTGAGGCTGTATATAGATTTACCTTTATAAACATCTGAGGATGGTCAGCTCCAATCCTTCTACACAGTAACTTGAGGCTGTATATAGATTTACCTTTATAAACATCTGAGGATGGTCAGCTCCAATCCTTCTACACAGTAACTTGAGGCTGTATATAGATTTACCTTTATAAACATCTGAGGATGGTCAGCTCCTATCCTCCTACACAATAACTTGAGGCTGTATATAGATTTACCTTTATAAACATCTGAGGGTGGTCGGCTCCAATCCTTCTACACTGTAAGTTGAGGCTATATATAGATTTACCTTTATAAACATCTGAGGATGGTCAGCTCCTATCCTCCTACACAATAACTTGAGGCTGTACATGTATATAGATTTACCTTTATAAACATCTGAGGATGGTCAGCTCCTATCCTCCTACACAATAACTTGAGGCTGTACATGTATATAGATTTACCTTTATAAACATCTGAGGATGGTCAGCTCCTATCTTCCTACACAATAACTTGAGGCTGTACATGTATATAGATTTACCTTTATAAACATCTGAGGATGGTCAGCTCCTATCCTCCTACACAATAACTTGAGGCTGTATAGAGCTGTCTGTTTTGTGGTCATCTCTGTTTTTTCTGATACACAAACTTTTAGAAGTTTGTCCACAACTCCCAATAAACTCAAATCCTACAATAAATCAGTGTTTAACTGAATTTATTTACTTTATCCAACAATTGCAATCATAGTCATTTTTATTTGACTGGGAAATATTTCTATAAAATCCCCAAACGAGCTATAAACGATACAATCAAAATTTTGTGCATGACGAGTGGTTTCCATGATTGAATTAAGTCCTTACCTCCGAATGTTCCTTCTGCAGTAGGAAGTTGTTGAGGAGCTCCATGGATTTCCTCTGGATGTTAGGGATGGAGTGATCCATCAGTTCCTTTATCACCCTCAGTAACATTTTCTCTGGTAGTAAACCAACCACCTGTAAAACAAAGATGATAAAGTTTGGCATGTAGAAATAATGCTACACCATTGCTACTGAGAACATAACAAACAAGATAACTGTTGCCTCTTTCTTTTGTCACCAGTTTTTAATCTTTAACATTAAATCATCCACTTTGTCATAGCAAGTTAAAAAATCATGAAATGATTGATATCTCTTTTAAACATTGCAAACAGAAAAAGAATTTAAATTGAATAAATTTCAGAAGGTAGAAGTCTGACCTTGTCTAGAAGGTCGTACATTTTGTGGGTCAAGGCTCGGTAGAACTTGGCCAGAGTCTGGTCTTCTGACTTCAGTTCCATCAGACTACAGATGTAGGTCAGGATGGTCTGGATCAGGTGATGGAAGCCCGAGGTTATCTCCCCCTCCTCACAGGCTGACAACTTTAACACAATGAATAAAAAAACCTAGTTAGCAGGAAATAGTTAGATATTACCCATGATCCTTTCAGAGAAGGAATGTGGTCATCTCATTGGTTGAACTGAAAAACTAATGGCAATATTTACCAGTAGATACCAGAACAAGAGACGTCAATAATTACCTGATGAACAAGAGTAGGACTGACACACCAGGACAAGAGAAGCTTGACTGTTCTAAATTTGAAATGCCTCAGTTGTTTAGCTGTGTGGGTCTCCACTTGGAAAATGCCAACTTTTTCCAGTGAATGTTTTCCAGATTTTCTTCTTTTGGTTGTCTCTGAAACAGATTACAATGATAAAATATAATTTCCTACTTGCTCCAGATTTAATACCTATGGCCCTAGAGACTTGAAAAATAGGAACACTGATCATATCAGATTCTTTTTTAATTTACAATCAAGAAACAAGTACAGAAAAAATTATTCCAATAGATATTTATAAAGAGTGGCAACACCATTCATCTTCAGTTTAAAAAGAGAGAGTTGTACTTCTGGAAGAATGGGACATTTTACAGTATTTATTAAGATATTGCCTTTAAATACTCCCTCTTATAAGACTTGCAGTTAGATTGAGATATTTTACCTGTGGGTTTGTCGACTGGCAGTTCTGATACGTAGTTTATCATGGCTGCTATGGAGTTGATTTGTATTGTGATGGAGAACTGTGACAACAAATTCAAGTCAAACTGCACCTCAGAATCTTCTTCCTGTTGGCAGAATATTTTTTTTTTGCTTACATACCTTTTACATCTACTACCCATTTTTCTCTTTGTTTGAGTGAGGGAGGGGGAAGATACAGTGCAATGTACTTCTTATGAAGAGTCAAATGGCACAACTTTTAAAAAATCTGAATGAGAGCTACATGTATGTAGTATCACTTTTCACATCTAGCCTGGGGGCCATAAAACTTAGACTAGCTCACTTTTGATCTCACTTTTCCACTATATATTCCTTTGGTAAAAGTGAGACTGAGATCAAAACTGAGCTCATCTAAGTTTTATGGCCCCTTAGGCCAGAACTGTGGACTTACCTCTACTTTTTCTATTGTTGGTCGCGTGATTTCCTGTGTCATTTTCAGCAAGACACACCTCCACAGGAAGTTGTCTCCTCCCACGATCTCCACCAGGCGGGTAAACAGCATCAGGCGGCGGTGCTCAGGAATGTGGCAGTAGGCATCTACAAACACCTGCATCACCATAGTGATGACTTCCTCCTTACTCTGACCTCCAGTGTGGGCCTCCCGCTTCTCACAGGCCTGGTAATAGAGAAGGTTACACTGACAAATTCTAATATTAATAAGTGCAGAAAAAGAAATTCTGTCAGAGTCTCTGAAATTTCCTGAGAAAGATCAATGGAATTGGAAAGATACCAATATCTGCATGAAATTTCCTATAAGTTAGAGTTAAGGTTACCGTTACTAAGGCTGGCACCACCGTCTCCAGGATACGGTTGATGACATGGAAACTGTACTGGTCGTCATGACGCATGATGTTGGCTCCCATAAAAGTAAACACTGACATCACCTTGTGCAGAAGATCCTCCTGAAAATAAAATACCGTTAAGTTGAATTTACTTAAAATATCAAGAGAAAAAAACTTGTCAATATAACAATTTTATTGGGCTGATATGAATTTTAAGTGTTTGTAAACCTACTGGGAATATTTTGGAGGCGGTGGTCAGAAGCAGCAGGGCTTTATGATGGGTCTGTGGATTACTTGATGTCCTAATGGCATTCACAATCAGATCAATGTTAAACGACGTCTCCTTCTTCAAATCTGTACAAGACAAAAAGTTTATCAGTAAGTCTGACAATCTACGGCAGAATAATCAATACAATACAATGACTTTTATACAGAAGGGTCACCTGGTATCAGGTCATGGTTGACGGCTTTCTGACACACTTCATCAACCACAGACAACAGGAGCTGTTTGATGTATTCAGCCGAGGAGTGCTGGTCTGAATTCAACACCCTACAAAATCCGATAAATTCATATAATAAAGTGTATTCATCATTCAATGTACATCGTAAATGTTAACTATTATTTATTTGTAAAACCCCTTTATTTCCTCCTCTGAGCAATACACTTACTCAGAAAGTATTTTAAATAGAGTAGGCAGCAGTTGGAGATAGTTGCTGATTTTCTTTTTGCTTTGAATTGTCTCCATGACAACCACCACTCGTTGCCATGGCAATTGTTCAAAAATGTCTTCTTCTTCTTTATGAACATCAGACTTCCTTAAATTAAAAATAATTGAAAATCTTATTTAATGCTTTGAAAACAGAAGTTCCTCGAAGAACAAATCGAGTGCACCCTACCTGTGTTTTTTCCGTTCCTTGACGGTCAAAGCTGAGGGTGACGTTTGAAGACATTTGTTCAGCTCCTCTACAACATGGCTGCTCTCCAGCGTCAACTGTTAACAGACAATCAAGACTTAACCTTTATTGTATTTTAAAGGGATAGTATTCAAATTACTGTTTAAAACTAGAATCACAATATGCTGTATAATTCAGCATTACTTACATGTTTGAGTGTCTTCCTGATGACTTTGACTGTCCCTGGACCTGGGGCCTTCACCCAGACATCAAACAAACAGGACAGGATCTGCTGCTGGGTTTCTGGGCTCAGCTTGTTATAAAAGTCTCCTGTCACCTAGAGAAATAAAATCATTTTTTAAGTTCAATTTGGAATAATTTATGATAGGTTTGTTCTGACAATTTTCTCTATAGATTAAAGAAAATACACCTTTCACAGAAGGAAACTGTTTATAGACATATATCCTGTATATTGATTAATTATAGCCTACAAAGCAGTAGTATCATCTGTATGACCTGTGAGATCATGTTTTCCTGTATCTCCTTGACTGGGCTAGCTAACATCTCCAGGACTAAGTTCAGAGCTGCAGGGTGGGAGTCCAGTGTGGAACAGGTGTCTGGGGTGAACCGCTGAATAAGGCACCCACAGGATTCTACAGCCAGGGCCGGGGGACTGTCACCGTGACAGGTAGACAACAGGGACCTCAAGGTTGGTAAAAGGTCACAAAGGAAACTCTACAATACATAAAGGAGTAGGGGAGGAGTCAATCAAAAACATTCAAGTGATGAAGTGAAGATATTCTGAGTATCAAATTCCATTTATATCTGAAGAAATGTACTACAATTATGATGAGCATCTCCAAAGAGTCATCACTGAAGTTGTACAATATAGATAACCTGATATTAAACAAATGATCTATACAGTTGTACTGACTTTGTTGTTGTGTAGCGCTGTGATCTGCAGTAGACTGTTCCTGATGTAGTGAGGCGTGTCTGGGTTCTGTATAACGTCCACAATCACACACCTCAGGCTGCTGTCCACCTTGCCGGAGTGAGATCTCCTCTTACTCTTCCTCGGTTCACTGTCCAGAACAGAACTCACAGCCTGGAGACAAAGACAAATCAAAATCAAATTCTTGAAAAGAGAATCTACATGTACTTTCAAATGGAATGTAGTCACAACTTTTTTTTACGTGACGAAAGAGTAAAATATTATCAAACTCTTTACACAGTTACATTTACACAAGTATATAATATTGAAATTATCCTTGTATGGGTGGGAATGATCAGGTGCATTGTCTAAGAGAAATATCCTATTCCTGTAGGGCCTGGATAGCTCACCTGTCTTAGATAGCCCTGATCTGCATCAATCTCCACCTCACACTGCAGGATGTGGTTCACTAATGGTGTCAAAGCCCCGCGACCAAGATTACCTTTACCAGTGAGAAACTTTAAACACTCCATTGATGTCTGGCGAATTCCAACAAATGGACTGGTTAAGGCCAACACCAAATTTACAATCACTAAAAAATAATGAGTAAACTTATTCAATAATTAATAAAAAAAAATTGTTTAAGAATGTTTATTTCAAATCAATTCCATATCCTTTCAATACACACCAGTATCTGTAATCTTCATATTTTCACTTTGCTGCAGAAGCTGTTTTCCAATAAGAAGAGCTTGAATCTGTAGACTGGTCTTGACCCCTGACCTCTCACTGAGATCGTTACAATGTTGTGTCCACAAAAGTCCCAGGAATTTCAGTTTGTCATTACTGTCAGGGAAATGCTGAAAATCAAACACTAGGTATAAATATACACAGCTAATTACATTCTCTCTCTGTTTTAGTGTTTTACTTTAGCATATAGCTACTGTATTAATTTTTAAATAAAGAACTAGTGCTGCTGTTGATGCTAGGGTACCTGTAGGAACTGGATGACCAGCTTCCTGTAAGCTTGTCTGCAGGGGGAGGTATTGGACAGAAGAAGGAGGTAATCAAACAGCCTCACAGACAAGATCAGAGCATCATCATCAAAGTCCCAGAACTCGGCATCTAAATGAGAATATAAAGAAAATATCTATCTATCTGCTGATAAACAAAAAAGATGAACAACTTTGTTTAGTCTTAAAAACTCACCAATTTTGATGGAAGGGAGAAGTTTTATCAAGTTGGACAGCAGATACAGGCTTATGGAGTTCCCCTGTGTCTGATTGGCCACTAGGGATTGACAAGTGTCTGTTACCATGGTGATGACCTCCTCCCAGTCTACCATTGGCTGACCTTGGGGTCGTAGCTGGTGAAGTAGTTTAAGTTGTTTACCACACCACTGGATCTGGTTTTTCTGTTCAGACATCAGTGGGATGATTGCATTGAGAAACAGAGCTTGATGACATTTGTAGCGAGCGCTGTCACCCCTCCCCTCTAACTCAGACAGAAAATCCTCACAGTCTGGCATCTTAATCACAGCTGAAGCCAACCACTCTGTCACCTCTATAGAGAGCTCCGCCACATCTTCCGCTGACTGTTTCTTCTTGCCAACTGACTTCTTCTTCAACTTTTGAGCTATTGACTTGATCATGGGGTTACTTTTGGCAAGTACTGTGTCACACAGATCCTTCAGAAAGTCAAGGTCATCAGAAGTGCAGAGCAGTAGTCGTGGAAACAGATGAAGAATGACTGAAGAATGTAGATTTGGATCACAGCTACAGAGAACCTGGAGGGCCTTACTTCCAATGTCTGACCAGGGCCGACATCTCAGGACAATATTACACAGCAACTGACAAAGCCGAGTGTTATCACTCAACATGCTCCACAGGGACTGAAAGAAAAAAATGTATCAGTTAATCCCATGATAACTAAATTCATAGTTAAAATGTAGGTTTTATTGAAAATGGGAGGTAAATCACACGCAGACACTAAATGAACACATATGTAGTAATATTGGCATTCACTGACCTGCCCTGCTTCAAGAACAGCATCCACAACTTCCAGTGAGTCGTCAGCGAGTCTTGCTGATAAAACCTCTGATACATACTCACTGTCACACTAAAAGTTACAAAAAAAATCTTAGGATTCTTTATTCAGATTTAGTGAAAAAAATCCTCTTAGCAAATAAACTTATTTCTTAAACATTATAATGAGATAACAACCACAAATTTAAAGATTATTCACAACCCAGGTGCATGTACATAAAGAAATTCTCAATGTTTAAGTACCTTCAGATAAATGCTGCGGTATAATATGTCCTATGATTAAAAACCTTCATATACTGAGCATTCCATATTATTTCTATACTATGCAGAGTAATCTCCCTTACTTTGTCCATGTTTTTCAGTAGATATTGTACCGCACCGACTCGGACGGATGGCGTTCTATGGTTAATGGACAGAGAGAGCGTGCCGTCCATGTCAGACAGATGCTGGTGTCTCAGAGAGAGAACGGAGAGATTCAGGAAATCCTGGATCATCTTCTTTACTCTCTCATCCTCCTCTCCCTCTAACAAATCCTGTACAGCCCTATCTAGTGAGGCAGGGTACCTGTCAAAAATCAACAATAAATGTTTACAGTTCCAGAATCTAAAAGCTAAATGATAACAGATGATAATTGAACACCTGAAAAATTAATTAGTTTTCAGAATTTCTATACAAAGGTATATATAGTTAATTAACATATTCTAAAAGCTAAATGATAATAGATGATAATGGAACACCTGAAAAATTAATTATTTTCAGAATTTCTATACAAAGGTATAAATAGTTAATTAACATATTCTATTTCTATTATTACCTAAGCATCCATGACAGTTGATTTTTATATACATTTAAAGACCTCATTGTTACCTGGCATCCAGGTGAATGACATCAAAAGTCAGTAATCTCATAAGCATCTGAAAGAACCTTCCATGTGATTCCTATGTAGTATGGAAGGGAATTACCGCCAAAAGTCTATGTATCTTGCTTTTATTCTTATTCGGCCTACTTCTTTATGCTTTGTTATTGTTGTAATTATATGTCGCTTTATTGTTTTCATATTCGTCTTTATTACATTTCACTTTGACTTTTATCCTTCTTCATTTTGCCCTTACTTCTATGTTGCTTTATTCTTGTAAATTCATTTTACTTTCTTTTAAATTGATGCAGTTTCTTAAATGATTATCTCTATTACGAACGTGAATTCAATCACACAAAGAATGAAGCATATTCAATGAAGACGAATACAAGTTGTCAAAATTTAGTGCCGCATTATAACGCTAGGTGGCAGGGGTGTTCGCTACGAGTGTTGGTAAAACTAGGTAAGCAAACCCGGGCCGGAGTTATTCGAGATTTTTCAATTTTCTGCCTTAATACTTTATCAATCGAACTTAAATTTTCAAATGATGTTTGTTATAAGTTCAGGTATGTACCCGATAATGCCACTCCCTCGGAAGATGGAAATATTTCCCCTGGAAGACTGTCTACATAGTGATGCTTCCTTTGGAAGATTATACAGTGAGACTTCCCCCGGGGAAGTTTCAATATATAGCTAGTCTTCCGTGGGAAATCTCGCTGTATATAGCAATTCGTCCCCCTTCATAGCAACCCCTCCCCCGAATATTTTTTTTAAATCGTAAAACAATGTTTATATACTAACGTTTTCAGTTTTTGAAGAAAAGTTATCCGTCCTATATGAATAAATTTTTTAATGATATCATTTTAATAGTGGTTAATAATTAAATCATTTTAACCATTTAGTTAAACATAGATAATTTTCAGGAGTATTAATGGATAATGATTTCCTCTCCCCCCCCCCCTCCTGGATGCAGCCACCCCCCCCCCCCCCCCCCCCCCCCGGGTGCAGTCGCCTGCGTGGCACTGTGGTTACGGCGTCTGCTCTAGAGTCACTAAACACAGTAGTAAGGAGTCGATCAATACGTCGTGGGTTCAAATCATAGTCCCACTATGGGACGTGGAGTTCGGTCCTTCGGGTGAGATCTAGACCGTATTATCCGAGGTCCCGTATCGCAGTAGGAGCTGGCCCGAAAAAAAATCCCTCAATGCTCAATGGCTATAAGTGCCGGGTATATAGGACAAATTTGCAGCTCTCCACCGGCAAGAGGTGGCTTCTCCATTTGAGTTTAAAATTCTCCAATTTAAAGGGACGTTATACAATGTACAATCACACCCCCAAGTCTCCATATATATACTGACTTCCGTCTGAACGACCTCCTATGGGGTAAGTTTCACCACATGCGCGGATCTAGAGGGGGGTCGGGGGTCAGCCCCCCCCCCCCCCCCTGGAATTTACAAGGTTAAGAAATGTATATACTAAAGCAAGAAAAAAATTACCTTGGAATCCCCCCCCCGGTAAACATGAATATGTGTGAAATGGGTATGAAAAGTGAAGGATTTGAGGCAATAGAAGTCATAGACTACAACCCCCCCTCCCCCCCCCCCCCCCACACACACACACACCCACCCCAATGAAATAGGATTTTCACGTTTGGGCGAGTTTAGGTTTTGTTGTTTTTGTTTTGTTGTTTTTTTTTTTGTTTTTTTTTGGCTTGTCAAGAAATTTCTGGGATTGAATTTTTTTTTTGACAGGGGTGGACCCTCCCCCTAAAAAAAAATTTCTGGATCCGGGCCAGCACCGGTAGAGGGGAGGGTGGCCACGAAACATTTTCCTAAAAGTAACAGACTTTTTACTACTGGCAAAGTTCAGCGAAAGGCTTGTTGCCCCCATCCCTTACACTTTTTGTTGCAGCACTAATAGTCTATTTATATTTTAAAAGTCATGTACTTAGTGAGTAATATTTGGTACTGAAAAAAGTTGACGAAATCCCCTCCCCCCCCCTTCCCCTTTACCACCACCAAATAGAATTTTCAAGTTTTAGGATTTATACTATGCATACTAAAGATGTTTCTTTTCTTTATTGAAAAGTACTATTTCAACATAAAATATTATAGCAGAAAAGAAGACCGGGGAGTTTCTAGTATGCCTGGGGTGTAGCCTGGTTCCGACTTCGCATACCCATAACGCTCCTCACTCCTTTGCAAAGCCCCGTCCCTAGAATCACACGCATGAGCAGTTATTATTTGTCGTGAAATAAAGTTCAGTTCAGTGAAAGGTCCTGAAAAACAAATCAATTTATAAGGGGTAACTAGTATCAAAATATTTAACATTTTTATGTCAATTAAACTGGAATTCAATTATCCAACAAATAACTTTAATAGAGTTATATTTTTTTCAGGCGAGAGAACAGTGACGTAGCATCGTTTTTAAAAATTCAAGCTAACTGGCTGATAACAACTTGACAAGCAAAAAAAAAAAAAGAAAAAAAAAAACAAGAATAAAAAAACAAGGAAATTGTCCAAACTTGAAAATACATAGGCGTTGGAACCGGGGAGGGGGGCTTAGCCCCCACTTTTCTTTCCAAAGATAGACTTAGAACAGACATTGAACATTGCTGCGTAGGTTTAGCCTCCCCCCCCCCTTTCCATGGACACGATGCAGTATAGGTTTAAAATGGGGAAAGTGGTGGTGTTTTGAAAAAAAAAATTGGCACTGAGGTTCAACCCCCCCCCCCCCCCCTCTCCACGAAATATGATTTTTGTGTTTGGACAGTGGACATTTCTTTTTTTTTTTTTTTGGCTTGTCAAGTTTTTTTTTTGAAGTTCTAAAAAATATTTCTTACACTTTGCCCCCCCCCCCCCCCCCGGGCCCCAACTTTCACTTTGTCCGACGCCATTGAAATCCTATTTCGGGGCGGGTGGGTTTTGGGTTAGTATCAAATTAAATTTTTTCCCTACTATACTACATTAACCTTATTTGAACCTTACCCTTACAAAAAGTGGGTCGGCCCTTCAATGAACATATTCAGCAAATTATATAAAGTTATGTCTGAAAAAAGAGGCCGCTATTCCTGTGTGCCCAGAGAAAATAAATATGGAGTTTCCATCATTGGATCAGTTCAGAAGTTCGATTGATAAAGTATTAAGGCAGAAAATTGAAAAATCTCGAATAACCCCGGCCCGGGTTTGCTTACCTAGTTTTACCAACACTCGTAGCGAACACCCCTGCCACCTAGCGTTATAATGCGGCACTAAATTTTGACAACTTGTATTCGTCTTCATTGAATATGCTTCATTCTTTGTGTGATTGAATTCACGTTCGTAATAGAGATAATCATTTAAGAAACTGAATCAATTTAAAAGAAAGTAAAATGAATTTACAAGAATAAAGGAACATAGAAGTAAGGGCAAAATGAAGAAGGATAAAAGTCAAAGTGAAATGTAATAAAGACGAATATGAAAACAATAAAGCGACATATAATTACAACAATAACAAACCATAAAGAAGTAGGCCGAATAAGAATAAAAGCAAGATACATAGACTTTTGGCGGTAATTCCCTTCCATAATGTAGAACTGAGAGTCTCCTATGCATTAAAGTCAAAGCTTGTTATCTTGAACTCGATGGGATTAAGAAAAAAATTTGATTATAAGAGGTTTAGGGCAAAATATCTAAAGAATAAATGGTTGGGACTTCTAAATCACTTTGACATATCCAGGTATTTGAGATATCAATGTTCAAGATACCAAAGTTCAACTGTAATTACAGTACTCTTCCAAGTAATTACCTGTCTTCCAGAAGTTGCACAGTCTTTTTGTGTTTGTTGCTTAGTTCCTCCACTCCTTCATCATCAATAATGTTATTGGCACTGAGAAGATAATTTTCCATGACTTCCCTACAAAAAAAAGTAAAGAATATTTCAGGGAAAAAAAATCTACTAACCAATTTCTTCCTTTGCATCTCCACAAGTTTTAAAGCCATTTATATTCTGCTTGTTGCTTTGATTTTTGAAGTCTTTTTCATTTAAATGTCAAAGTAAACAATGCACATATATTTGATTAACTGTGCTAGAAGGTATTTTCTTAATTCTATCATTCAGTCATCAAAATTTAAACTCAGGTCAGATACTCACTTTGTGAGTTGGTCTGCAACACCCTCACTGAGTGGCACACTAGACAAGAAATCATGGAGGATACTCAGATATTGGGGGGTGCTCCAGATCGCCTCCGAGTCACTGCTCTCACTGGCACTCATGTCCGAGTCCTGCTGAACCGCCATAACGACAAGTCTCTCCAAAAAGGCCAAGGCTAGTCCATCACAACAACCTTCAGTCGTCAGAGTTTTCAGGGTCTCTATCAACCCTGGCTGTCGACAGATGTGTTTGAAAGATCTGGAGACAGTGTACAATAAATCCATCATTAAACTCTTTATAATGACATTTTTGCTGCATTCAAAGTGAAACAAAGTACCACAGAGGTACAATATACAAAAACTCATAAATTATAAGTACCTTGCTGGGAGACTTTTAATTTTCTGATGTTGAAAAATCAGTGCTGCACAAGTCATTGTTTCTCTTTCAAGTTTCAAGATTGACCTCTTTAGAAAAAAATTTAGATATTGAAACAAATGTGCAAGCAAAACATTTTTTTATTCTTGTCCACAAAACATTAATAAAACACCACAGTTAGTTAATTAACAATAAGTCTACCAAGTCTGGTCTAACCTTGAAGAGAGCGGAGAGCAGGGATTTTAACAGGTCCTGTTGTAGACTACTTTTGAAGACGAGCTGACCGAGTATCATGTAGGTGGCAGCTCTGTACTGCGCGACCTTGGACTTCAGACCCCGGCTAAGGTGGGGGAGCAGGGAAGACACCAGATTCTCAGTGGCACCACCAAACTCCAGTACCCCCACCACCGTGGACATGTAGAAGGAGAAGATAACTCTAAACTTGTCTTCTTCGTCTCTCTTTAATGTTCCCTGTATAAATACGAGGGCCGTTCAAAAATTACGCGGACTTGTTGCACAGAAGAAATATTTGACGACATAATCGGGCAAAATTTCACAAATAATATAAAAGAATCTTTACTTATATGGCCTTCAAAATTTCATATCAAAATGTTGTAAATTGGTATTAATTTTGAGTGATTTTTCAGGACATACCATTAAGTCACGGCGCAGCAAAATCTTCGACGTCACAAGCATTATAAAAAATATGTGATTGAACTTTCATTTTCTCAACATTTTCCCTTGAGTACCTGTATAGTTTGAGTTACCTTATCTACTCAACATCAAAACACCATTTCTTGTCAAGCTTAAAATCTATTAAACAAGTAAAAAATTTTCTTTTTTTGTCCCCCGCTTGAAAAGTGGGGGATATTAATTTGGGTTTGTCCGCCCGCTCTCACGAAATAATGGTTAAGTGACAGTTTTTGTGCCCATTTAAGATTTATGTGACTCTTTTGTTTTATGTGACTGTCACATACAAATTTGATTTTTTTTTTAGCAGAAATGAGTGTTATGTGACTTAAAAAATCATTCTAAAGGAGTGTCACATAAAAAAATACGGACAATATTGTCCGTATATGGACGTCCGTCAAAAAGTTTTGAGATTTACCTCCCGTACCCCATGTATCATGTTTTGCGCCACATAAATTTTTTTGAAAAAGTCACATAAATTTGTCAGTCACATAACCTGCATTTCGTGGGTCCGCCCGTCCGTCCGTCCGTCTGTCCGTCTTTCTGTCTGTCTGTAACGCTTTCGTTTCCACACGATATCTCGAGAACCCTTTGAGCTTTTGCAATGAAATTTAGCACAGCAACTCCCTATGGACTAAAGAAGACCCCTATTGATTTTGAGGTCAAAAGGTCAAAGGTCAAGGTTATAAATAAGCAAATTCTGTCTGTTATAACACTTTCGTTTCCACACGGTATCTCGAGAACCCTTTGAGCTATTGCAATGAAATTTTACATAACAACTCCCTGTGGCCTAGGGAAGACCCCTATTGATTTTGAGGTCAAAAGGTCAAAGTTCAAGGTCGTAAATTTATTCATTCTGTGTGTGTGTAACACTATTATTTTTGGGCGATATTTCAAGAAGATTTTGAGCTTATGCAATGTAATTTTATACCAGAAGTCCCTAGGACCTCTCTCGACCCTCTCAAAGTGCCCCGCCCCGTTTGTTTTATTAGTATTTATAGTATTACATGTCGCTATTTTTAGCACAGGGGCATGCGGAGAGTTATTTCGCATAAAACAGGTTCTCGGCGGACTTTATGTTCTTATAACATCTATTAGAACTGTTTAATAAAGGCTAAATAAATCAAACACCATGGATTGTATAAAATTTTGACAATATCGAGCATGAATATATACAGGTATGTGACTTCACTTCTGCATATACGCAACGACATTTAAAGCGCCTCCGTGGTCTAGTGGTATGTCTCCCGTTTCATAAGTGAGAGGTCCCGGGATCGAGTCTCGAACGGTCCTGTTTTTTTTTTTTTTAATTTTCTTTTTTTTTTAATGATAGTATTCAGCATGTGAACAGAAAAATTTATGAGGTTATAAAATCATTATTACAGTGTGATAAATATTCCATATAAAAAGAATCTTCTATACACATAATAGAGAATAAGCAATCTAATCTTTATACGCATATTGACATAAATGTATTTTATTTGCATCAGTATACATGTATACATTTAATAATTCTACTAATTCAGTCAGGGGGATCCGACTTTTTCCCTAAGCGGGGGACACGAATTCTCTGAATTAGCTTGTTTTTTTTGTTTTAAAACCAAAAACTACTTATGAGATATAGTTTGATATTGGTGACTCTCAATCACGTTCTTTACAGTCCGGATAAAGTTAACTTTTCGTCTATAATCTTCTTCCCGTCCTCCCGTATAGCCTTTTTACAGAGGTCTAACTGTCTAAAATTTCAATTTGCTATTTGTGGGCGAATGTCACGAGTAGCCTAGTTTACTACATGTTTTATTATGCATATTTTGGATCTATGTTGCCGATATCCCGAGCATTACACATATTTTAACAAAAGTGTGGTGCGCCGTCAATTCAGGAGACGTCATTTTCACAGTCGTTTTCACGGGAATTGCTTCAGAGAAAAATTACTATATTTCCGTTAGTACTTCAAATATAACGTCCGAAATCTAAATACATAATAATAGAACAATTTAAAGGTACATTTGAGAAAATTGTTGAAAAATATCGCGAATTTTAGAAAATCAATGAGTTAAATTTTTGAATCTGCATGCTTTTGCTTCAATTTTTTTGTCATGCGCCGTACCTCTCCATCAACGATATCAATATACCGATAATTTTAGTAGATTTTTTTTAAAATACAGAAATTTTGCCAAAAATTTATTGGAATCTTTAAGATACATATTTCTGTGAAATTTTATAACTATTTGACGTCTGTAAGAGTAACTAATAGCACAGTCCGCGTAATTTTTGAACGGCCCTCGTATATATATATTTAATTTAATAACATGTTCCGCTGCAAATAATTGTTTTGAAAATTACATAATCTACAAAACTGAAGCATTTACATTTATAACTGATTAACTGAGATACCACACACAAAATTCTCTTCTTTTAAATCATGCTTCATTTAATTAAATGGTAATTACTTTTGACGTGACAACTTTCATAATTAATAATTCAAGTTTAAAATGATCCTTCCATCAAAAAAAGTAGATAAATATTAATCACCTTGATGGTTTTGTAGATTTTATCACACAAAAAGGAAAGGAATCCGATATTTGAATTACAGTGATTGATCAAAGTTTGTCTTGGCAGGTGAACACCAGAGGACTAAAATAGAAAGGAAAGAATTAAATGATGACATCTTCAGCTTTACTTTACAACATTACAACTTTATATAAGCTTGAAACCTATACTCGATATTCAATTAGTAATTGTAATACATGGAATTTGGTAAAAATCTACAAAGAAGATTTCACCTGAATAGGGAGAAGCCAATCCCATTTTGTGGCTGTTTTGGATTTAAGCTTCAGAAGCTGTACAGCTCGTATAAATATCTTGCTTTCGTGAAATGGTAGCAGACAAACCATGAAGGCATCAATATTATACACATCAATATCAAACCTACAAAAAGTCAAAATTTTTATAATTATTTTCATAAATGAAATCTTCTGATTCATTTCTATCTTTTATATATTTATCACAAGACAATACTTTATCAGAGATAGTTCATTACTCGTAATTCTGAATATTAAGCTACATGCCTGTAAATTAACCACTCTAATGCTTTCTGTGCTGGTTTAAGAAGACAATAGGGAGACAACTTCTGTAGAAATGATTCAATAGTTTCATCTATTTGTGCATTAACTTCAGCGGTTTGAATGCTTCTCTGGAAGGACATGGTAGATTCCCCAAACAAAATCTCTTGGAACTCATCAAACACTGGATCAATGGCCTGTAACTCCGCTATCCCATTTGTACCTGAATAAAATAAAATTCTCATACACACATCTGCTTAATCTACTAGTATTCAGGATTTTGAAAAATTTTGTTATACAGATTTACTTGCAATAGTTACAAGCTCTGATTTCCATTCCGCTTTGTGTATTAATCAGACATAATTCAGCTGAATAACCGAAAGTTATACTATATATGTTTAAAATAAATAGCCCCTTTTTAAAAATCTAATAATCTTTGCACTTTCTTCAAAATTTTGTGATCATAAAACAACACCAATATCTAAATGGATACATCAGACTCATCTGAAGCCCACCCCCTTCCAGCAGGTCATCAAAGTAGCCTATGATAATACTACATCATATTCATGATATATGATAACATATTGTCAAACCTATGGCAAAGACAGCTTCTTTGTCCAGTGCTGCTGCCTCCCTGGGATCAAACAGGAGTGATTTCCTCCTTTTATCTTCTCCATACACAGCTCGCGTATGTGGCACTGCTAACCTCTCTAACTGCTTAGCCAATGACGTCATGATTCTGAAGCAGATTTGAGGATATCTAGTACATTCAAAGGCAAAAAAAAAAAAACACTTTTAAAAACATCAGCTACACTAATTTCTTCTGTCTACACATAAAAAAGGATTTACTACAGATCTCTCTTTTCATCAATGACCAATCTAGGAAATTAGGCTGGACTGAGGACATCGGCCTGGATAGCTCAGTGGTTAGAGCACCTGAAATACAGGCGTCCCGGGTTCGATTCCCGGTCCAGCCGTATGTTGTCAATATATATGTATTTATAAATTTTCAATGTATGTTTACTCATTCCTCCTTTCCATACTACACCTTGTACAGCTGTTTTATGGAAAGTTAAGACAAAAGCCACAAAAACCAAAGAACTGTTTAAATCAAACTACCTGTCTAAAGTCACAATAAAACTATGAATTAACGTTATAATTACCTTTTTATTAGGTAATACACCTCAGCACGTGTAAATCTCAGATCACATTCTTGCTGGAAATTGCCGTCGCTCTGTAAATGGGAGAATGACTTCTGTCCAGAAATCCGAATAAAAGTGAAGTCTCTTATTATAATTCTATTATTGTTATTAAATCTAAATTGTGTGCTAATTGTAAACTTTTTATGTTAATTATTTAACTTCTAAAAAGCTTTAATGACTGTCGGGAATAATGAAAAATGTTGCCCCACGAATTGGAAAGGTACAACTTGTCCCATAACCAATACGCCAGACAAGATGGCGGAGGAAGGGGAAATCGACATCGAAGGGGACTTTGAATTTAAATTAGAGTGAGTTACTAACGAAATTTATAGAAAGTTCACACTTTTCATGGAAAGATGCAAAATTTTAATTATTTTTCTTGAGACAGCTTTAAAGTTGTGACATGTTCAGGTTGTTTAATTATTGAGTCAGTTTATGGCTTTTGTCCCAGTTCTTAGATAATTTGTATACAGTCCATATTTTAAGTAACATGCAAAGAAATTCTTATTTTTGATTTTTATTTTAATTTTAACATGAGAACGATATTGATAGTTGTTTGACATGTTAAAAATAATAACATGAGACACTGAGACCAATAGTCCAATACATTTCAATTAGAAAGAACGTTCTATTGTTAAAATGATATTGTCCTATGGACCCAGTTTAACGATAGAATTCGTGCCATGTATTCATATTGTAGCAAATGAAACTTGGTCAATAATGTGGTAGAGTAAGATACATGGCATCCTACTAGCTTGGGCTAGTGGGTTAACCTTTTAGCTCAATCGGTAGAGCACTGGACTGGCAAGCCAGAACTGCCCAGAAGTCCTTGGTTCGATCCCCAGCAGAGGCAATAAATTGTCTCTGTTACATTTGGCGCCCACGTTTGGACCAAGATGTTCTCTGGCAGGTGAGAGTGATTGCCCCTAGAACTTTGCCCCACAGGTGTCGGCACTCCAAAAGAAATGAGCACATCTCATTCTCTATAGGGGGATAATGTGGTGGAGTAAGATACATGGCATCCTACTAGCTTGAGCTATTGGGTTAACCCTTTAGCTTAATCGGTAGAGCACTGGATTGGCAAGCCAGAGGTCCCGGGTTTGATCCCCAGCAGGGGCAGTAAATTGTCTCTGTTACAATAACTCGTACTCAATGCATTCACTATGAACAATTCAGAGAGTTCCGAATGTAAACATGGCTGGTAAATTTGAAGCGAGAAAAATCTTCGTGAGAAAATTAGTTGAATTTTTATCTTCAGATAGGTTATTTTGGGGGATAAAAGGCATATACAATCTCAAAAAGGTTTGTTTTGATTAATTTGGTAATTATTTTTTAGCTGAATCCCTTTTGTATTCTTCAAAATTATTTTGGAGAGCAGGGCTCGACATTAACTTTTTTTTCCTACTTGTCCATTCGGACAAGTGACCAAGACATTTACTTGTCCGAAATTCAACTTCACTTGTCCGAAAATTTTCAATAAAGTTCAATAGTTTCAACTTGAAAATTAAAATTAAGTCCATTTATTTACACATGTCATGCGCTTGCTTGATTCTTGATGTTATTGTTACAGACAGATAAAACGAAATCTAATTTAGGCTTTCTGTCCTGACAATAACATAAATGTCCACAAGTGAAACTGTCAACATCAAACAATATTCACTACTTCGGTTCGTATCTTCCATGACTTTTCAGTGCAATTATAGTGAACTTCGATCCCGATCGAATGTGAACTCAATATTAATATAGCGATACATATTGGGATCGAAGTTTGGATTTTATGTACAGCTTCCGTCTTGAGTTGAGACTACCGATTTAGCTTTCAACAGTCGTTCTTTTTATTATTTAGAGACTCCTTTACATTAAAATGCACTTGTCCAATCGGACAAGTGCCCAGCAATATTCACTTGTCCGAATTTATTTTTCATTGGTACCAGACAAGCGGACAAGCGTTAATGTCGAGCCCTGGAGAGAATCTGCTCCAATTTGCTACAATGCAAGTATATGGCACATATTCTAACTGTGGTGAGAGCTTGTCCCAAGGCATAGTTAGATTATTCTAACTACATTTCAACATGTTCAAATGAATTTTGAACTTTATAAAACAATATGAGATGTAATTTTGATGTCTAAATTTTTTTTTTGTAATTAACTATTTCAGGGGAAAGGAACATTTATAAATTTCAGATTTTAATATTTAAATGGAAAAACTGTTTTTTAAGCATTTTGAAATTAAATTTTTGTTGACCTGTACACTATTGATTCATTATATAATTCAATAATATCTATTGTACATGTCTTTCTTTAGAAACAATTTAATCCATTATTTAAGCCTAATTGATCATAATGATTTATATTACATCCAATTTCAAACTTATCAATTTAAATGCACATTTTAAATAGCAAAATACAATTCTCAAAAATGCAGCTCATATTGCTATAACTGGTTTCTTTATTGTTCTTTAACTACAATGTATAATTGAAGTTTAAATCTGTTTTGCAGTGTGGACAATGATATTTATGATGAGCTTCCTTCCAAAAGTGCCAACTTGCTGCCAGAATACACAAATCCTGCCTGGATGCTGGAGCAGGTAAGTAGACAAAATGTGTAGGCTTGTTTTGTTTGATAGATTGTTAGGTCACCTGAACTGAAGATTTGAATGGGCTTTTCTGATCACCTGTAAGTTGTCTATATCCATCTGTCAATACTCCAGAACCACTTGACCACTTTCAGCCAAATGTACATTAAAACATCCTTGGGAAAAGGGAATTCAAGTTTTAAAAAAAAAAGCCATACATATAGTTTTTTTTAAAGGGAGATAATTAAGAATTATACACTGTTGCTTTAAATTTATACTTTTAGTCTTTATCATGTTTATAAATAGTTTTCAATTGATGCATTTCCAAGTGCAATATTTTTTATGTTCCAGGGCTGGACAATGGACACCTTTGATGAAAAATCAAAAGCAACAATTGAAAAAATGCTTCAAGAGGAGCAGTATCCTTTTCATTCTTTTAAAGTGTCAGTCCTATACTAATTCAGCTTGTATTGTCGGCACATTGAAATTTGGTTCGTTGTATATGATAATGATATAGATATAAAATTTGTACCAGTATATATAATTATAAGGTATATGACAGTAGATTTCCTTAATTCTTACATTAGTTATTATACCAGTGGAAAGGGAAGTCCTCGTAAAGTAAAGAATCAAAGGCTTCTGTCCAAAAAGTCACAAATACAGAAACAGCCATGGACAGAGGAGGAGAAAGTCATGTTTGAAAAATATCTGGTAGGGAGAACTTATAATTATGCATGCCATATTTTATTGTTTTTCTTGTAAACACATTCCAAGGATACTATACACAATGTTAAGATTTAAGACAAAGGTTTTTTTTTCATTTGTATGTGGCCAAAAGAAAATACATGTAATATACTAGAATGAATGTTTTAGATATGTTGATCAGTCCTGTTTTTTAATTAATTGTAGGAAGTATTTGGTCGAAGCTGGTCTAAAATTGCAGAGCACATGCCGAGTAGGACTGGTCTACAAGTTAAGAACTACGCTCAGCAGTACTTCAAACAGAAAGTAATGTCATGCTTAACTGTCATATACATTTGATTATCAAATATTGATAACTGTCACAGTCTACACATAAAATCTTTTTAATTTACTTTTTTTGTTGATGGGTTTCACTTCTAAATCTGTTGAATAATTTTTTCATTAGGATAGAATGATATTTTTATTATAGGCAAAAGAAGAGAAGAAGACCATTGAAACTGATGTCAATAAACCATCTGTGCCTTCCACAGCCGAGAATAAGGATGACCCAATCAAAGATGTCCTCTCTCTAGTCACGACTGCACAAACAACCGTTATCACGGTGACCAAGCCAAACAACTCTTCTCCAGACAAAAACAGCATGTTAGGGAAAATGTTGATAAATCATGGAAACAAGAACAAAAATAAAAACAAACTAGAGGTTCAGCTTTTCCAGAAAATGCAGAGAGCAAAAACTGAATCACATGGTCAAAAAAGGGAAGCAATGAAGAAAGAATCAAAATCAGGGAGTAAAACATCAGGTGCCAAACAAAGAAAGATAGATAGATCATCAGAAACACAGGGCCAAGTACAGATAAGCGTCAAACCTGCTCCTAAGACAATTGTCTCACAGCCAGAGGCTGAGACTGCGAACCTTGCCACACCATCCTCAATGGTGAGTTTACTGGTCACAGCTACCTCCAGCGGGGGCATTGGTCAGCTTAGTCCATCTCTAGAATCTCGTCTTCAGCAGTCGACGGGGGTGATAGAGAATCTGGACGGATTCTGTGCCGTGGCAGACATTGTGAAGGAGGACGAGGATGAAGATGGAGAGATAGACATTGAAAATGAGGATGAGGAAAATCCAATCCTCAAATCTCGATCAGCTTCCCCCAACTCAGTGTATGAACAACTGGTCCGAGCGGCCAATCTCAACAAAACTCCAGAAAAAGGAAAGTACAAAGAGAGAAGTGAGGAGAAGCCCCCAGATGGTGAACCAAATCAAAGCGATGCTGTCTCTGTCCTTATTGATGAGAAAGAGGAGGAAAATATACATAACACAGAGAATGAAGTACCAGAATCTCATAGGCCAAAATCAAGTGAGTATTCTTGCTGTAAAAAGGTCTAAAGAAACAGAGACCCTAAGATATACTGGGATATATAAATTTAGATTAACCATTCTGTTTTAGTGAGAATAACTCTTGAAAACCATTTAAAGCTCTCTTCTTAAGTAAAGTTTTATGATTTTTGTTTTTGGACAGATAATTTCATAGTTTTATGGAATGGAGAGTACCTGGATTTGCCCATACCTACACAGGAAGCCCAGATTGACCCAGATACTATAACAGAACAGGAGCACCAAATTCATGCCGACTTTTTTGATGGACGGCCCTCTAAAACTCCAGAGCGTTATTTAAGAATAAGAAATTACATTTTGGAAACTTGGTAAATATTTGAAATGATAAGTTATAAAAAAAAAATTTTTTCTGTATACAAGTATAAAATAATTTCTGTGATTCACTGTTTTTGCTTCTGTTGGAGAAAAACAAATCTCTTTTAAAAGAAAAAACTTTCAGGGCAAAATGTAAGCCTGGATACCTGAACAAAACCTGTGTTCGGCCGGGATTGAAGAATTGTGGGGATGTCAACTGCATCGGAAGAATTCATGCTTTCTTGGAGTGTACAGGAGCTATTAATTTTGGATGTGGTAAGAATAACTAAAAATCTGTAATTACCTGGTTTTGGGGCATCAAGTGTTCACTTCTGAGAAAATCTGATTAAAGATAAAAATTCAGAATATTTTCATCAAGATTTCAAAAGATTTACTATATACTTGTATATTAGTTTTATGTTTCTGTTGTTATTTAGAACAAGCTTGTTACAATCAGGCATCTAAAGTAGGACCCCAGGTATCCAGAGATAGAACCCGAGAAGCCATAGTCAAAGTCAACTTCTCTAAACTAGAGTCCATGGTAGGTAGACAAAAATATTTCTGGGGACTTGAATGGAAATTTTACATTATTGTAAGTACATGTATATGTTCATTTGATAAAATGTTAAATCAAACTGGATGAGAATAACGATGTTGTTTGGTTGCAGCGACCAAGAAAAAGAAGAATTAGAAATGAATATGGGCAGTGGGTTGATGAAAAAGAATTACAGGGCAAAACTATACAGGTAATTACATTACCCCAATATGATGAAAAAGAGTTACTGTAGAAGTACTTTTCTGCGTGGTACATGTATAATTTATGCTATGTACGCAGTTACAAATTTTCTGGGGAAATTTGTTTAAGCGTGCTTTATATATAAATGTAAGACATTTAGTGAAAGTCTAAGAAATCAGTGTAATTTTCTACCCGCGGATTAAACAGAAATTGAGAATTATTACCCCATAGAACAAAGTACGTCTACAGAATAATGCATTAACTAAGTGGAAAATGAGTATGGCCAATGCATTGGCCATACACATGTAAAGGAATGAAAGAAACTGCAAGCAAAAAGTACACATATAATGAGAAGACAAGTACTTCAGGAAAAAAATGTTCATGCTTTAAATTGCCATAATCTTAAAAGTTTATTTTGAAACCAATGAACTTTAGTTTTGTATTTTAGCATCAAGATAAAGTTTCTACCAAGGAAAGCCCTGGAAAGGTGTCAAGGTCACCCAAGGTCCAAAGTCTTGACCCTTTCAAACTTATACCTTGTCAGAATTTTTCTCAAGAGAGACCAGTAAGTCATTATTTTCACTGTGTGTTGATTGGATTATACATGTAATATATAAATGACACACTATAAAATAATAATGCCACCTCTCTTTCAGGCCCCCTTCTACGTTGAAATACACAATACAGCTCTAGTGATAATGGATATTCATGCTCATATATCAAAGACAGAGGTGATAGGAATGTTAGGAGGTTGTTACCATGATGATGACCAGCATCTAGAGATTACCATGGCGATTCCCTGTAACAGTATCAGTACTGGTCTCCAGTGTGAAATGGATCCAGGTAAGTCACTGGAAGCAATCCAACAACTACTGTGGTCAACTGCAGCTTATAATATGGCTGTTTTCAGTTCATTAATTGTTTCCACTTGAGCAAAATGCTTTAATATTTTTAATAACACATTTGTTTTCCTACAGTGTCTCAGACGTTTGCCTGTGAGGAGATCAGTAACAACAGAATGAATGTCATTGGCTGGTACCATTCCCATCCGACCTTTAACCCCAACCCCTCAATACGGGACATCGAGACTCAGCTCAAATTTCAGGTGAGATTATGTGGTCAGGTTAACTCCAAACATTACAATACATTTTGTATGATGTATAGTCTAGGAGAAAGAAGTCAATTCAGTCAAATAAGAGAATTGATGTAGAATTTTTTTTTGTGTGTGCTTTATTTGAACATTATTTGATATGGGATTCAATAAAGTTTATTGGTAGTATACAAAGCTTTGGAGCTATAACTGGATATTTCTGTTCTTACAGGAGTACTTTGCCCAGGATGGTTTTTCCTTCCTCGGTGTTATAGTCAGTCCGTACAACAGAACCTGTATGGGGCTGTGTTCAGAGTTCCAGTGCCTGACAATCAGTTCAGAGGTCAGCCCACTGGACAAGTGCAGTAAGTCGTCCTCTCGTAAAACTCGGAAGAAAAACTAAGATTATTAAACTGTCATTAAAATTGTAAGAAAACTTTTCTATATTTTAGATAAACTTGTAGACTTTTTTAGATAAATTTGTAAAAAAGAAAAAATGAAATAAACTTGTAAAAATAATTATGAGTAAAACTTAAAAATTTTTTTGAGCTTTAAGTTCAGGAGAATTATTTTGTACCGGAAGTTAATATACAGGAAATACCTGTAGCACCCTACCCCGATAACTAGTCTCTCCTACTATGTGTACTGACATTCATTCCACCTTGTTTTTCTACAGATATACCATTCTCATTTAACTATGGGATGATCATGCAGCCCTTACAGTCGGAGTTAGTGATACGCAGTATTAAAACGTTAGCTGAGAAGTACAGTCAGGATAGACACCGCGTAGAACTCTTACAGCCATATCTGGGCACCACGTCATGTCTCGACAAGGTAGCATTGTCTTATCAATACCCGAGATTTTCCCATTGATTTAACTCAATATATCTTTGTTGTTGTGGTAGTATTTCTTCTGTATTTGATATCGAATTGATTACAGTTGATCAAATAAACAGATACATAGAATTGAAACATTTTGATCTACATGCAGTCTACAGTGTTCCTGCTAATGCATTTTAATGTATTTATACTGGTAGTCTGGAAAATGACCAGTTATTATACACCATTTCTTTTAAACTGGGATCAAACCTCAGTTCTTTTGAGAGTAAGTTGATGCATTATGAATTAATTTCCTGTGACACTCAGGTGTTGTATGAGATTGTCATTCTATTGTAGATGCTTGAGTCCCTGAAAGATTCCCTTGAGCCAAACTCAGATGAGTCCACTCAGTTTGTTGAGATTGTCAGAGAGATTTTCTCAGCAGCGTTTACCTCTGAGAAAGACATTCAGAGTCAGATTATAGAGTTACAAGAAATTACAGTCAACACTCAGTCTTGACGCATGTTGAAAAATCTATAAATCTGTTCTTCTTGTATTTGTTTTGCATAGATAAATTGTAAGGGACTTGACCGACTGAAATGCAAGTAATAAACTTGTATTTCTTACTTTTGGTACAAGATGATATAACTGTCCAAGACATTTTATAAGTTGTTCATTCTGGTTGAGGTAATTGTTTTTCCAAGCTTATTATTACTTTTTTTAAAATACGTTTCGTAGTTGCTTTGATAAATTTATTTCTTCTCATGTTTTGTTTTAAATCAAAAGATAAAATAGTAAAACAGAATCTAGATGTTTCTTGTAATTTTGGTTCAAACAATAGATAAGGCATGGCACCAGGATCATGCTGCAGTTTTAGCTTCTGCCAAATTTGCATTCCTACTACACCTTAGTCTGCCATGTCTAAAATAAATAAACTGTCAAAATATCTGGAATCATTTGTAGCTTTTGAAACAAAACACTGTTGAGCTCTTCAGAATGAAAAAATGATTTCAATGAATGATGTTCGCCTTGGTTACTAAAAATAGAAATTTCTGTGAAATACTTTTGAAATGCTACTCCTCCCACAATTTTGGTCTGATTTCACTATAAGTTGGCACACAAGTAGACTACACTAAGATACATAATTCTGTATATCATTTTTTTATTTCAATAAAGGTGTTGCCATGATTACTAAAAATAGAAATTTCTGTGAAATACTTTCAAAATGCTACTTCTCCTACAGTTTTGGTCTGATTTCAATATAACTTGGCATACAAGTAGACTACGATACATATTTCTATTTTATTGGTTTTTGATTTCAATGAACATTGTTGCCGTGGTTACGAAAATTGAATTTCTTGTAAAATACTTTAAAAATGCTACTCCAAATACAGTTTTAGTCTGACTATAATATAATGTGGCATGCAAGTAGACTACAATGAGATACACAAGTGTCTTTTTTGTTTCTTTGATTTGATGAATGATGTTGCCATGGTAACTAAATTTGTAAATTCTGTAACATTTCATTTCAAGCTACTCCTACAGTTGTAGTCTTATTGCAAACTTGCCACAAAAAGGACCACTTTTCTCTTCCTTTGTTATAAGTACAAACCAGTAGAGCTACAATCTCAACAGAGACTTTTAGTTGTCAAATTTTTGTCCCACAGACTATGCTGTTAAATGCTATTTTTTTTGGACAATCAAAGGCATTTAACCAGAGTTTGAAATGAATTAACAGAGGATTGGTGAGCTTCACGAACGTTTTAATCACTTACAAATGAAGAGTTCAATGTATAACATATCTGAAATAGATCCCATCTTAGCTGCCATTTTCAGCAGGTTGCATATTTGTTCATTTATGATGTAAATTTCTCTTGTTGAACTCGATTTGAGGCGAAGATTTTGTAAAATAAAGGCCATGTCTTGCAAAACAATGGCAGTAAGGTTTTGAATTGTAAGAAACTCAAACTTTTTCAAGTTTGAATGTCTTACAATGCTTATTGCTTCTAAATGCTTCCAACATGTATTTAAATGTGGAATGCGATGAGAATTAACTGTTGCAATTTCAGTAAACATTTCAACATCAAATTTTGTCTCTGAAAGGAGATGTTATTATACCTTTAAAAGATTGTTCCTTTACAAATCTATACAGAAAAAAGTCTAACATTTTTAATGTTTTGCTGAGCGGGCATAAAAAAATTGATGTTGGACCGCTGAGTGAGATGTTGGACCGCTCGGAGAGATGTTGGACCGCTTACGTCACAGAATGGGCGGAGCTTAATCTCATTTTCATTCTTTTGTTTTAAACAGTGACAGATCTAATGTTACATTACGGAATATAGTACAAAATACATGTATGTCAAAAAATATATAATAAAATGAAAGGTATAACAAAACATTTATTGACAGAGTTCTCGGGCAAAACGCGTTTTGTCGGACCCTCGAACCAAACTGTCTGCCTTCGGCCTAACGGCCTCAGGCAGACAGTTTGGTTCTTGGGTCCGACAAAACGCATGTTGCCCTCGAACTCAGTCAATAAATGTATAATGTTCTTCTACGCAGACAAAGCTTCTAGGATGGTGAAGAGCATGTAAAACGTAAAATCTTATGGCTGGAATGTCTTGAAGGGATACAACTCCTCTCTCATACAGCCCCGTAAGCCTCATAAGTAAGGTTTTCTGCGCATGTCCATGGATCTTACCGAGAAACGTTATTTTCTGGAATAAAAAAGTTAGGACAGACCCCGTCATACACCCATTTAAGGATCGTTTTAAAGCAGACCCAAAAACATTCTAAAAGATTTTGCGAAGACCAGCTAGGAACCATGTTTAGCTGGATAACCCAGAAAACTGCTGTTTCATGTGATAGGAGCAGAGTAACTTTTCCTCTGTTTCACTGTTTATAACGTCTTTCAAGAACAGTTTTAGTAAAGCATACGTCAAAAACAGACAATGGTTCATCGAGTATACAAGCTTCTGCTCCGCCAAGGAGAAGGATATCCTCCATTCCTTGTCTTCGTGTTCGGATAGCTTGTTTCCAGTTGCTACCAAATGGCATCCACTTTTAACTATATCTTGAAGAACACGAGATTCTGGCCAATGTGAACTTCTGGTAATAAAGGAAGAAGCAGTCGGTGGCCAAATGTCGCATGTCAGGCACTGTGCAGCATCGCATTCCATTCCGCCAATCCCATAAAAACCGCTACCACACGGACCATGAACGTTAGAGAAGGGAAATACTTTGGAACAAGTAATCTGTCTGTATAATGAGCTAGATATATAATATCTATGTATGAAAATCCACAAAAATGAGCAAAACATAGTTTCACAGTCGATAAACTAGGTTTATCGGTTGTAAACTATAGTTTACGGACTGTCAACTATAGTTAACAACGTTAATCTATATTTTACATCTGTAAACCATAGTTAACGCAAAAATCTATGTTTCACAACCGTAAACTATACTTAACATCGAAAACAATCATTTGTGATTGCAAAACATAGATTATCTGATAAATACAGTTTCACGATTTGTAAACTATAGTTTACAAACCGTTAACTATAGTTAACGATCTGATAAATATAGTTTCACGATTTGTGAAACTATGATTAACAACTCTTAACTTTACATGTAGTTTACGATTGTAAACTATAGCTTACAAACGTGAATCTATGTTTATCAACAAAATCTATTGTTAACGCTTTATTCCGACAGATAAACTTAGATTATCATTCGTAAACTATAGTTAACAACCGTTAAATATAGTTTTACAGATGAAAACTATACTTAACGAATCGTTAACTATACTTAAAGAATCGTTAACTATAGTTTACGGTTTGTAAACTATAGTTTACAGTCGATAAACCTAGTTTGTGAATTTGGCGTGCCATAAATATCTGTTTTTCATTTTGACACATGACGATATGATTTCTATGGCATGCCAAATTCACAAAAATGAGATAATCATGGTTTCACAGTCGATAAACTAGGTTTATCGGTTGTAAACTATAGTTTACGGACTGTAAACTATAGTTAACAACGTTAATCTATATTTTACATCTGTAAACTATAGTTAACGCGATAATCTATGTTTCACAACCGTAAACTATACTTAACACCGAAAACTATTATTTGCGATTGCAAAACATAGATTATCTGATAAATACAGTTTCACGATTTGTAAACTATAGTTTACAAACCGTTAACTATAGTTAACGATCTGATAAATATAGTTTCACGATTTGTGAAACTATGATTAACAACTCTTAAGTATAGTTTACGATTGTAAACTCTAGTTTACAAACATGAATCTATGTTTATCAACAAAATCTATTGTTAACGCTTTATTCAGACAGATAAACTTAGATTAGCATTCGTAAACTATAGTTAACGACCGTTAAATATAGTTTTACAGATGAAAACTATATTTAACGAATCGTTAACTATAGTTTGGGTTTGTAAACTATAGTTTACAGTTGATAAACCTAGTTTATCAATTGTGAAACTAGGTTTATCTCATTTTTGTGAATTTGGCGTGCCATAGATTTCTCTCAGGAAACCTGGATATGATGGCGTTAATAGCTGAAGTAAAACAAACCCAGGAGGACTCATCTGAAATTCCGATAAAATCAGTGTTTTACTATGTAGGGTATAGTACTGAATCTGACACAAGTTCCATATGACTCTGTTATCTTTTGGGGAGAACATCCAATCCATATCAGACGAAGCAAGTCTGAATCCCTCCTTTCGACTTCCACTCCACATTTCGTAGTTGTCCTCCTCTTTGTTTACCAGATTTGTAATTCTCTGTCTAATGTCCCATACCCCCCTCCTCATGGATATTTGATATGAAGTCCCTATGTAACGGCACAACCCCACATAAACAGATTCCGATATAGGTTGGGAGTCCATTGCTCCTTCAAAGATAAGAAGTACGTGTCTTCATACATTTTAGATGCTAAGTTTCTAAATAATGTGCTTTTCAGATATAGGTCTAATAATAAAAATAAAGGTACGCCCAGGAAATAGAAAAGGCTTCAATGGATTATTTCTATAAATAACATACTATATTTTGAAACTTGATAAACCTAGTTCAGATTAGGCATACAAGCCTTTGCCTTTAATTTTCACAGCGAACACACTTCATACGACACTTTCATATCCCTTTAAAGAAAGGTGTAAACCTGCAACAAAAGAATTCTTGAAATTTTATTACGTCAGCCTTCTTGGAATTAAGAAAAAAATGACATGTTTGTATTTAAACATTTTGCATACATTCACAGCATAACAATAATATTGGGTGCGTTCACAGTTCTACCATTATAGTACCAACTTTCAAGTTCAATTGGCTAGATAAACATCAAGAGGCATTTGACAAATTGAAAGAAGCTATGTTAAAAGGAACAATATTAAACCACCCAGATCCCGAAGAGACTTTCATATTAGATACTGATGCTTCAGATAAGAGTATAGGAGCAGAATTAAGTCAAATTCAAGATGGCATAGAAAAAACGATTTCCTTTGCTAGTAAAGTTTTAACACCACAACAACGCAAATATTGTACAACTAGGAAAGAATTATTATCTATTGTTGTTTTTACCAGACAATTCAGAGATTTTTTATTAGGAAGACCTTTTGTTATTAGAACAGATCATAACAGTCTGATTTGGTTGATGAATTTCAAGAATATCCAAGGTCAGTTAGCTAGGTGGTTAGAAGAATCAGCACAATACAATATGGTCATTCAACATAGATCTGGT